TCATCATATAAAATCTAAAGTCTTGATCGAGTTTCTTCAGAAAATGTGGACAAAACCTCTTAACTCTTTAGGCGCCAAGGTTTTTTTTGAAAAAATGCTGGATTTTGACATCAACATTTCAAAAGCTTGTGGCTTGAAAGGGTTTAAAGATAGAGATCTACTGTAAATTAGAAAAATGTTGGGGATGACTAAAAGTTTATGAAGGGTGTAAATATACTCATCTAATTTGCATATTATGACGCCATAAGGGGGCGGCCCTCTTGAATTTCATAATATTCAGGAAATAGTAGATATTGAACTGATGTTTAAACTTATTTGCATGTTTTATTTTTTTTATCCTCATTCCAAATGATGAGAAAAGAGGAAACCAACAATAACAGGAGAAAGTACTAAATTATTACTATACAATATAGTAGTAAAACGCATATGAACAGTAGCCTACTTTTTGATCAGTTCATCAGTAATATTCAGGAAATAGTAGATATTGAATTGATGTTGGAATTTATTTACATGCTTTTTTTCTTTTCTTTTTTTATCTTCATTCCAAATGATCGGAAAAGTGGAAACCAACAATAAAATAGGAGAAAGTACTAAATTATTACTATATTACAATACATTAGTAGTAAAACACATGTGAACAGTAGCCTCATTTTTTATCAGTTCATCAGTAATATTCAGGAAAAGATCACGTCCACCCCTGCCACCCCTATCCCCATTGGGCAAATGGTCAAAATGATTTGTTTGTGCTTCGTGAACACTCTCGCCTTGCACGGCAAAGATGTAGGCCTACCGCGAGAAGCGCGCGCGGCACCATTGCGCGCCAAAGATGTACCGGGAGAAGCGCGCGCGGCACCATTGCGCGTCAAAGATGTACCGAGAGAAGCGCGCGCGGCACCATTGCGCGTCAAAGATGTACCAGAAGCGCGCGCGGCAAAGTTGTACCGGGAAAGGCGCGGGCGGCACCATTGCACGGCAAAGATGAACCGGGAGAAGCGCGATCATTAGACGGCCGATCGTCGTTTACAAAAGGCAAATATTCCCCTTCAGAGTCAGAATCGGCGAATAGCATTTGCAACACATCCTCACGGTACAAGTTTTTATTAGCCATTTGACTATTTTCTCTCACAAATATCACAATTTACTCCTCAGACGCTCTGAACTGAACTGCTTCCGCATCAATGACACGATCGCTCACTTGCTCTGCTGTTTCCTCCAACACTTTGAATAGGAACATGACGTCATTTTGATCTTGAATCGAAGTATTACATGTCTGCCATCTAGTGGTAGGGAATACAAATTAGATATTACACCATATTAGGACACACAGCCTGTTTTATTAAGTATGACGTCTTGTCGCAATTTTGCGACTTTGGCGCTTAAAGGGTTAATTCATATTGAGTTTTATGATCTTGAAGAGTCAAAGTGGTAGTTGTAGCTGTCAATGGAGGGACATAAAACTCTCAGATTTCATCAAAAATATCTTCATTTGTGTTCTGAAGATGAACGAAAGTCTTACAGGTTTGGAACGACACGAGGGTGAGTAAATGATGACAGAGTTTTGGGTGAACTGTCCCTTTAAGATCTTCGTTTAATATGTAATGCTCATTTCTATTTGTTTAACATGTTTTCTTATAGAATCATAGAACATTCATGTTCCAAAAGCATTAGTGACATTATAAATGTATTTTTCATTATGCCTGTTGCACACACACTCATTTGTGTGAGTTTATACTTGCAGGACTCCACATACGTCACAGGCATGAGCTTGCTGAGGTGTCCCCGTCCTACAGGTGTGTACATAGAGAGCTGTTTTATTGAAACATTTGAAACACTTCTGCAGAGACAGAGTTGTGATCCTCATGGCCGCTTGCTCGAACACTCTTCGATTTGATTTTAGTTTTAACAGAATGTGTCCTGCTGTTAAAACTTAAAAGCCAAATGAAAACAGGACTGAATGAATGAAGGCACACCAAGTAAATATTGTTTGATAAATAATACTAATACTTTTTCTATATGTGAATTAATTTAATATTTTCTTCCAGTTTTTTAATGAGATTTAAAAAAAAAAAAAAAAACCAAAATCACTCCAAACTCATTTGTACATTTAAAAGGACTACAATTCATGTATTTTAGTACCTTTAGCAATAGGTGCTACTAATATAGACACACACACACGTTCTTTTAAAGAGGTAATGTTTATGGAAAAAAATTGGCTTTAAAGTTTAGACAAAAGAAAATACTGGTAATAGGAGAGAGATAAAAAAATATGGGAATAAATATTGCAGAGTAGAGGACAAGAAAACTATTAATACAAAGGCTGGTTCAAATGGATAATAGCAAAGCATGACAATTATAATTTATGATAATTATGAGACTTAAGTGATTGTTTTAGCACCTGTAAAAATTCTGAAGAGACACATTTGAGGACAAAGCCGACAAAGCCTAAATTCAATCTGTCATCATATAAAATCTAAAGTCTTGATCGAGTTTCTTCAGAAAATGTGGACAAAACCTCTTAACTCTTTAGGCGCCAAGGTTTTTTTTGAAAAAATGCTGGATTTTGACATCAACATTTCAAAAGCTTGTGGCTTGAAAGGGTTTAAAGATAGAGATCTACTGTAAATTAGAAAAATGTTGGGGATGACTAAAAGTTTATGAAGGGTGTAAATATACTCATCTAATTTGCATATTATGACGCCATAAGGGGGCGGCCCTCTTGAATTTCATAATATTCAGGAAATAGTAGATATTGAACTGATGTTTAAACTTATTTGCATGTTTTATTTTTTTTATCCTCATTCCAAATGATGAGAAAAGAGGAAACCAACAATAACAGGAGAAAGTACTAAATTATTACTATACAATATAGTAGTAAAACGCATATGAACAGTAGCCTACTTTTTGATCAGTTCATCAGTAATATTCAGGAAATAGTAGATATTGAATTGATGTTGGAATTTATTTACATGCTTTTTTTCTTTTCTTTTTTTATCTTCATTCCAAATGATCGGAAAAGTGGAAACCAACAATAAAATAGGAGAAAGTACTAAATTATTACTATATTACAATACATTAGTAGTAAAACACATGTGAACAGTAGCCTCATTTTTTATCAGTTCATCAGTAATATTCAGGAAAAGATCACGTCCACCCCTGCCACCCCTATCCCCATTGGGCAAATGGTCAAAATGATTTGTTTGTGCTTCGTGAACACTCTCGCCTTGCACGGCAAATATGTAGGCCTACCGCGAGAAGCGCGCGCGGCACCATTGCGCGCCAAAGATGTACCGGGAGAAGCGCGCGCGGCACCATTGCGCGTCAAAGATGTACCGAGAGAAGCGCGCGCGGCACCATTGCGCGTCAAAGATGTACCAGAAGCGCGCGCGGCAAAGTTGTACCGGGAAAGGCGCGGGCGGCACCATTGCACGGCAAAGATGAACCGGGAGAAGCGCGATCATTAGACGGCCGATCGTCGTTTACAAAAGGCAAATATTCCCCTTCAGAGTCAGAATCGGCGAATAGCATTTGCAACACATCCTCACGGTACAAGTTTTTATTAGCCATTTGACTATTTTCTCTCACAAATATCACAATTTACTCCTCAGACGCTCTGAACTGAACTGCTTCCGCATCAATGACACGATCGCTCACTTGCTCTGCTGTTTCCTCCAACACTTTGAATAGGAACATGACGTCATTTTGATCTTGAATCGAAGTATTACATGTCTGCCATCTAGTGGTAGGGAATACAAATTAGATATTACACCATATTAGGACACACAGCCTGTTTTATTAAGTATGACGTCTTGTCGCAATTTTGCGACTTTGGCGCTTAAAGGGTTAATTCATATTGAGTTTTATGATCTTGAAGAGTCAAAGTGGTAGTTGTAGCTGTCAATGGAGGGACATAAAACTCTCAGATTTCATCAAAAATATCTTCATTTGTGTTCTGAAGATGAACGAAAGTCTTACAGGTTTGGAACGACACGAGGGTGAGTAAATGATGACAGAGTTTTGGGTGAACTGTCCCTTTAAGATCTTCGTTTAATATGTAATGCTCATTTCTATTTGTTTAACATGTTTTCTTATAGAATCATAGAACATTCATGTTCCAAAAGCATTAGTGACATTATAAATGTATTTTTCATTATGCCTGTTGCACACACACTCATTTGTGTGAGTTTATACTTGCAGGACTCCACATACGTCACAGGCATGAGCTTGCTGAGGTGTCCCCGTCCTACAGGTGTGTACATAGAGAGCTGTTTTATTGAAACATTTGAAACACTTCTGCAGAGACAGAGTTGTGATCCTCATGGCCGCTTGCTCGAACACTCTTCGATTTGATTTTAGTTTTAACAGAATGTGTCCTGCTGTTAAAACTTAAAAGCCAAATGAAAACAGGACTGAATGAATGAAGGCACACCAAGTAAATATTGTTTGATAAATAATACTAATACTTTTTCTATATGTGAATTAATTTAATATTTTCTTCCAGTTTTTTAATGAGATTTAAAAAAAAAAAAAAAAACCAAAATCACTCCAAACTCATTTGTACATTTAAAAGGACTACAATTCATGTATTTTAGTACCTTTAGCAATAGGTGCTACTAATATAGACACACACACACGTTCTTTTAAAGAGGTAATGTTTATGGAAAAAAATTGGCTTTAAAGTTTAGACAAAAGAAAATACTGGTAATAGGAGAGAGATAAAAAAATATGGGAATAAATATTGCAGAGTAGAGGACAAGAAAACTATTAATACAAAGGCTGGTTCAAATGGATAATAGCAAAGCATGACAATTATAATTTATGATAATTATGAGACTTAAGTGATTGTTTTAGCACCTGTAAAAATTCTGAAGAGACACATTTGAGGACAAAGCATACTTTTGCTTTCTGAATATTTCATAATGTGCATAACTGTTTAAAACAATTGTTCTGCTTGATGAATGAAACAGAGGGGACATTATGTTCAAATTCATGAAATGTGTCTGTATATTTTACATTTATTTATTCCTTCACATGTGATTACAGAAGATCACAGATAAAAGTTTTCCCTCCGCCACATTTGAGATATATAGCACAGCAGTTTGTACAACTTTAGAAGATCCCAACGTGTTTAGAATAAAAATATTCAGCTAGAATTGTGTGTATAAAGTACATTCAGAATGTTTGACTAATGAGTCAAAATAGAAAAACATTCACACATAACATCTGTGAACAGGACACACAATCAACATCATTTTCTTAGAATAAAGTCCAGTCATTTCTTTAACATTTCACAGAAATAGAATAAAATAAACGATCGTATGAATCAGTAGACTGGCTTCTAATGAAATCTAAATTGAAAACATTCATCGTGTCATTGTCTTTACCTTTGCAAGTACAGCCTAACACATTTGCATTTTACAGACATGAGGTTTTGTTCTGGGATTTAACTTTAGACCAAAAAAAACTAAAATTATATTAAGATATCATTGTCACATAAATCGTTTCATCTGGAGGCGTTGGTTTTGTTTCTATGATACTCATGGTGACTTTAAGATCATTTCAATCCCTCTGATGACTACCGTTAATGACTCAACCAAAGTTCATTGCCCGTCGCCCACAGGCGGGTTGCGTGCGCAGTTTAGCGGCCTCTGGCGGTCAGAGCGGGTAGTGTGGCACGCTGATATGCTGGTGGAACGCGCCGTGATGCGCGCCGTACAGCAGCTCCGTGGACGCGCCGCTTAGGCCCGTGCACAGCGGCTCATGGTTACTCAAGACCGTGGACAGATATTTGGCCTCTTCTGTGAGTCTCTTCACCTCTTTCCTGAGCGCTGCGTTCTCCTTCTCCAAATTTTCACTCTCCTACAGCACAAACAGAAAACAAAAGATATTGATACAAGCTCCAGAGGTCATTTTCTGAATAATATAGCAAGTATTCATTCAAAAGGACATGAATTTTGAGTTCCGTCCTCTAGAGGTCCTCAAAGTTACAAACACCGCAGAATTAGCACACACTATCCTATTAATCATGGATTACATTCATTTCTGACGCATTTATGAGCTTTTCATAATACTGGTTTATAACTAATCCTGGGTATTGAGAATTCAAGATTTCACGCTGTACATTCACGGTAAAGGGATAGTTCACCCAAAAATGAAAAATATTGTTATCATTTACTCACCCTCGTGTTGTTTCAAACCTGTAGGAGTTTATTTCTTCTGTTGAACACAAAAGAAGATATTTTAAAGAATATTAGTAAGTAACCAGATAGTTGACAACACCCATTGACTTTCATAGTAGGAAAAAAATTGGTGCCGTCAACTTTTTGGTTACCAACATTCTTCAAAATATCTTCTTTTGTGTTCAACAGAAGAAATAAACTCATACAGGTTTGGAACAACTTGAGGGTGAGAAAATTATGACAAAATGTTCATTTTGGGGTGACCTATCCCTTTAATGAGGTAAGACCTGTTTGGATTATGGTTGGTTGTCTGTTGCTAAACAACTCACTGTGGGTGTTTGATGCCACAATTTAGGGTCAACACGGAACTTTGTTAAATGATGTTAACCTAAGGTTTAGCATATCATGTAAAATATAAAATGCTCAAAAGTCAAGTCATTTTTGTTTGTATTGCAGTTTTCACAATGCTTCAAAACAACCGGAAGACTCCCCTACAGATGAGGAAGAATGCATTGACCTCTGACAGGCACATATCTACATAAATGTCCACAGGTACAATTTTAACTAGCTACATATCTAATAATAGAGGGCTAGAAATAGATGATTGCGTGCATATGTTTATTGGCTATTATTTTTAGGGGGTCATGAAGATTCCCGCTCAGCGACGTCACTGGTCTGTGATCTGCAGCTCGACTATCCGCTCCGATGCCTTCCAGTCACTAGGGTAAAACCCCTCTGACAAGCGTCATTCAACTTTATCTGCCCACGGCCTATAGCGACACCTTACCAGAAATGATAACTGAACACTCCCCTTGACGGCCCACGTTTCTCTGGCAGGCCTCAACCAAAAAACACACCATGAGAAGACACTACAGGAAACGTGTCATACGGAGGGAAATTTCAGCTTCCTGTTTATCAAGCATAGCCGTGAAGAGTGAAACCACATACTACACTGAATACAGAAGAGTGAGTCTCCCTTACACAGAACTGAGTTGATGACTTTCCTCTGTGACATATTCAACTGCATTTTTTTTTATAATTTCATATCTTTAGATTACTGTAATTAATCTTAGATTAGTTTCAATTAATCTGTAATATCAACATGATGCTGCTGTGGATACTAACACTGCATGCTTCTCATTAAAAAAAAAACTGAAATTGCAAGAAAACCAGATTTACTACTATTGGGTATTTAAAACTATTGGGGTTTTCTCTGGTTTTGATGATAAAACACACACAAGACATGCACACCAGTGTTGTTATTGTTAAGAAAACTATTATAAATACTTTTCGTTAATTGAAGTAAAGCTGAGATCAAATCAAATAGATGAAAAACCTAAATAAATAAGAAATTAAAATTAGAAATGTTGCATTGGCAATTAACATTGAAATAAATAAGTTTAAGTACTAAAATTACTAAAACTAAATCTGAAAATAAATGAATGCTAAAGAGATAATAATAATATATTTTTAGAAATTAAACAAATACATTTATGAAAACTGAAAATATAAAAAATAAAGGATCATTTAAAATAATAAATATTATAATAGTATATTAATAATGCTAAAATAACATAGATGCACACATTGCATACACAATTTTCATGCAGTGTTGCTTCAGCCATGACCTTTACTCGATAGAAGTTTGAGGCGTTTACACATCAGGAAATTAAGCATTATCGGTGTAAACACTAATATTCATATCTGCTGATGTGTGACCTATATGTGCATTTCTCAAAAGCTGTGAAACCTCAAAATTGAAATGATATGCGGTTCCAGTTAAGTGGTATGTTCCTGTCGGGACAGCGTCTCCCACTTTGTGTTTAACCGGTTGAGTTCAGGGGAACTCACATGAGGTCAGTGTGTGTGTGTGTGTGTGTGTGCTATCAGATAACTGTTACTGAGAATTACAGCGGGGACTGTCGGGACTGACAGCAGGTCAACTAGCTAATCAAACCAATCTCTTGCTGAGAGAAAACTGCTACTGAGTTCACTTTGATATCTGCATTTATTCTGTGAATCAGACCAGATCTCATTCTCAAGCAGATTCCCTTCAGTAGATTCACACCAATCACTACAGTATAGAAGCTTATTTAAAGGTATAGTTTACTCAAAAATAAAAATACAGGTTCATGTTGTTCCATATATCTTATAAATAAAAGTTTGGCTGAGGGATGGATGTGTGCCACCGAGTTGTGGTAGTGTAGCCCTTGTTTGAGAAACCCGGTCTAGACCCTTCTGTCCTTTAACATTTTCGTCCTATTTCTAATCTTCCTTTTATGGCAAAATTCCTAGAAAATGATGTATTTTGACCATGGAAACTGTGTTGGTCTTGTCTTATACCTGAGTGTGGCGTTCGACATGCTGGATCGTGTCCTTTTGTTAGAGCGCCTTGAGCGCTAACTTATGGGGTACCTCAGGGCTCTATTTTAGGGCCGTTACTTTTTTTCCTTTACATGATTCTGCTGGGCACTATGTTTAAAAAATATGGCATTTCATATCATAGTTATGCAGATGATACAGAGTTGTATCTTCCTTTTAAAGCAGGAAGTAGTGTGTCTTCTGGAGTGCCTTGAGGAGGTGAAAAAGTATGTTGTGTTTGCCAGTAAAGAGTATGGGGCAGTTTTCAACCTGTTTAAAAAGTCATGTCACTAACTCAGGCGTAATTTTGGTGATCATCTCCTCTCAGCCTCATTTCTCGTCACATTTTCATCTGCTCATTTTCAAACTTAGCGTGCCATGTTTGATGTCTCACAGTTCTCATAACTAAACGTGACGCAAAATTTGAATGTGCGGAAACGTGATTGAAAATATCTTGTTTTGTGTTCCAGACAGGTGTGGAACGACAGGAGCGTGAGTAAATGATGAGAGAGCTTTCGTTTTTGGAAGGACTGTCCTTTTAAATCGATCATAGAGTTTGGAGGATCTATTCTTGTAGTTGATGTATTGATGTAAAGATGAGCATAACTGCACTGGGTCTGTTCTCTTGAGTCCTTAGGACACCATGTGCAGCTATCGGAGGAGAGAAAGGACATGAGTAATACCAGAGGGAAACACCCATATAAAGCACAGTCACACAGATGCTGAATGAAAGTGATAGAGGGTTTGATTTGAGTAAGAGCCAAACGCAATCCAAACGGTTTGATGGCTGTTAGACAGGCGTGTGCTCGGGTTAAGAGCACAGCCATTGAATGTACAGATGCAAAGCATCACAATTCTGTTAGCAGACCTAGAATAAGTCATGCAGATTTGAGGATTGTTGTTGTTTTCTTGATAAATTACAGAGAATTTACTAGGTGCCGCTAGCTGAGCGATTCACCCACGCGATGTAATTAATGCCAGAATCTGAAGCAAACAAGACCAGAGCCACAACAAGTGTGAAGCACGACAGAAGCCATGACGCATCACCACATGGTCAGTAAAGCTTCATGTAAATACAGAGCCGATCAGCATCACGCCTGTAACACAGCTGGACACAGTGATGCTGGGCTCTCTTCTCGTCTTGGATTTGTCATCATTTTATTTTCAGTTTTCTTGAAATGTTTGTTTGTTTTTACTAAAAATCTATTTTTTGTCTTCCTAAACCTTTTTTAGGGTCTGTCTGCCCAGCTAAAGCCGCAGCCACGGTAGACTTAGAGCATGCGAAATGCCAACGGACACTGCAACGATTGCACAATGACGTCACATCATGCGGCGTCTGTGGCATATCAATCTTCAATTGCTCACACATCTTTACGTGATACGAATTCGCAGGTCAGAGTTCAACATACTTTAACTTTGGAACGCAGCGAAATGCAAAACTTCTTTGCTTGTGCTTGAATTTCCTGTCTCCTGCATTTGTATTCATATAAATGGAAGTCAATGGAACGAAAAGTGCAGTGTGACCGATGGCCGCCCCTTAACAGGGAACGTTCCCATAACTCCCCCAACGTTCTGGCAAGGTTCACTCAAAGTTATGAACAAACATTCTTCCAGTAATGTCAATAAGAATGTTAGTTCAAAGTTATCTGGTCTCAAAACGTTAGCAAGAAACGTTAGCAAGAAACAGCATCTATAAATCGCTCATGGAATGTTTTTTTCTGCAAAACATTTAAAAGTAACAATATAGTAATAATGTTTGCAAAATGGACTGTTCACATAACCGAGAAAATAATGAACATTCAGAAAACATTCATAAATAGGCTAATGTTATCATTACTTAATGCAAACCGTTCTTAGAACATGTTTTTGTTGGCTGTGTGTATCTTCTGACTGTTCAGTTTGCTGCACGAAACGATGCATTGAATGTCTGTTCTGTTGCAGAGCTGCTTATACGGGTTAATTAGAACGCGTTTGTGTGGAAATGAATGTATCGGGTGTGTATGTTTGAAAGTTCTCACCAGGTGCAGACTGTCGGCTTTCTGCGTCTGTCTCATTCGGCTCTTCTGCGCCGCGATACGGTTCTTTTCTCTCCTCATGACTTTCCTTACGTCATCCGACGAACCCTAAAGATCAGCACACAAGAGTTCATGTGTATGTCAGCACAAAAACACGACAAGGTAACGTGAATGGCATTTGCAACACTTTTTACTAGATTCTCTCTCAAATCAAGAGTTTTCGTCATGATGGAATGGACCACCACACATTTCTGAGGAAGCTTCTTGACCAGGAGGAGGCTGAAGGTCCAGAGCTTGTTCACCTATCCCAATGGTAACTTTTTTTTAATTTCAAATCGTAGTATTATTTGCCATTTTTGCTGTAACTTCTATAATATTAATGTCAAGTGGCATTACATCACTGTGTTGACTATTGGCAAGAATCTAGCCTAAAAATGACTGTTGGTTAACATTATTTTCCATGTCAGTGCACAATCTACTGTAGGTGATATCAGCCGAAATCAAAGTTGTTTCAGGGATATTATATTTGTATGAAACCTTTTGAAGACAAACTTTGAAATGACATGCACCAATTAATTTTGCACAATAAGACCAAGAAAATTTTTCTCCATCAGTGTTATTTTAGTATTATTTATATACTATTATAGAATTATTTATTCATATTTTCAATTAGCTTTTATTTTTATGTTTTCTATTTAATTTTAATTGTAGTAATTTTGTTTTGTGCTTTTGTCATTTAAAAAAAAATACTTCTAAATAGCTTTAATTCATTTCTAATGTCCGTTTCAGTATTAGTAATTCGGTCTAATTTTGGTCTAAATTGAACTTCTTCATCTAACATTTATATATATATTTTTATTTTAGCTTTATTTCAATTACTGAAAACTATTTTTAATGGTTTAAGTTTTAGTTAACAATAACGATAACACTGTTCTGCATTAAACATGTTTTTTTTACTTCTGATATCCACCTCCAGATCTGCAGGTTTATCACATGTTGTGGTAGACAGGTGACATTTTCAAAGATTGAAGGCAATCTTTTCCCACAACCCTTGTCTGTAATGACGTTCTTTACTGAACCCACAAGAATCGGTGACTTTTTCCATATGACAAATTCACCAGAATAAGAGACCCTCCTCGAGAAAATGTGTGTGTGTGTGTGTGTGTAATGTCTATGAGTAGCTCAGTTTCAGTTGAATTTCGGATAGCATTTGCTGTCATCCCGCTGCTTCATGATGAAAGTAGATTTGTCAATGAAGCATTTAGCCACAGTTTACAAAGCTTTAAAGTATGCAATGAATCAACCGGTACTTATTTTTAGTAGATGTACAAAGTCAGTTCAAACACTCTTTGGTGGCCACTGCATTTGCATGCATAAGGCATGTAACCAAAACATGATTTGCACTGTTGCTATGTCTGAATCATGTACTCTCAGCGATTAACATCTCTATCGCCCGTCGTGGTTGCAGAGGATGTAGTGGCCGTTGAAGTAGATCACCTCTGCTTGTATGGCCCATTGCCATCTTTAACGGCAGTTTCACAATCACTAACATTGTCAAACTCTCTCTCTCTCTCTCTGCATGAAGCTGTGTGCAACTCAACGGTTCTAGTCGGTTGCTCAACACTAAAGCTGATTACCTTTATAAATGTTCGACAAAGCCTTTCAGGGTTACGGTAGTATGTGTTTGGTCCCAATGTTAAAATCACCACCAGCCTCATGACTTCCATTCACCACAATCATAATCTTTCATACACACATGTGCAAACCATAGAAACATGCTAACACTCTTACTCACAGACAGAATTGGAAATGCATGTGAAATCTACAGTACAGTACATGTTGAGATGTCAATCATATCATATTCAACTTAATATTTAAGTTTTGTACATGTTATATCCCATCTGACTGGTTAGAAGCATGTTGCATCATTTATTTCAACATTGGCTAATTGAATAAAATTCAGTTTAAAAGATAAGTAAATTATTTCTGTATTAAAAAAATGGTTTTATTATTATATTTATTTTAAAGTTAAATATATAAAAACATTGTGTATAATTGTATTTTATGTTTTTATATTTTTATTTTATTTATTTAATTATTATACTTGTAATATAATAAAACATATTATTTAAATTTATATTATATTTTAACTACAAAATACATCAAAATAATACAAAATAAATACAATTTTATTACATATCCTGTATGTTTGTATTTTTAATATAGCTAATTAAATAAATAAAAATCCATTTATTTATAATAATAATAATACATAATGTAAATAAAGTAATGTTTTAAATGCATCTCCAGAAGGTTGGTGAAGTGTGTGCATGGTGCTGGTGAAGTCTCTCTTACCTGTCTATTGCCCGGTGAGGGTGATTTGGTGTAGCTGGTGTCGTTATTGTCAGAGCCCTGAGCCATGCCACTTCAGTCCCTGTGAAACCTTTGACCTCCTTCAGAGTCTGTCTTCCGCTGGTGTCTTTCTCTCAGTCTGTTTATCTGTCTGTCTGTCTCAGTCTATGTGAGACTGCATGTGTTCAGAGGAGAGATGTGAACTGATGGCGGTCCACTGGCGAATGAGTCGAGACGGCAGCACTCACACTCTTTCTTTCTTGCTCTGCTTCACTCCCTCTCTCTCGCCCTGCCTAATTAGCGACGTGTGATGTGGTTGTAGATAGAAAACCTCTACTGCACTAGACTGGAAGTCACATGGTTCCTGGAAACTTTGCATAAAGACTCTTATTCGCAGCAGAGCTGATGAACCTTCACAAACAGGACAGACAGACAGACAGTCAGAGTATCACATCTTCTCCACATGCATGCATGCTTATTGGCCTCAGAAAGTATTTGGAAACTTAAGCAACACTTGAAAATAAGAAGGGCATTGCATTAGATGAAATAAAGTGTCATTTACATTAAAGAAAGATTAGCACAAGCATATTTTTCAAGCTCACAAAAAGAGGTTGGTTGGGTTTTAAATGCTAATACAAGATGAAAATAAAAATAAAATATATTGTGTGACTTTATGTTTAAACACCCATTAAAAACACCAGCTGATTACAAATCATTAAGCAAAATTTATGTTTAGTGTGCAAATATAGTTTGGAGACACTATAATATCTATTTAACTTCCTCTGAGTTCAATTTAACTCTATCTGAGATGAATTAACACTGCCAAGTCTGCTGTGTGGTAATCTTGCCAGACAGCATCGCTACCGTCTTTGTGTGTGACATTGAGAGAGGACAGAGTGATGGGTCTCATTTCTAAACTCTTCAGTGGTGTTTACCAAGTTAAACATCAGTATTCCTATTGCTCATGCTGAGGGTTAGTGATTTGAGCAAATAACACTAAGTGTTACTTTACTGCTCAACTCATGGACATGAATGATTTCTCATAAGGTGAGCGTTTTAAGAACACACTAACAAACACACAAAAATACTAGCTCGAGCATCATAGTGTCGGGTTTTTTGTCACGATCATGTCTTGTTCTGGTCAGTTTTGTTTCATAGTTTTAATTCTCACCAGTTTTAGTTCATTATCAGTTGTCATGGTTTCTAATCAGTTCTCACCTGTTCCCTGTTAATGATCTTCCTCTGTGTATTTAAGCCCTCTGTTTCTTTGTTCATTGTCTTTAACCTTGCGTTAAAGGTTATGGTGCAGTGCTCGAAGTGGCACGAAAGAAGAGAATATGGACATGGCTAGGGAAAAGAGGAATGCCAATTTTGCAAATAGGTAAGAAGTTTTAGCGCCATGTCGCATTGATCAATACACCATTTCACATTGCATTTTTAATGGCTAGTCTGTAGACGTGGGTCGTAGCAGCAAACACACTGTGAGATAGTCATGCTAAATTTCTGACACAGTCAGTTTTACACTGGCAAGCTCCTCTTAACCTTCCCTCAGAAAATGAATGAAAATATTACTCAATCAGCTTCCGAGCTCGTGAATCAGTGTATACGAATCTGGGCACTGGTAAGAACCCTGTTTCACTACACATTGGGACAGGGATTACTCAATTTCCTGTGACATTATGTTGTAGAACGCCACTGCTGGTCTTTTTGATATTATTTGTTATGCCATTTGAACAAATTGCTTTTTGTTACATATCCTTACGACATTCAGCCGAATATTAATTATAAATGTTAGCTACCTGTCTAGCAATGTGTTTCAATGCTGACATATAAGAAAAATAACGGTTTGTCTTTTCAAATCATCTATCGTGTGTCATTATTGAGTTTGCTCGTGCGTATTATGCACTGAAAGGATTTTGCGATTGAGCCAGCCCTTAAAATGGCGGACTAGGGAGCAGATTGAGCATATTATTATTATAATATGCTTCTGTTGTATTTTATTTGTTAAATAATACTTTGATAGTTTCACCACTCAGATTATATGAGCATTAAAAATATTTGTATTTTATTTCATTATTTTAATTCCTTTGTTTAATAATACTTTCCACTTTTGCTATTACATCACTCATTTCACCTGTATTGCCCTGTACAAATCAGTTTTGCTTTGCCAGTAATTAATTGAAAGAATTGCCAGAGAAAGACAGAGCGAGAGAGAGAGAGTGTGAGAGAGAGGGAGTGAGAGGTGCTTCCCCTTCTGATCTGGAGTATTTCTGCAGGTGTACACTGATACTGTACATTGTATTACTTAAGCTAAAAAATTCCATCTGACTTCACCCTCCACATTACCATAAGATGAACCCCGCCAGAATTTTTTAAGCAGCAGATTTTCATAAACGCTGTTGATGACAGATCTCCCACCAGAAGTCCGCTAGCAATCCAGTGGCACCAAAAACAGAGCAGTTACTGTCAGTGATGCAAATGACAGCCAGTGCCAAGCAGTGAAAGCAGAGATCTACACATATAGAGCTTTCCCCAAAATGACACACAAATTTAAACAAAACCAGCCTCAGCTTTTCTTGTTTTCCTCAGCGAAAGAAATTGTGTGAACTGCTGGAATTTCTGAGCTTTAGAAATTATATAGCCTATACAGCGGCTGATGTAAACTGTGAAAGATAAGACAGAAATGTTTTGATCGTGTTTGCTAATGCTTTCATCACCATTGATATTGCTCATACTTCTAATTAAACCGTTCAATTCAGAAGAGGACATTTGTGCTAGTACTTTTCTTTACTAACAGCTTGCCCTGCTCTAACACTATTTTGGCGTTAAAAAACTACTGTCAGGATTTACTAAAGACACTCAGTAAAAAATTAACGGTGAAAAAGCGTGAACAGGGTTATTTTTGCGGCTGGCCTTACTGCATATGCATTTGTAGGAGTTTCCCATTCAGATGCAAAATGTATGGGAGAGTTTTTAAATGAATCATGCAAGATGAATTACTTAGGTTGGCGCACGTCAATTTACTGGTTTTCGCAATATTATTTAACGCCCCCCCAAAAAAGCATGTCTTAAAGCAGACGCTAGTTTGCGCTGCTCTTGCTAGATTGTGTTGGTCATTATAGAAATGATGCGGCTGCGTCTGTGTTCTTTAATTTGCGTGTCGTCAGAAGATTATCATGTTATCAACATCTACGCTTTTATAAAATTGTGTTCTCACGCTAATTTGCCTGGTTTAGTCAATCTGGCCCCACAGACTGATAAAGCGGGTTGATCTCTTTTGATTTGGGCCAGATGCTTAGCAACACCCTAGCAACCACTCTGAACACCGTAGCAATGGTTTAAATACTAAGTTGTCAGACCAACTGCAGAATCCTGTTGGCATGTCAGGAGCCACTCATTCCTTCAGAAAATGTAAAAATATAGTTTATAAATGTAAAAAAAAGAAAGAAGCATATTTACATTAATATTTATTTATTTGGCAGACGCTTTTATCCAAAGCAACTTGCACATATATAGCATATAGTTTATATATGTTTGTGAAATTAAGACCAGATCATATCATACAATTTTGATATACAGTACTGTTCAAAAGTTTGGGAAAATCTTTTTGAAAGTCTCTCATGCTCACCAAGGCTGAATTTATTTGATCACAAATACAGTAAAAACAGTAATATTGTGAAATATCATTACAATTTAAAATAGCTGTTTTATTTCCTGAATATATTTGAAATGTAATCTATTCCTGTGAATTTTCAGCATCATTACTCCAGTCTTCAGAGTCACATGATCCTTCAGAAATTATTCAAATATGATGATTTGCTGCTCAAGAAATGCATTATTACTATCAGTGTCGAAAACAGTTGTGCTGCTTAATCTTTTTGTGGAAACTGTGATGCATTTTTTTTTCAGGATTCTTTGATGAATAGAAAGTTCAAAAGGACAGCATTTATTTTTTGTAATATTGTTAATGTCTTTGATCAATTTAATGCATCCTTGATGGGGAAAAAAACGTACTAATTTCTTTCAAAACAACAACTAAAAAAATCTTACCGACCCTTAACTCTAGTGTTTGCATTTGTAGTTGCGTTCCTGGTTGTGTTGTCATTTGCTGAGCGTGTAGGATGCGACAGGAACAGATCTGAAGGGAACGGATGCACTCAGATGAGAATCTGAGGATGATCAGAATTCAGTGCAAGGCCTTGTGAAGAAGCTCTGACTGATTCGTGATGTGTGTGTGTGTGTGTAGGTGGAGCATATCCAGTAAGCGCAACACAATAGCAAAATATCCATTCACATCTCTGTGGCTTCTCATCTTACTCATACACACTGCCCAGAAAATAACCAATGACTTCAGACGATTAGGCGTTAAATGTGTTCGGTAAAGATGCGGCTTTCCCACACTGATCACTGCGCTAACCTTCAGAGAGATCCCATCCCATCCAAGCTCAATTCAAAGTTTGTTTTCACTGCATCACTTTGATTTCACTTTAAACTTAAAAGCAATTAAAGGAATATTTCTCCCAAGCAAGACAATGTACAGTTTCATTGTACAATGTACAATGTACAGACAATGTACAGTTTTTGCGGCTGACCTTACTGCATATGCATTTGTAGGAGTTTCCCATTCAGACGCAAAATTTATGGGAGGAGAGTTTTTACTGTAAATGAATCATGCAAGATGATTTACTAAGGTTTGCGCTCGTCAATTTACTGGTGTTTGCGCCATTATTTACCGCCCCCAAAAAAGCATATCTTAAAGCAGACGCTAGTTTGCGCTGCTCTTGCTAGATTGCGTTGGTCATTATAGAAATGAAGCGGCTGCGTCTGTGTTCTTTCACTTGCGTGTCGTGAAAAGATCACGCGCAGAACCTTCCACTCCCATCTGCGCTTTTTGGTTTTGCGCTCTCACATGCCCTGTTTAGTGAATCTGGCCCTTGGTCTTTGCAGACTAGATCTGCTGCTGCTTTTAATGGGTAGAGAGTCAGACTGGGAACCCAAAGGTTGTGGGTTCGATTCTTAATACCGGCAGGAAAATGGGTAACGCTTCCTTTTACAGTCCTGTTACCCATGTACATACTATGTACTTATTATAGTAATTACAATTACTGGGTAATAACTAACCCTGAGCCTACCCCTAAACCTACCCCTAATCCATGTACTTACCTTATATTAGCCAGTACTTAAGTACACTGTAAGGACAGGTAAGTACTGTACTGTTAAAGGAAGCGTTACCAGAAAATGTTGCTTGGGGAGTGAATCAACAGCGTTCTCTTCCACCCTCAATACCCACGATTGAGAGTCACCTAAACCCAATCACTTAAACCCTGGGTGCCGCAGTGAATGGCTGCCCACTGTTTCGTGTGTGTGTCTGTGTGTGTGTTCACTCACTGCTCCTAATGTGTGTGCACTAACTTGGATGGGTTAAATGCAGAAAACAAATTCCAGGTATGGGTTAGCATACTTGAGCTTAACGTCACATCACTACTGGTGCTGCAGACGGGACTGCCAATACACACACCACACGCTGCTGTGAGCAAGAAAAGCCCAGAGTACACTTCAGCCGAATGTACGAATGTAAATTTCGTCCGTGGACGGCTGCGCACACTGTCCGTTTTTGTGTCCGTGCGGACGGTGTGCATACAACAGCGCATGTGCGAGTGATTGAGCGCTTGAAAACAGAGTCCACGCTCCAGAGTATACTCTGAAAAGCTCACGCACTCGACTGTGCACAAGACGGAGCAGAACACGCCAAACATGCTGCTGCTGCACAATTTAACACGAATTACCCATAGCAGATCTATACAGGTGGAGCTGGGGAAGGTGGGGGTTTCTGAAAGCGCGCTGTAAACTACTACAGCAAATGCTGACCAAGTGTTTGAAGGTTGAGCAACGAGCTCATTGGCTACTGATACAGCAGGAACCAATCAACTGTGAGAACAAATGCGATTGCAAGCAGACTAAGGCTGCGTCCCAATTCGCCTACTTATACTACGCTCTAAAAGTAGGCTTTGTACTCTTTTAGTGAAGAAAGTACATACTTTTGAGTGTGTAGCAAAAGAGTAGGCAAGCTTTGGGACATACTACTTCATCATCTTTAACGGATAGCTCTGTCGTGTGCATCCTATCACCGTAAACTGCCCTGTCAATCATCTCGTCACAGTTAAAATCTTCCATTCAATCTAATTTAAGTTCTTACCATTTCGGAGAGAAATGTTGTAGCACATTCATCTGCCAGTCGTGGGTCTTTCATGTGGAGATTTTCCTCATGTGAATGTAATGATGCATTTAAAAGTTAATGGCTATAAACGTATCTTTACAAAAGTTCACAATGCTGCTGCAGATTCAATAAAAGGATGTCCAGTGTGTTCAGTAGCTTATACTGATGTCATAATCAGAGTTTTTTTAAACTGGAATTTTAAGGGTACTTTTAATATTTTGTCAACACCAAACAGGCAGAGAACAGCTCAACCCACTGAACAGACTTTTGTCCCTCACAGCCTCATTTTCATTCAAGTCCAAATATGTGTTTATATGACTAAGGTCCTTTGCAATGATTTGTCATTAAACTCATGGATGATTAAACAGACCTGATTAGAAACCTTTGGTGTCGAGTTTAGACAGCCATTCTTCAGAATATCAGTTAAATATCAGAGCCGAGCACTTACCCAAAATTCCCATTGATTACCAGTGCTTCTCCAGAACAGATTCCCACATGGGTTTGAGATGCAAAGATGTTCTGGAAAAAAAGAGGGGTCATTTTTTCTCTCTACATTATATGATTCAAAATATGAAAAATGTAAAAGGCAAGTCTAATGATGAACGATTAACTTCATTAATTCATTAATAAAGGAGTGTTGGAACAGAAGCTCATTGAGTGTTTACATTTACTCTGCTTATTGTACATTGTCTTAAAACATTTGATGCTCGATTAAAAGACTTAAATATTCAAATACTGAACAGCCTGCTGAAATGCAGAACAATTAAATAAATAAATGACAAAATTAAAAAAATTAAACAAAATGAAAAACTGAATTACTAAGTACAACAAATATTGACATGCTGAAATATTTAATTACTGAATAACCTACTGAAATAAAGAAAAAATTAAATATTTAAACAGTGACATGCATGCTGAAATATTTAATTACTGAATAACCTACTGAAATAAAGAAAAAATTAAATATTTAAACAGTGACATGCATGCTGAAATAAATAAATAAATGAGAACACTGAAATAACCAGAAAAAAATAAAATTGAAAAATGCAGTATTCAAACACTGACAATAAATAAATTGAGAACTCTGAGAAAATGTAAATGCTAAATAAAAACCAATTGTCACACTGAAATATTAAATTACTCAATAATTGAAAATAAGCACTGCATGCTGACATTAAATAAATATGAATGCACTGAAATACTAAAAACGAAAATTGTGTCATACTGGAATATTAAATTACTGAATAACCTACAGAATAATGGAAAACAATGCTTTAAAAAAATATTTAAACACTGACATTAAATAAATAAATAAAGAAGAAACTGGAATACTAAAAACAAAAATACTGAAATTACTGAATAATGGAAAATAATAAAATGGATTTTTTTTTGCAACAATTGCATGCAGAAATAAATAGTAAAGCTCTGAAATGTAAAAAAAAAAAATGAAATACTAAATACAAATATATACTTAAATAATAAATGACTGAATGACCTACTGAAATACTGACAATGAAAGGCTACTGGATACTGACCACTGAAATATGGAAATCCTCAGCATTGAAAACTCTAAATATAAATGAAGATGAAGGTAAAGTGAGATTAGATGCATTATTGACCTCCGCTAAGAAACACAGTTTTCAGGTCATTGCGGTCGTTCTTATGAGTGATTTGGAGCTGTTTGTGTTGAAATCACACAGTTCTTGAGGTAGCACTCAGTGGCACTCAACCAACATTTTTTTCATGTGCTTGAAGAAACAGGGTGAGGAGCAGATTCTGACAACCGCCCACGTGAGAAACATGTTCTGCCAAAAAAGACGCATTTTTAAAAGGCTGGAACTGCTAAGCAGAAGGTCAGACATTTGATCAAAGCAGCTTTCAGAGCGAGCGAGTCTGAAGCCAGACCTCAGGAAAGCTGATCAACCCAATTCTGATGTGACAAAAAGTACTAAGGACAGAAAATGAACAAACAACAAGCAAGCAACCCACTCAACCCGCCTTAGCGGAGAAGATCGAAATGATGAGAATAGAAGTGAAAACTACAAATGCACGCAAACTTTTCAAGCCAAACATTTCACAAATGATAAACTGATAGATTTACCATTCAATATAAATACCATAAACGTATCTGAATGCATTTTGGTTGTCAAATATGTGTGTCATAAGTGTCCAAATACACTGCACTATGTATGATAGTAGAAAACTATTACATTGACAAATCTGAAAGGAGAAATAAACAGGATTAATGGGAAACGGATGCAAGTCAATGGAAACCTCAGTGGAAATAATCTTGTTTTTGTCATGTAAATTTCTCTGACAACATCTCATTTCCACAAACAGAGTTTTTCTGAAAAACAATGAAAGTGAAAGAGGGAAAAGAAAAAAAAAGAGAGAAAGGGACGAGTACATTAAATGTACACAAATTTAAATAATATCAAATCTCCAAAGCGCATATCCTGATGCTGGAACTTAATAATGCAATTATAAAATAAGAAAAAAATATTGTAACATAAGTAAAAATATAATAAGTAGGCTATATAAAATGTCTTAATTATATAATAAATATTTTAAAATAATAAATCACTCGTAAATTGTATTTGAAAAATAGGTTTATTTCAATGTGCTCTATGTAACAGAAACATTATTTAGTAACAAAAGTGGCCGTTCAACAGACACTGATCATAAAACACGTAATTCACCACATGATGTGATGGCACAATATAAAAAATAGCATATAATAAACAAGAGTATGTAATATACAATGCAAACAAATGTAAACATTCCGTCCATGGAGACGCCAGCGTCAGTGAACAGTGGGGTTTATCAGACAGCGCCATCTGGAGGCTTCTGGGAGAACGCCACGCTTCAGGTCAGATCAACTGACGGATCACGTGTTCCTCGACAAGAGCACACACAGCGCTGGGAACATGTATATGTAGTCTGTGGGGTCAGAAGTCTGGGAGCTTCCTGATGTTTGTTTAATATCCATACAAATCTGTTCCCTTCTTTTTCTTCATTGTGAAATTGACACTTGGTTCTTTTTCAAAGAAATCCCAGAGCACAGAGAGTTTGTAGAGTTTCCTCTGTTCAGTCGGACAGCTCGGCTCGCTGCTCGTCGCTCTCGGGGCTTTTCACGCTGTCGGTGCGGACGATGCACGTGGGCCGATGGAGGTTGAGCATCACGATGAGCTGCTGTCTCTCTGATTTCAGCTCCTCGATCTGAGACTTCAGGCCCGAGTTCAGCATCTCCAGCCGCTCCGACTCCTGAGAGGACAGAGCAAAAAGCCTTGGGTTAATTACACTGCCTCACCACACACAGTTGTGTGAAAAACATCTGGATTATTCAATCACTATTTTATAGTGTTCGTGTCACTGGTTATTTACAAAGGTTTGGGGAATTCATGTGACATCTCTGGTATTTACATAATACAAATATTCCATTCATCTCTCAATTGATGTCATAAAAAATAAACAGCATAAAAATGGCATGCATAATAATTACAGTATCCAATTTAAAAAAAAAATAAACTGAGGTTTTAATGACTTTTTAACCTTCACTAGTTAATTTTAAATTGTTTTATGATGTGGCAAAATATAAAATAAAAATATAGTAATATAAAAATGGCATGCATAGAAATTGCACAAGTGTCCGATTTTTTAAAATAAAACATTTTAAATAAATAAAAATTCTGTTTAATAAAAATTATGTTTTTTATCTTCACTAGTTTTTTTTAATAGTTTTGCAATGTGACAAATTCATTTTAATAAGATCAAATATTCCATGTAATACCTCAATTAATAATTACAAAATAATAACCTAAAAATTGCATGCATTAAAAAACATTTTTGAAATAAAATGATGATTTAATCACTTTTTTTACCTTCACTAGTTCATTTTAAATTGTTTTATGATGTGGCAAAAAAAGAAAAGATTGTAATATAAAAATGGTATGCACAGAAATTACACAAGTATTTGTTTTTTTAATAAAACATTTTAAATACATTTTTTATTTTTTGTTTAATAAAAATGATTTTACTATCACTAGTTTTTTTAAAATAGTTCTAAAATGTCACAAATAATTCTTTATAAGCACAAAAACTTCATGTAATATCTCAATCAATAATTACAAAATAATAACATAAAATAGCATGATACACCAGTATCATATTTAGAATTTTTTTATATATATATTTTTAAATAAAATTATGATTTGATGTTTTTACCATCACTAGTTCGTTTGAAATAGTTCTGCAATGTGACAAATTACTTTTAAAAAGTACAAATTTTCCATATAATCCCTCAATTAATATCACACAAATGACAAAATGATAATATCATAAAAAAAAGAATAACCCACTGCTACTGTAGTCATAATAATAGTAACATGTAATACGAGTAAAAATAACACTGTAAAATAAAGTTTTACTCATTTTTCTTTGCCCAAAATGACAAAATCTGAAATATTAATTAATTTTCAAACTCACTTTCTGGAGAAAGTCAGTTCTTTCCTTCTTTCTGTTCCGACAGCGAGCGGCTGCAACTTTATTTTTCTCTCGCCTTCTTTTCTTGCGATCATCGTTGTCACCTTCCTGTGGTCAGAAAGTACACGTGTTAGTTCACACATCTGCTTTTAGTGTAAACCTAACCATTACAAATCAACCTATGAGCATTCTCAACAAAAAATAATAATCGGCAGACATTAACAATAGTGTCCACCAGGTGTCACTCTTGACCAGGGAGTAAAAAACTTTCAGTGGAGCTTCACAAACAATAGAACAAACATCAGTTTCACTTTCTCAAGCTATCGCACATACATGTTGTTAACGAAAACTGTTGGGAGTTTTACAACATGCAATTTGCAACTCTGCACATTTGAATGAGCAGAACTGGGCTGTGATATCTGGAGCTGTCAGATGTGATGTTCGGTTCTCACCTCCTCACCCTGGATGTCGTCGAACGGTCTCTTGGCGTGTCTGTTGAGGATGAGAGGAGACAGAACGGCACCGAGGCTGTAGAGCTCTGCCAGTTTCAGCTGGTCTGTCAGGGTGGTGGCGGGAATGCCAGCCAGAGGACCGACACTGGGAAGAGACCCGGCCGTGACCATCGGATCAGGGATTTGACCAGGCATCATTGCTGCTTCAGAAAGAGAGATGTCATTAGTTTTGTTGATCGTGCATGAAATGCCTTTTACAGATATACAAATGCATGTGCATTAGGCATTCATTCAAAAAATATATACATATTGAGCTTTTAACAAGTGTAAGAATTCAATTCTATTCATATTTATTTGTATAGCCGCGCTTTTCACAATACACATCGTTTCAGAGGTGACTGTCTTATGTCTTTCAGAAATGTACAAATCACAGTTAGCTAAAAATGCATTCATTTAAACGAGAAGAGTTTTTGCTTTGGGATAAGTTTACTAAGGACTGATAATGTGCGTTTTCAGTGGAAAGTCTCAGAGAATAATGAAGTTTCCATAAGAGGAACACACACACTGTGTAAATCTGCTTCTTAGAGAGTTATAGGGAAACTTCAAGATTCCCAAGAGCAAAAACAACACCTACGCATGTTCAAGAGCGAGGCTTAAAACAGCTCTTGAATTGTCTGTAAAGGCCATTACAGGATTATGTAAGAGTCAAACATGTTTCGCAGCAGCTAACGGCTACTTTCTGCATGCTTCTCAACAAAAACTTTCCTCGTGTTGAAAGCAAACTGTGTTTGTGCAACATTTCTGCAGGGTTTTTGGTGATGATGTAGTCTTTCTTGCTGCATTTGTTTGAACTTTTTAGAAGTGAATCATTAAGTGACTCATTATAAAGTGTTCCCAAATGTCCTTTTTGTTTAAGGTTTTATTAGTTAACTAATTTAGATATCATGAACTAAGAAAGAACAATACTTCTACAGTACAGTCTTAGTTAATGTTCATTTCCACATTTGCTAATACATTATTAAAATCAAATGTTGCATTTTGTTAACATTAGTTAATGCTTTGTGAACTCACAATGAACAGCTGTATTTTTATGAACTAAAGATGAATAATCTGCTGTAACTGGTGACTGTTTTAAAAGTTTTAGGTGTTTTGCAGCTGACTTCAATAATCCTATAGTGTGACAAGTACAAATATAACATGTTAATGCATGTATAAAAACATAAGCATATGAAAATGTTGTTGCAGAATAGTTTTAGATGGAGTGTTACATTGCAGGACATGTCAGCTACCGATATAACCATTCAAACATGGGGTCTCAAACTTTTCAGGAGCCCCATCGAGACACTCAGCCAACCATATAAAAAGCAAGATTATCAAAAAAAAGCTATACAACTTTCATTAATAACATATAATGCCACCTTCTATAATGCTTAACAGATCATTAATGCATAGAGAGAGAGAGGAAAAACCTTTTAAATATTTTTATGGATTTAAACAATAGTCAGTTAAAGTAAATGCTGGGTTGTCTCAACTTTCAACCCATGTTTGGGTCAAATATGGACAAACCCAACCGTAAGGTTTAAAATTTTAATCAAAAAATGTAAACCAACGGTCGAGTTTGTCCATATTTGACCGTTGAAACAACCCAGCATTTTTTTTAGTGTAAATAATGTACTTTAGTGTGCAGTAAATAACCTGGGTGTTTCAGAAAAATACATACTAGACATCAGTGATGCATGAATAACGTTATATTTTTCTTCTTCTCGAGGTTTTATTTAATCTCATTGTCATTACACTGAAGTGCAGCAGTTACTAAATACACACGATCGACCTTTAAAACGCGTCTTATATCTTGTCTAATTCAACTCCGCTCTTCTGTGCACGATTTAGCCAAATGTGAATGTATTAAAATAACGTCCAAATAAAGCACTTACTTGTTTTGCTCTGGGAGTTGACGGTTGCTCGTCCGTTCAGCTCGTTTGTGTGTTTGTGGTTTGTTCTCGTTGCATCAGCGCGTTTATGTATCGCTGCGCGCGGTGGAATGCGGAACTCTCCGTTGAGTGACGCCAGCAGGGGGAATGAGCCTTGGCCCCGCCCATAGCAACCAACACAACACAACACAGCAGCGCGGGACTCCCTGTGTGAAGCGGGATATCCCGTCAAAACAAAAACAATTCAACATGATGAGCTCATATGTGTATCTCTCTGTTATTAAGAGTTTCAGAACTCAACCTACGGGAAAAACAAATCAAGCTATTTTTGGCTATTTTCCTATTTGCACGATGTAAAAAAAAAAAAAAAAGATCTGGAAAATCTATTTGAATTCATTTTATGATAAAAATGTGTAAAATATTATTTGGAAAATATTTCATTTCTATTATGTTACATTGTTATATTTGTTTCGACTTACTACTGTACCGGTAGGGTTAGGTACTGTATTATTTAAATGTTTTATTATTATTATTATAATATTATTTTATATAAATCGACCCGTTTTGAAAATCCTTGACCTATGCTATCACAAAAAAAATAAAAATAAAAATTAAAGAAATATAAACTAAAGATTGAATTCTATTAATATAAGGCCCGTTCACAACAAGGATGATAACGATAACAATATAGTTGTAACAGATATAAAAAAGAATAGCAGAGTGTGGTGACAAATCAGGTCCTCCCTCGAAATCGTGTCTCTGTTAGGACCTCAAGCCATCCCATTGGCTCAAATTACGTGTAGCCTACTCTCTTTAGAGCCTGATTACAATTCCGATCACTTTCAGGATGATTTTTCCAGCTGATTAAAGGTGAACTAAGTAACTTTTTTACCTTAACCAAACAGCTTTGGAGTCATTGTAATGTTTATATTACTGATTTCGTGTTGAATGGTGGTCGTCTCGCACCCCCCTGGTGCCTGTGAGCCGCAAAACCACCCTTGCAACTTTGGGCCGGCGAGCCGCCGGCCTCAGTGTTAGGAAGTATCGTGTGATATCAGGTCTCGCGAGGTAACGAATTGCTTTACGGCAAAAAACAGATCTGATAAAATTCTGATAAAATGAGCATCAAACAGAAATAACCCGGTGCCGTATACATGTGGTGTTGGGCGCGCGCAGCTCTTAAAGGGCCCATACCTTATTTCCACTCGTTACAGCGTCCATCCTACTGAACAGGTACCGGTGTACAGGGGGAGGGGATCCGGCCGTGAGTGCGAGCCATCTCTGCGTGAGTGCTATTCACGACAGTACAAGTACTCCACAGCGACTCTAGGGGTCGCTGTTTGACAAAAACGGAATTCCTACTTAGCGCTGCTTTAAAGATTAAAAACATTGGCAGCCAGTCAGAATCCATCCAGCATTTAAAGGGTTAGTTCATCCAAAACTAAAAATGCTGTCTTTATTACTCACCCTCATGTTGCTCCAAACCCGTAAGACTTTCGCTCATCTTCAGAACACAAATGAAGATCTTTTTAATGAAATCCGAGAGCTTTCTGACCCTCCATTGACAGCTACGCAACTACCACTTTGACGCTTCAAAAAGTTCATAAAGAGATTGAAAAACTAATCCATATGAATTGAGAGGTTTAGTAATTTTCTGAAGAGACAAGATTTCTTTATGATGAACAGATTGAATTTAGGCTTGTATTCACATATAAACATTGATCAACTCACATCAGTTGTGGTAAACGGAAGCTCAATCATGTTCGCTTGACGTGCGAGAACCAATGAGGCTCGTTCTCGCGTGTCAAGCAGGTTCGGTTGAGCTTCCGTTTATCGCTGATCAATGTTTGAATAAATCAAATGTGAATAAAGTACTGGCAAAATAGTGGTAGTTGCGTAGCTGTCAATGGAGGGACAGAAAACTCTCAGATTTCATCTAAAATATCTTAATTTGTGTTCTGAAGATGAGCGAAAGTCTTACGGGTTTGGAACGACATGAGGGTGAGTAAATGATGACAAAATTTTAGAGCACGAACAAAAGAGCTCGAACATTTAAAGCGGGAGACAACAAAACTGCACGTGTTTATAATAAACAAAACGATATTGTGCGCTGGTGTGGAAGCTAATATCATTATCTTTATAGTTATCGTTCTTGGTGTAAAAGTGCCATTACTGTCCATTATAGTATACAGTCAGAAAGTCTTTGTATTAGCCTATATAACTAATGGCATTTATTTTACAGAAACACAGCACAGTACACGTTTCCAAGAAGAAAACTGATGAAATAACAAATATCGTGTTCAGAATGAAGATAAACTACTGTTGACAGTTTGTGGTTATGAAACACAGGTGTGAATTGCAGCTGCTGTTCCCCTGCTATAAAACATGTTTAAACTTGAGGGAAATTGAATTTGCATACACATACAAAATCACTATGTTAAGCCGGTTAAGTAAAATAAAATAAAAAATAAAGGATACATCTCAAAATATAATAAATAACATAATACAAGGCAAATGATGTGGAAAAGGGCTAAACCGGCTCTGAAATAGTTTGTTATGAGAAAAGCAGAAGCAGACACTTTCTTTGATATTTTGTTATCTTATGCAAAGACAATACTATATTTGACAGCGCTGTTTGAATGCCTCCAAGAGAAAATACAGACTTTAAAGCCACTCATTCTCCTGCTGTTTAACAATTTCCATTTCTTAAAGGGATAGTTCGCCCAAAAATCATTTTATTTAAAAATCATCATTTACTCTCCCCTGTGTTGTTCTAAACCTGTATGAGCTTCTATCTTCTGCTAAACACAAAAGAAGATATTTTGAAGAATGTTGGTAACCAAACAAACAGTTGACAGTAGCCATTGACTTCCATAGTATTTTTCCTATAATGGAAGTCAATGGGTGCCGTAAACTGTTTGGTTACCAACATTCTTCAAAATATCTTCTTTTGTGTTCAACAGAAAAAAATAAACTCATTCAGGTTTAGAACAACATGAGGGTGAGTAAATGATGATTTTTAAATAAAATGATTTTTGGGTGAACTATCCCTTTAAGAAATGGAAATTGTTAAACAGCAGGAGAATGAGTGGCTTTAAAGTCTGTATTTTCTCTTGGAGGCATTCAAACATAGTTTGAGAAATAGTTTCATTTTTGGGTGAACTATCCCTTTAAAACAGCTGAGGTCCGATGCAGTATCAGCAAGGTTTTGGCAAACTTGTCATTGCAGCATATAAATGTATAACTGACTTTCTCGCTCCCTTTCCTTAAGTTACAGAGTTTTAAATGTTACTGCAGACAATTTATTGCCAGAAAAAAAAGTGCTAGAGCTCCATTTTAAAGAACCTATAATGGTTCTAAATAAGGAGAAATGCATTAAATGATTGCATAATACTTTCATGTTTAATGGTTATTTCAATTTTTTTGTTGTGATATAAAGTGTTTACATTCTAGTGATAAAGTATGTTTGTTTAAATTGAATTAAAATTAAAACAAAATGTGTTCATCAAAACTAAATCAAAAATGATCTCATGATGATGGGAACCCCTAAAAGATTCTATATATGATGCGCCTGACAGAACCCTTTAAGATTCTATATAGAACCTTTTCTTTGAAGAGTGTGTAATTTATCTTTTTTTTTACACGACCCTCTCAATAATTTACTGGTCAATCATGGCATTCTCTGGTCAAAAAAACAACAAACCATTTTACTGACAACTACATAACTGATTTCATCTCATAAGAGTGAAAATCATCTAATAAAAAGGGCGTTTAATGAGCATCTCTCGTTTGAATATAAGTATGGCCTATATGATTAAATCCATCCATCCAACTGCTTCCTGGATATTTTGCACTGGCATGCACTGGAATATACAGACAGACGGCAGACAAGATCACCTCTGTGCCTCACTTCTTACACACAGACTAACTTCCTCTTCCACATTTATTGTGCGACAGCATTTTTGTATCATCAGAAGAGTCATCAAGATTCACAAGGCCTGGAATTTTTCAGTCTCAAGTTAATTTTAATCCATAAGAACTTCAATATGCGTCTCTTTTTAAAGATTTAACACATACAAGTGCAGGGAAAAGTGCAGAAATATAAACGACCCAATATTAAGGACAAAAGAGTAAAAATGGCATGAAACGTGACCAGACATGATTACAGCTCAATTCCTCCTTCAATGGCTGTATCAGATCCTGATGAGCAATGCTGAGTACAACACTTCTGCATTTCATGATTAATAAACTCTAGACAATGATAAAGACTGAGCGACAACCAGACATCGTTCCAAACACAAGCCCATTTCCGACCCTGGAAATATGATATACCGGTAATTGGAAAGACACGTACACATATCAATTGTGACAAATGCACACTTATTCACTATCACACACACTTAAACAAGAGATAATGGTGCAGTATCAGCAATAGAGGCACAGTGATTTCATATCGCTTATTTGCAAAAGATTATTTCCTAGCAAAATATGGTGGGTTTATAATGCCTTTGCAATCCTGAAAAAGTTTCTTACATGATGCTTTGTTTTTCCTCTATTAAAGAATCAACATTTCATTTCATTTAACCAGATCAAGGACAAAAGCCTTGTGTATTGTCTGCATTGCATCACTACAAGTTAACATCAGGATTTAAATATGAACTCCGCTGATATCTAAAAATTTGTGAGTCAAATGTAAGGGAAGAAAGTATTATTAAAAACAAAAGCCTAATTCGAGCTGTTGTGAACATCCGACGCACCAGACATCCGGCTGACTATAAACTTCACTATATGCTGAAAACTGAATCATGCAAACAAAAGAAGAAGTCCAGCAGGACATCATTTTATTTCGGCAGGTTGAATCATTAGCGGTCGCACATGTTGACTAATCCAGAGCTGAACCTAAATAGACTGATACTGTCTATCAGGCCAAAGAACTCATATCTATTTCTCCTTTTATATTTTAACAAAGTGGCCTGCATTGAATGTTTGTATTGTGTTTGAGCCAAGAACACTTTGTAATGTGGGCTGTCTTCCAAGAGTGACACGAGGTGTGCATCTCGTATTGTGGTGTTTGTGTGGGAAGTTTCAGCTGCTCATATTGCAGTCTTGAGATAGTCTGAGCAATGATACAGCCGAACACTGAGTGAGGCATGTTATAATATGAGCCATTATTGAATAGGCTATTAATAATCAATGATATAATGATTAGCCTATTTGAAAATAATAAAGAATCCTTCAGGATATAGGCCTATAGGCAACACTATACAATAAGTTCTCATTTGTTAACCCACTTACATGAACTAACAGTGAACAATATACTTTTACAACATTTATTAATTTTGTTAATGTTAATTAAAAAACTGCTGTTCATATAGTTCACAGAATATTAATGTTAACAATACAACTTTTGATTTAAAAAATGTATTAGCAAATGTTGAAATTACTATTAGGCTAACTAAGATTAATAAATACTCAAGATGTCCAACGCTATGTCTTGTTCATTCTTTTTTAATATTAAGTAATGTAGTTGTTAACATATGCAAACTTCTTACTATTATTATTTAATAAGAACATTTTAAACAGTGTGATGTAAGTTTGTCAGTCAAAAATGTGACACGGACTAAGTTCATTTTTCAGGTTTAACATTTCACTCAAATTGTTGAGGTAAAAATATAATAATGTAAATATTATTAAACTGCAAAATAATTGAATGCAAAATAGAAGCGTTTTTACTAGTGGCCTTCGACTATCTATGGCCTTCGACTGTTTTTTTGCCACGGAACAAAAAAGTTTAAAAGGTAATTGCGACCTTTTTATCTCAAAATGTGATCAGGCAATTGCGAGGGGAAAAAGTCACAATTACCTTCTTTCTTTTTTTTTACCTTACCAGTATTACCTTAAAATGTTGTAATCAGGGGCAGAAACAAACTTCCATAACTTTTGGACCTGACTGTAAACTGCAGGTAACCAAACACAAATTCATGCATTTGTAGCCTAATGTACGCTAGTTCTTAGAAATCGTTCTTAATTTAAAAGCATGCGTTTAACAGCTCAACTGAAGACTGCGCAGTGTTTGACATTGCTTTGGTAGAGGGTTTTAAGACACACACACATTTATCCTTGATATTATTACAAATTTGCAATGGGGCAGTGTCCATTTTATTCGAACAGGTTGTTTCGCGTTATATATGAAACCAATAATTGTTCAAAATCTACGCTGGATACCAAAAGCAACTCCAGCGAAACGTTTGCGATACAAAAGAGTTCCGTCACCGTGACCTACCGAGAGCCTCTCTCCGCTCCTCTAGATCTTCCGGGAAAACCTTCATTGCTGAAACAGGATTCTACTGTTTCTATAGTGACGGAACAACATGCCATTTTCATTACCAAATATGGACACGGAAGTAGAACCACGAGAGAGAGAAACGGCGTGGCGTGCAAATACGCAGTGACGTCAGGCGCTTTACGTTGCGTCCCATCCCAGGCGTAGCGAGAACGTTCCGACCGACCGTGACAACAACCTACAACCTCTGTATCGACAAATCGCTGTGGGTGAATCTCGTTGCACAGAAACCTTAGAAATAAATGGATCTCGAAACTCGGTGAAAGGATAATGTGCACATGATAGACATGGATGATGTTTATTCTTTATCGAAACGAATTTCCTCGCAGACATTGCATGGAAATGAAAGAATGTTCTTGAACGGGAGGCTTTAAATTCTGCCTTTTTTATCCAAAAGAGAAGAGAAGCCTCACTCTGATAAATAAATAATAATAAAAACATCCACACGTTTCCTAATAGTAATATCAATTCTTTGTTTATTAGAAACATGCCAGACAACAGAAAAGGAAGCAGTAAGAACAAAAAAAAAATGCATAAAGTTTTTTTTTTTTTCCCACCATGGTCAGGATTACAGAATTATACAGTTAGTCACAGACTTAGACACGGTGTAACAGACTGCACTGTACTTCACCACATCAACTGATACAGTTACACGTACCTACTGGTACAAAAGTGCATGAAAGCAAGTCTTTCACAGGATGAACAACATAGCCTATACTCAACAATGTCAACATCTGGAAGAAACAAACAGTGACTTCACTGGATGTAAAGATCACATTACATCTACTGCACAGCATCCACTATATATTTTTGTAAATGTTGAACATGTCAGACTCATTTATGAAAGCAATTTTTTCTGAGGGGTTTTCGGTTCATCAACAGAATATATTTTAGACCCTTCTTCTTCTTCAGAATATTTTACTCTTAAAAATAAAGGTTCTTTATTGGCATTTATGAAGAACCTTTAACATCCACGGAACCTTCAATTGCACAAAAGTTCTTTATGGTTCTTTAGATTATTCACATGTTCTACACACTCTTTGGAAAACTAAAAAAGTTCTGTTATGGCATCACTGGGAAAACCACCTTTTGGAACCTTTATTTTTAAGATTGATGTGGCAGAACCTTCATAAAGTCTTCAAGATTTCTTTGGCTGCATTAGGTTTGCCCTCTTTGCCAGTGTCATGCTTCTCCTCCTCTGCATTGTTGAAGCTGAAGACGGGCACAGCGTCGGTGCTGCTACAGGTCGGGCTGCATGCAGGCGAGCTAAGAGGTTCTAACCCTCCACCCATTGACATGTACAGGGTTTCCCATTCACTCAGGCCCAGAGAGCTAGTGAGGTCGATATCTGGCACTAACAGATCCATATCATCGCCGCTGTCCATCACGTTGCTAATGTCTTCCATGGACACATCCCTCATATCGATGTACGGTTCCACCTCAGCGGCGCCCAGTTCGGCACTGGAACACAGAAGGACGTCCGAGTCCCCGAAGATGGCAGTGCTGGGGGGGTCGAGCTGCTGAGGGGAGCTGGGCACCTGTTCTGGGGATGCGGTGGGAGCTTGAGTCTGCTCGTCTAGGGCTTGGGTCTGTTCCTCGGTCTCGGTCTCCGCCTCCCTCTCCTCCGAGAGTTTACAGTGGGGTTTGTGAGCAGAAAGGATGAGTTCGAGTCGTTCTTTCTCCTTTAACAGATTGGCGATCTCAGACTGCAGAGCTGCTTTGTCCTCCTCGAGACTATCGGTTTCCTGGACATATATGCAGATTATAGTCATATCATGCACAAAGTCATATTTTTGGACGAATGAGAGTGCAGATTATGGTGAATTGTAAACTTACAGCTTGGAGACTGTTGGTTAGTTCTTGCCTACGATTTCGACATTTGGCGGCTGCGAGTTTATTCCTTTCTCTTCTGATCCTCTTCCTCTCCTCTTCCTCTGGAGTAAGCTGAAATGAAGAAACACATGCGCTTATATATATATATGTGCGTGTGTGTGCATCGCTAAATGCATATTGTAAATTAATGACTCTATATTTATTTATCTGTGGTTGATATAAACATTATTGAGTTACAGCTAATGTACAAAAAATGACTTAAATTCATCCATAAACAAATTTGACCTAAAATTTACTACCAATAGTAACTGGTTCCAATAGCGGGGTTTTGCAGCGATGGCAAATAAGATTAAATTTTAGGAACCTTTAAGTGAACAATTCTTAAAAGAAACATTTGAATGACCTTTTTTCACTATAAAGAATATTTTGTGCAATGGAAAGGTTCCATGGATTTTAAAGGTTTTTCATGAAGATGCCAGTAAAGAATCTTTATTTTTAAGAGTGTATACAATTTAAAACAGAGAATTAACCTGGCCATGGATATAAATACATGTTGAAGTATTTTCTACAGTCAGTTGAATGTGGAATTCTCCAGAAAGCCCATGCATTAAACACATATCACATGTATAACTAAGCTTAGAGGTAATAGTTAAAAAACAAAACATGTATTTACCTGATCTTTCACTCCCTTTCTCCGGCCAGTGAAGGTCTTTCGAGCTGGTTTGGCGTCTGTGGAGTGAGATGAGCTCTGTGGTTTCTCGTGTCTGCAGGGTGACACTGAAGAGATGTCAGTCGACAGGACCATCCACTTGAGATCTGGAGCTGAAGCTACAGCAGTGACCGTTGGAACAAAGGGAGCATCAGCATCCTTCAGAATACCTGTCTTCTGAGAAGGAGCATTAAAATGTGTTCATCATGTATTGCTCACAGCAAAACTGCATTTTAATACAAATGTTGGTTGTGTTCAAGAAATAGAAGATGATCAAATAAGCATACATCAATAATCAAATAGTCCATTTAGGTTAATTTCTAGGTAGACATGCAATTGATTACCTGCGTATCCTTCATCTCAGCAGCTGATGTGTGCAGCAGCTGTTCTGCAGACACCTGAGAAACACTCGCGGTTTTAGGCATCACTTCTGCCAGATCGCTCCAGGAGATGCTGGGAACCAGATCAATATGTGACTAATGTCAACAAATGCTGTTCTGCAGGGGGTGTTTTTTTATATTAAAAAAAAATCTAGATTGAGGTTACTACGCTAGGAGGCACCAGCCATCCGCGCTGCTTGTCTTTATAGTGAGGCAGATTTTTATGAATGAAATCTGTGAGACTGTACCACTGATCCGGAGGGGAGACAGTTAAGCACGAGCCAAATATATATACGGCATTTCATAAATATCCCTGGCACAAAATGGTGCTCGTTTTAGTGCAATATTTTACGCATTCACTTAAAGTGTCTAATACGTAAACTTAGGTTATTAACGGCTTATTAGGCTTTCACATGAATGAACAAGATACGTCATTTTACGTGCCTAGTTTGCAGTCTGTCTTTTGCATCCCTCTGTGAGGTTACGATTTACGATTGATGTCTTAAAAAGATGGTTCATCTGCAGGTGCGTGATTGTCTCACGAGGAATATTATTATACATTTGCCATTATCAAAGTAGCCTATACAAAATGACAATAATTAAACAATTGAAATAATAGTTAGGATAATTCAACCGCACCCTTTCTATTAAAAACTGTGATTTTTCGTATCCCTTGTCAATTAGAATGATGGATCTCCCACTCAAAGCGCTCCAGCAACAACCCTGTCGCTAAGCAGCCAATCAGAGAGCAGTGTGTCATGGCCATATTTGGCATTTCCGGTGTGGAGCCTCTAGCTGCAGCGCTACTGCGGCACAGCCTATTTTTATCATATCACATTTAATTCAATGACATTCTTATGACGACATCTTCGCCAAGCACTCAAAATATATATGCATTTTTTCATGAACGTTGGCTATTTCAGAACTGTCTGCTGACAGATATGATTATGTCTACTATGAAGGATCTGCCCAAACAATAAATCAAAGGCTTTCTACTTTAATGAACACTTGAACTGGAAGGAAACGCCGTTGTTCTTCTCCATAACCTGTGTGAAAATCTCTATTCATAGCTCAGATGAGGTAACCCTGCTTTCAGAGGGCGCGTGAGTGGGGCCTCCCTTCTGTCCACAGTCCAAGAGTTTCCCGGCAGATCCGCCCCTGATTTCTGATCTGTGAGGCTCATGAACGGAACAGCTATAGGGTCATTTGCAGGAGGGTCGTTCCGCAATATCAACAGCATTCAACAACGGAAATCTATCGCCAACATTTTAAAAGTATTATTTTTAAATGATTAATTGAATAAGAATATTATTTTGAAAATAAATTCCAGCAACTATATTATTATTTGTATTCTTTCTCCATGCGGATGGCCTGTCCTCAGTCCTGCATGTGTTTCTAACTCATAATGACATCATCATCACCTTTAGAATATTCTTCAAGGACATTTAAAGTGTTTTCAAGGACATTTAAAGTGCCCCCCCCCCCCCCAGCACATTTTCTTATGTGTTTGTCACAAGATGATCTTAAATAATCACTGCATGAGTTTTGTACAGTAAATAACCAGATATGTGTAAAGATATCAGCAATAAAGTGTCTAAAAACACATTGTGGTCTCATGACCTTACGCACAAGGCTATAGCATTTAACGTATATAGCAAGGCTAAATAAAATCAATTGTAAAACCTTGTTAAAGGCATAGTTATATAAACATATGTGAAGATTAAAAAATCAGTTTGAGATGGCACAATGTAATGTCTCATCCTTGAGAAAGCAGGCTAACCAGATTTTCAAAATGCAAAGGTATCTGTGGAATGACCTCGGTCGGAGCCAGTAAAATATCTGCATCTTTATAAATGCATAAATAAATCTAAATAAATGCATCTTTCCAGTAAAATAAAGGTTGTATTTTTGTTTTTCCAAATAATTATATTTATTTGCTGTTAATATTGATAGAAAGTTGCTGAAAGGAGAAACTTCTGTGAACATTTGCAGAGGCTCGGCTCGGGTGTCAGTGACGTCAGTGGGAGGGGCGTTGCTTAGACAACGAGGAAGTTCAAACAAAACACGAACACCGAAGTGGAGCAGTAAAATATGATGACATCACATGGGAACGCTGATAGAGCTGTTTTCGTTTGTTAATCAATAACAAACTACCGTCAGTCATGTTTACCGTAGCCAATGGCAGAACATTAATAAAACAAGACTAAACACGAGCAATTTATAAGCAATCCAAACATTAGAAATTGAGTGGCCTCATTGCTTTCGTTTTAAACACAATATAGAATACATTAATAATAATATATATTTTAATAATAATAATAGTAGTAGTAGTAACAACATATAACGTTGCCTAATGTGCATATATTAAATGTAATGCATATATTCAGGTTTTAAAAAAAATGTATAGGTTTGAAATCTTACATCATGTGATTGTTTATTGGTCTAGTGATGCAATACACAGAGCTAAGAGATGAACTCAGCATTTTATTAAAGGAATCCCTCAGTAAAGGTGCGAAGGCAGGTTACAGTGGAAATATGTTACTCCTCCGTCATTGGACACGCCTTTCATTGCGGAAAGGTACGAATACAACCCGAGGCAATGAATGTATCGAGGAAAGTATGGTATTTAACAACATTGAGTGTCAACCAAAAAAAGAATATTTGAACGTGTATTTTAGGGTTTGGATCAAATAGCCTAGTTATTTAATTTCATGTCATTATAATATAAATTATATGTATACAACAGGCTATAATAATACGGTAACATTAGAACTGATAGTATAGTTCAAAATGGTTGTTAACTGAGATAAATATAAGTATTCTCGAAGTATCTTTACATAATGCTGTAGCAATACAGACTGCACAGAGTGTTTCCCATCAGCGGTCCGCCTCTTCAGGATGTTTTCCATATAAGGTAAATGACGTCGTGGGATACCCTGCTATGGGACGTCATGGATTTCACTCCGTTTTCACTCAGAATGTTCATCTACGAACGTTTTTGCAAACATTTTGTTATGTATTAAGCTTATAAGTGTTTATTAATTACGTATCGATCATGTAATCAGTAAAATGCTTTCCCGGAGACGTGTTTTTCTAACGGTTTCTATGCAACCAGTGGTACTGGAAGCCCGATGCAACGCCCTCTCTCTCTGACGTCAGTCACTCACAGCCATATAAACCCCGCAGACCTGAAGAGCGGCACTCAAATCAACTTTGGATACCGAGAGCAGACGAACAGGGAACTAACAAACCGAGGCCTTTTAAACCGTTCTTACTTTCTGGATATATTCGCGCTGGATAGTTCTTGCTTCTCGACTTTTGACAGGATGATGTTTACCAGCCTTAACGCTGACTGCGACGCGTCTTCCCGGTGCAGCACGGCGTCGCCGAGCGGCGAGAGCGTCGCTTATTACCAGACTCAGGTATATATATTTGACAGTTATCATCATTGAATTCACTAATGTAGAATTATTCAACCTTAAAAGATGATTTATTTGTAGTTTGTTTATGTATAGCTCAAGTGTTTAAATGATATTATAGCCCTAGTCTAAGCAATAAAAAAAAAAACTAGGCTACACTAAAAAAATGCTGGTTTGTTTCAACGGTCAAGTATGGACAAACCCAACCGTTGGGTTTAAAAAATGAAATCATGTAATAATAATATATGTAAATATTTGCCATATATTAAATGATTTCTTATTTACATTTTAGGATTTCACAGACCTGAGTGTCTCAAGTGCCTCTTTCGTGCCAACTGTCACTGCGATCTCTTCTTGCCCGGACCTGCAGTGGATGGTTCAGCCCATGATTTCATCTGTGGCGCCCTCCAACGGCGGAGCACGACCTTACAACCCGAACCCTTACCCCAAAATGAGGGTCACTGGATCAAAGTCCAACAAGAGAGCCCGAGAACAGGTACATAATGCACTGACTTTGTTTTTAGGGATTGATCAGCTAGTGCACCATACATTTGTGAATAAGTGCAGAGTTCAGAAAGTAAAATATCCATGTTATTGTTTCCACAGCTTTCTCCAGAGGAGGAAGATAAGAAAAGAGTCCGCCGGGAACGAAATAAGATGGCTGCCGCGAAATGCCGCAACCGCAGACGAGAGCTCACTGACACACTGCAATCTGTAAGTATTTCACAGATCTCTGTGGAAAAAATGCCTCATATACGCAACACATTAAATGTCTAGTGTCTGACGGGATTTCATTTTGTCTGTAACAGGAAACTGACATACTTGAGGATGAGAAATCTGCTCTTCAAAACGACATCGCCAACCTGCTCAAAGAAAAGGAGAGGTTAGAGTTCATCCTCGCTGCACACAAACCCATCTGCAAGATCCCCGGAGACGCGGACATCAGCTTCCCGGAGCCGTCCGTCTCACCCATCGCCTCCCATTCAGTCCCTGAGATCCACAGCGTCACTACCTCAGTAGTTTCCACCGCAAGCGCACCGGTTACAACCTCTTCCAGCAGCTCGCTGTTTTCCAGCACCGACAGCTTCAGCTCCACGGTGAGGATCTCAGACCTGGAGCCCACCTTGGAAGAGTCTCTGGAGCTCTTGGCCAAAGTTGAGCTGGAAACGGCTCGCTCGGTCCCAGACGGCGACCTGTCCAGCTCCATGTACACTCAAGACTGGGAGCCGCTCTACACGTCCGCTAACAGCGACCTGGAGCCCCTTTGCACACCCGTCGTCACCTGTACTCCGGCTTGCACCACCTACACGTCTTCCTTTATGTTCACCTACCCAGAGAACGACATCTTCCCCAGCTGTGGGCCGGTGCACCGGAGGGGCAGCAGCAGCAACGACCAGGCCTCCAACTCCTTGAACTCCCCGACTCTCCTCACTCTTTGAGAACTCACTATAGACACTTAGAATTTATATTTCTGTCACACAACTTGATATAAAAAGACATTGCAGGGCTATGGAACTGACTCTATCAAGCAATCATGATTGCTTCCTATATTTATCTGAACCATATATGCCTGCCAAATGTAGCAAGATAAGCATGGATCAACGGATTTTTTTTTTGTTGCGTTAATGATCTGGTTATTGTTAATATAGTTTTTTTGGTTTACTGGTGCTAGATTTCAATTGTTGTATTAGTGTGTTCTGAGCAATAGAGAACTAATGTTTTGACTTTACGGTTGATTTCTGAATGTGTGAATTTATTTACTCAAATGTGTGCTGTCTAACCATTGCATTAAATGGTCTAACGTCCAAGTATGAAGTTTTCTGTGAAAACGTAGTCTCTTTAATTTATGGGATTTTTATTTTTGTACTGAAATGTGAACTTGCGAATTGTTTGCAAAACTAGAAACAAATAAATATTAAATGTATACCAAACAGATTTGCTTGTGTGAATGTGAGAATTTTATCGCAGACAAGCTTTATTGACTAAATGTTTCAACTGCACTACGGTACAAACGTTTGGAGTCAGTTAGATTTTGTTTGAAAGAAATTAATGCTTTTATTGAGGAAGGATTGATGAAAAGTGACAGTAAAGACATTTATAATGTACTTCTTTACATGTTTTCAAAATTCACCTTTGCATCACATTATTAAATTAAAATAAATAGTTATTTTAATATTTTACAATATTACTGATTTTACTTTTGAGCAAATAAATGAAGCCTTGGTGAGCATAAGAGATAAAACATAAAAAAAAAGGTCCTGACCTCAAACTTTTGAACACTATGTATGTCCATCAGACTAGTAAGTATCACAATCTTTTCATAGTCATACTTTGTTCTGATATTGAGCTACGCCCTTCAAACCACACCTTAAATGGTGAATGGGCATCAAGATCATTTCCTATAAACGTTTTGTTCTGCTCTGATTCAGACGTAAGTAGTGCTGATAAACGTCAATTCATCTGAATAAATCCTAAATATGTCAACAAGATTCATTGAAACATAAGCACCAGAGCCCATTACGATTAGTTTGCATTATTTTATCTAGCCCAAAGTAATTGCAGCGGAAATGATGTTGTTCATGTGCGTAAGAGACTGTGACGCAATCACGCCATATTACAGAGGTCACTTCCTTCCCCCTTCACACTTATCGCGGTTGCACACTTAATAAGTGACTGTGACCTCAAGAACATGAGGATCTTCTTCCTTTTTATGAGCTGTATGTTTTTTTTGCTGATTTATCTCATCATTAGTGGCTATTAAAATGATACTTTTTAATAGCCACATTTTTCTAAATGTAATAATCATTTGTTAACAAACAAGTATTCATTACTTCAATGAGCTCATTGTTTCTGCCTTAAATTATTACATTGTTTAAATTCATGCATTTTTAGCTAACTGTGATTTGTATAAATACATAACTTAGACACTTACCTCTGATAACAGATCACTCGAAATTGTAATGTGGGCTCATGCATTTTGCTGCTTTGAAACGATGTGTATTGTGAAAAGCGCTATACAAATAAATGTGAATTGAATATTTTAAAAAAGAGGGACAGATAGATACTGACAGAAAAAAAAGGGAATTGCAAAAGACTAAAAAAAAAAGTAAAACATTGGTAAAGCTCAAACCTACAGCTTTGTATCTCTATCATCAGCAGACACAGCCAGTCAGTGAGATTGTGGCCCTGACGTGAAAGTGAAATCACATAGCATGTAATAATTCCCTGTCTATTAATACAATTGGCAGACCCCAGAGAGAGGCAGAGACAGAAATAGCAGGTGCGCTGCTTCACCATCAGCATCAACAGCAGTAAAATTAGACCACGGTGACGCCGACCTGCGTCGATGCTGCAGCCCAGGGGAGGAAACAGACTGGAGAAAAAAGCAGGAGAAAAGGGAAAAAAAGCAGAGAGAATCCAGGCTAAAGATAGACCATAATGCACTGCTCCCTCACCGATGAAGACACACAGTTGGATCGCCGCCATTTTCTACATCATCTGGTGGATAATCACCAAACTAAGGCACAAGCAGATTGGCTGTTTGTTTAGATATAGACACATTTATTAACGTATAGGTTCTCCACTACTAGGTATTGATTGATAGTAAGATTGATTGTCACGCTGATTTTACAGTAGACAACCCTTCACCCAGAGATCATATACAGTAATAAATATGAGCAGCTGTCGGTGACATCACACTTGTGAATGAACTAAGGTCCGCAAAGGCTTGGCTTTAAAGCAAGGACCTTTTTCGCCTATGTTTAGTATATGAAAGTCATTCTCCAGATGAATGCAGATTTGACTGATGTTCACATCTTCAAATCTGTTTGAAGTTACCTGAGAAGATCGCTAATGTTATGTCAAGGAGACCAAAAATAAAGTGCAACAAAATATGAAAAAAAATTAAATATTGCAAATTTCAAGGGTAATTTCAGATTCAACTGAATGACTTTATCATAAACTGGTTTTCAGGGGTATTTATATGAGGGAATCTTTCTAGACAGTGTGATGTCAATTTATTCATATACATCAATTGAATTAATTAATGGAAAAAAACCAAATCTACCGGTAAACGATTATGGATTTTACATATTAAATCAAGAAATAAAAAAGCTGTTAATAATGTACAGGGGTCAAGATACCATAACCAGTGCTGGTTACTGATTAGATGTTATCTGGAAGTACTTGTAATTAGTTTATATTATGTTTTAAAATACCAGTAAGACAACTATTACTTTTTTTTATTGATTACATGTTATTCTCACAATAATTATAATAAATAAAATTAGGTTCATGGTTCTCTGATGTCGGTTAATGGTCACATGACATGCAGGTAAACAAATACAATCTTTTTAAAATCTTTTTTAAAAAAGTGTTTTATTTTGATGTAAGATTTTTTTTTTTTTTTTTATGATTGAATTACTTATTTACTTTTCATTAAACTCAAGAAACCCCTGCAGTTCCATCATGAACCACAGTTACACAAACCATGTAATATTTATAGTTGATAACAAAGAAAGGCAAACATTTTCTTTCTTTTTGTATTTTTATATAAATATGTTAAGATTATCCTATTCAAATCAATGTGATAAACAAGTTAAAAGTAATCTAAAAGCAATCAAAAAGTAGTCCGATTATATTACCTTAAATGTGTAAAGTAATGGAATATGTTACTAACTACAATTTTTGTCATGTAATTTGGAATCAGTAACCGACTACAATTTGTATTCATAACTAATCATAACTTATATTAAAAGCATATATTTTAAAATAAAATCTTCAATCACAGTACATTTTTGTAAGGTTTTGGAAGCTTCCACCATTTATTTGAGTTTTTTACACTAAATATGAGCAACAAGTACACTCACCTCAGAAACAGTGAGTCCAGCTACAGTCTCTGCTGAGGCACTAAATACATTACACCTGGAAGAGAATATATCAAGTGTTAAAGACCCACTGAAGTGCCTCGAAACAAACAGCATTATTCAATATTGACAATTTTCACTGAAACAGGAAGACAGGGCGGGACATATCGATCAGCTCCTCCCCTTTTTTAAAATAGCCAATAGCGTTTAGTTTATATCAAAGCTCGGCCAGAGCCGTTGAGCTCGGTAAAGCCGCAGTTACCCGCTAATTTCTAACCGTTTCTCCTCCTAATCTCCTCCATACTGCTTTAAAAAAGAGCATATGTGCCATTTACTATGTAGAAAAACAGTAAACGTGTGAACAAGTGACCGATTTCGGCTGCAGCTTCAGCATAATTATAATATAAGGGGCGGAGCTTTAGATTCTAGAGAGCATTTGATTGGACAGGACCTCTAATGTAAAAGGTGAAGTACAGAGATGTTATCATTGATATTGGAGTCGACTGTTTTTTGTTTTGTGCTATGATGTTTTCTTTCACTATTCTTTATATTATTTTTTATTCTTAATAATTATTGTTGTGTTCTAATTTTGTTGTTTCACACTGTACACTGAATGTTCAAATAAAGCATTTCATTAATATTGGCAGAAGTGAGAGACAGTAAGTTTTGAATGCTTATATCTTCTAAATGCGAATTTTGTCATTGTTTTGGAGCAGACTAGCTTATAGATAACACAACAGTAAGGCTAACACATTCATACATTTTATATGGAAAATATACATAAAAGGACTTCACATGAGGATTAGCCTATTTAGTCCCCTCAAAATTTCATTTAGTCACATACGAGGGTATTATGAGGGCCTGAGTCCGTGAAAATTTCGGACTTTGCGTCAGAATGCATAGGCTATCATATTATCTCAAAAAGTAAAAGAACAAACATTTTGTATACAGGATATGTGCAACGTGTTCTAGCGACGTCTGCGCTACTCCCTGCATTTCCACGAGGTGGCGCTCTCGACACACAGAGAATCGCAGATGCAGTGCGCGTGCGCGGACTCAGGAGTGCGCAGGCGCAGTGCGCAGCTCGACCCGGGCCTGCAGTAGTGGAGCGATCAGCTCGTCATGGCGCGGTTCCGTGTGTTCTCGCTCTCTATCTCGCTGTTGTTTGTGGTTCAGTCCGTCGTGTCGATCTCATTTTACCTGCCGGTGCGCAGCAGAAAGTGTTTGCGGGAGGAGATCCATAAAGACGTGCTCGTTACCGGAGAATACGAGATCAGCGAGCAGCCGAACACGAAAACCAACCTGAAGGTGACGTCACGCGACACATCTACAGGATTAACGATTTTAAAATATTCACACAAACAATCTTTACACTAATAATCAACTGTTACATTACGTTTGACTGGAGTTTTCAGTTAATTTGTGGTGACTGTAACGGTTCTGTGAGTTTAAATCCAAGGCCTTACGTTAGTGCTACATGGCGCTTCCTGGTTGGACGGTGATTTAATGATTTAATTAACTTCGTTTTTAAGGCGTTTAAATGAATCAAAACACTTGTGTAAATGATATTTTGCCTTTACTTAGCAATATAAAGTGGGTAAAGAATAAATGCGGATGGAGTTTGTGTGTTTTCCTTCGGATCTCATTCACTCAAGTTATAACACGTCAGTCTTACTTCCATACTCGCATGAACAGAACAAGTATTACAGCTTATAATATACATATCAATGTAAGAAGATTTAACTAAACATTATTGATCAGTGCTGCATTCATTAATCATTTAATTATGATAATAACACATTGGTTTGGCCTTTATAATGCCTTTTGAACTTACATAATACCTGTATAACGTTAAATGTTTCATATATATTTGTCTGCTGTTTGACTTTTACTGAATATCAAATGTTGTAACCACGTTAGATCACAGACTCCTCTGGACACATCCTCTATGTGAAAGAAGATGCAACCAAGGGCAAGTTTGCCTTCACCACAGAAGACTATGACATGTTTGAGGTGTGCTTCGAGAGCAAGTCACCTATGGGTGAGTGTTTCACACATCCTCACACTTCTCCAACTGATGCTTTTGATAAAACCATAGGTCCTTGGCTGACCTGTGGTCAGCTTAAAGTGATATTTACTGTTGTTACTATGGTAAGTACATGTAACATATGTTACAGGGACACTGTAAAATAAAGTGTTACCAAAATCTGATTCTGAATCGGCACTGATATGCTGTATGAATTCAGAAATTATGTCTTTGTTTTAGGAACTGGAAGAGTTCCTGACCAACAGATCAACTTGGACATGAAGCATGGTGTTGAGGCCAAAAATTATGAAGAGGTTTGTTTGCTTTGTTTCTCATGCTTAACATGAGCTCATTTTTATTTGTTATTTTATATCATTTTCAAAATTCTAGATTACATTGCCATTCAAAAGTTTAGGGTCAGTAAGATTTTTCTAAATGTTTTTGGATGAAGTCTCTTCTGCTCATCAAGGCTGCCTTTATTTGACCAAAAATACAGTAAAACGGTAATTTTGTGAAATATTACTACAGTTTAAAAGGGATGTTTTTACATTTTAATAGTTTTTGAAATGTAATTCATTACTGTGATCAAAGCTGAATTTTCAACATCATTACTCCAGTCTTCAGTGTCACATGATCTTTCATTATCCTTTACTTTAAGCAAAATTGGAATATTGCATAAAACATTTGGGAATAAACTGATACATTTTCCAGTATAGAAAGTTCAAAAGATCAGTATTTATTTGAAATAGAAATGTTTTGTAACATTATAAATGTCCTTACTGTCACTTTTGATTAATTTAATGCATCTTTGCAGAATAAAAATATTAATTTATTTAAAATAAAAAAAATCATACTGACCCAAACTTTTGAACGGTAGTGTACATTGCATTTGGAGATAGTCTACACCTACTTTTACTGGCAGATGTTGTTTTGAAGTCATCCTGATTGTGCCACTTTGTTCAGATTGCCAAGGTAGAGAAACTGAAGCCCCTGGAGGTGGAGCTCCGTCGGCTGGAGGATCTTTCCGAGTCTATTGTCAATGACTTTGCCTACATGAAGAAGAGAGAGGAGGAGATGAGAGATACTAATGGTAAGAACTAATCTACTCAAGTTTCTTTCCAGCTCTTAAGCCAGATTGGATAAAAGGCCCTGTTTACACCTGGTATTAAGATGCGTTTTGGTCGATCGGATCACAAGTAGACGAGGGAGACACATTCCCGTTTACACCTGGTGTTTTAATCCGTCTCTTTTGTTCACTTTAAATCACTTCTGTCCTGATTTCTTCGAGGGGAGGGTCTATAGGCGGTAAATGTATGAGCTTTTTCAGATCTTTCGATCTAATGGATGAAATAAGCTCATGCAATTTACATATGAACACGGCTGGAGAAAACAGAAAAACACACGGAGAGCATCAGCTTTAGTTTCTGCTCTGACATTCACCAGATCAGCCGAACGCTGTGTGTGTGTGTGTGTTAGACATCAGGAATAGTGAGAGAACATTGAGCTTGGTACATTTCTCGTCTTTAAAACAAACTTGGGTCTCCAGCCGACAAAGTTTAAACCCCGTCTGGCTAGTTCACTTCTCATAATGTTTACGCATTAGGTCAGTAGACGGAGAGCAGACGGTCTTTTGTGGCTGTTTGAACACATTCGATCACACGAGCGTTTACACTACAAAAGCAATCCGAATGCGTTTTCAAATACCTCTGGAAGTGGTCGAAAGTGGACGAGCTCAAAACGATTTAGACCCCGTTTACACCTGTATTTAGTGGCGTCCACTTGTGATCCGATCGACCAGAACGCATCTTGATACCAGCTGTAAACAGGGCCAAAGTGTCTTCTAAATGAACCAATACAGATGTAAATGCAGTATTTTGTTTAAGAATGGTTTCTGAAGTCCTGTGGTGTTTTGCAGAGTCCACCAACACACGCGTGCTGTACTTCAGCATCTTCTCGATGTGCTGTCTGATCGGTCTGGCCACGTGGCAGGTCTTCTACCTGCGCCGTTTCTTCAAGGCCAAGAAGCTCATTGAGTAAAATCTGCCTGGACAATCAGGGACCCAGAACTACTTCCTGACATCAGAACCTCCGGCCCCTGACATTTGCTTTGCCTCGGCGATCTGTTCTGGTCGCTACAGGCGACCTGAAGTTTATCGGGAGTGGACGTGCATCAGGGAATTCTCTGGGAAGCGATTGATGCTTGACGGCCAAATTGTCTTTCAGTGCGTGTACATTTTTTGATACAAGCTTGCTCAGTATCAATTGGAAAAAAAACACCCAGTCTTTCAAATTTTGTTCTGATTTCTTTTTTTTCTTTGTATTTATACTAAATGACAGCACAAGCCCCTATAACTGATAAAAGATGCGCTCCTGTGAGAGAAATGTATGTGGTCATCTGTCGGTCATTGAATGTGTGTGTTAATTATTATTTGGAAGGATAGAATGATTGTGTCAGCCTTTAGTCACGAAGTTCTCATGAACTGATGTGTTTAGCTGTCTTTCAAACACAAGTAGAAAGACTTGTTTGAAAATGCAACGCCATTTTGTTAAAATGAAGTCCCACTCACTGCAAGTGAACCGAGCGAACGCACATCAGAGCTTCAAGCTGACATATACCATTCTGACTTTGAGAAATGTACTAATTTTTTTTTTAAAGCAGTTTTATTTTGGGGGCCAGAATCTCATTTTAGTTTGTTCATGGGAAAGCCTGAGTTCATCTGTAATTAAAGTCTTTATTTGTTGATTGTTAGTAGTTAGTTTCTCCACAGACTGAATAAATGTTCAATCCAGCAGGACTCCTGCAGTGGGCTTGAGGTTAAAGGTGTGTAATGCCATCATTGCTGCCCCATCAATTCTGGTGTCTTTAATGGTTTGATTTGTTACAGGATCTACCCGTAATTAACAGATCAAACTGGACTTTTAGTTTAGGATTTTCTCTTCTTTTCAAATGCTTTTATGGAATAGTGGTTACACACGTCCTGGGTGGAAGGTTTGGATCAGATTTATTATTATTATTTACTACCAGTGGTTTAATTCTTTGCTCCAGTGTTCAATCTTTTTCAGCAGCAATGTTTTTCTTCTGATTAATTTTTGGTGAAAGTGGATTTCAGAAATATAATTGGCTTGTCATTCAATAAAAATTGTTAGAAAATAATTTCCAGTGTTTGTCAGTTACTACTATTGTACGAAGTTGTGATGTAATCTTGGACATGACAGTCATTATCATCTGAGAGAATCTGAACATCTTAAACTATAATAAACTATAAAAATATTCAAAGTTTGTTAGACAGATTAATCGTATTATAACCAATATATTTACACATTATGAATATAGGAAAATTGAGGCAATAAAACAATTTAACTATTAAAAGCAAAGTACAGCATGAATAATAATTACAGACATGCTTTTGTGAAAAGATCATTATGAGATGATTAATATTAGGGGAAATAACATTGTACAAAAACTACATAAATACTTTTTGTTTTAATTGATTGCGTTTGATTTCAAAATGTTCCTGTTTAGAATGGTTTCTAAAAGATAATGTAACACTGAAGAGTAATGATGCTGAAAATTCAGATTAAATCTTAAAATATATTTATTTTAAATTGTAATATTTCACAAAATTAGTTTTTAATGCATATTTATGCTATATTGTGAGCATGATAGACTTTAAAAAGAAATCTTACCAAACCCAAACTTTTGAACTGTAATGTATAATAATAATCATAAACCACCATGTTTTATATAGCCACCACTTTTAAATGGTAAATAAATAACATACAGTGCATTATGCACAATATTATAATAGGCTACCTGCTTAATTTTACATGCAGAAAACTAATTCTAGGCAATCCCATTATAAAAATACATAAAATCCTTTTTTTTAAATTTACAATTATTCTTGATTGGTTTTCATTTGAAGAGTGTTATTGTATATTAGCTGATTTCAATTCCTAGCATCGTGCAATTAAACAAATGTACATTTTTGAATGTAATAAGATTTAATATCAGGATGTTTTAAATTTATTTAGCAAATAATGAGTTGCTGGATGTAATATATGTATTGAGATGATAGTGACGTGAGTGATTTGGATGGACGGTTGGTGGGGCTGTTACACAGTCCAGATCGCCGTTAAACAGCAGAAGAAGAGCCGGTCGCTCATCGTGACCCGGAGGAGGTTCTTCTGTCTGGTTCCGTGAGGGTTCAAGCTGTCAGGAGAAACAACTCGCTCTGATCAGCGCTTTACTGAGACACAAGGCAAAATGCCCGGCGCCGATAAAGAGACGGATCTGTCCGAGCGCATCGAGTCGTTTCTGTCCGAGCTGAAGCGCTGCGGGAGCGGGGCAGGATCTCTCCGGGGCTCCGCGGAAACTGCCCGAGAAACGAGCGCTTTACTCCGCAGAATCACCGCACAGGCCCGCTGGAGCAACGCCGGTGAGTGAGAACCCGAGATCGGGTCAGAACCAGAACCCGAGCGCTGCTCCAATTCTTTCTTTTCTATCTTTCTTTCTTTTCTTTTTTTATTGCTGAGTACGGAAATATACAGAAAAATAAGCATACACCACATACCATCAACTACAACAATGACACTAAATAATAATAAAATAATAAAAAAATAAATAAAAATAATCTTGCTATCCTATGACTTCATTCATTGTGATTTTTTTTAGATGTATATAAAATATGGTAATCCTCCTGTGATCCCTCATTCTACAATTTAAAAGGCAGCTATATATTTTGTTTCATGTAAGTTATACAATATATAGGAAGAAAAGTAAATAATAATAATGATTATTTATTTATTTTAATTATTAGTTTTATTTTAAAAATACTTAGTTTCTGTTTAGTTACATTGTTTTTTACATTAGTTAGATATAGTATTACTAGATATAGTAATCTACTGTAACTTGAATGTAATATTTATTGCTAATTTTATTATCTATTTATATTTATTGTCTAAGTAGTTTTTTTTTAATTATTTTAATCTAAAATAGTTTTTTTATTGTAATATAACTTATTTATTTTAATCCATTTTTTATTGTTTATTTAAATATTTTTTATGGTTTATTTCAATTTATTGTATTTTGTTTATATTAATTTATTTTAGTCTCATTTTTTAATTAAAAATCTTATTTCTATCATTTATTTTTACATTTTGTAAACTTTGACAGCTATTTTTTTGTTTATATGTATTTATTTATTTTAGTCTAATTTTTTTTATTTTTTTAATCTTATTTCTATTATTTATTTTTACATTTGTAAACACCCTAGCACTCCCCGGACCCCAGTTTGAGCCACCTGGTGTAACAGGATCTTGACTTCTCTGGTGTCCTCTTTCAGGTGAGCTGATGGAAATCATCCGGAAGGAGGGCCGGCGGATGACAGCGGCCCAGCCGTCTGAGACCACCGTCGGGAACATGGTCCGCAGGGTGCTGAAGATTATTCGAGAAGAGTATGCGAGGTGAGACACTCAGGATGTATCCGAAATAGCCCATTTAACTTTATTCGCTCTTCCCTTCCACTAATATTAAACTTGAAGGAGTGAACTACATAAGTTGAAATGGTATGCATCATCTTTGGTAGACCTACACATCCTAACATGTTCTTTAAATATCAGTCAGACAAACCAACAAACATGGCCATCCAATCAAGTGTCAGCATTTTGTCAACATGAATGACAGATGACAGAAGACCATTCTCAGTTGTAACTGAGTTATGGGTTGGCAAAGCGTCATAGACAAATCATTTCCAGAGGGACGTCACCAACGGACGTCGCGGATAGACCTAAACCCATCAGAGCGATGAAGGAGATGACGTATGCAGAGCGGCGGAGAAACATCTCTGAGTGTTGTTCTTTGCTCGGTTTTTAACAAAAAGGAAACGTTCAAATCGCTTAAAACAGACGCGATAGCTGATTTGAACGATTGATGTTCGACGGCGGCATCCATCTTTGTAATGTAGGCTACAAAATCTGCTTCAAAATCCCAGCGCTGCCATCATCGTGTAAAGCCCGCCCCAACGTTTCTGATTGGTGCCGCGATTTCGACGGATTGGAAATGGGCTCGAATGAGCTCTTTGCCAGACTAACTTTCAGAGCAAATCTAAATTTGCCAGAAGTTGTCTGGGTTTTCCCCATAGACAGTAAAAGAAATGGACACAGCGACCCCATAGACTTCTACGGAGAAAAGTGAAGTCAATTAGAAGCACTCACTTCCTGATTGCCAAGCGAACTGCGCAGGCTCAAACTGAGCTGGACGACGTGGATGTGACGTGAGCAACCTGTCTCGCAGTTGTACGTCTTCTAGTAGCGGTGCCAAGAGGAATCTGAATTATTCCCTTCCGAATCTTGCAGAGCTGGAGATGGTGAGTATTAGCTGTCCATGAGCTCGTAGCAGGATCAACTTTACAACTTTCTATGGGCTTCTTCCTTGACTTTATGCCTCCACGTCCCCCGATTGTGCGCGAGCTTCTCCTTCTGTCTATACAGTAATTTCTGCACTGTGCGACAGAGAGTCGCGTGTTATGACGCAACCATTAGCCTATTTTTACAAAAACTGCTTCTACGGGGCCATAACGTAAGATACAAGGTAATGGAGCCTTTTATACATTGTCGTGTTTCTTTAGAAATAAACAATGGACAAATGGAGTCTTTAAACGCCTCAGATGTAAAGTTATTCTCTGTCAAAGTGATGCCAAAATGAATGGGAGTCAATGGAATGCTAACAGCAGGTGAAGGCTTGTTAGCCAATGGCGGCTCCCGGGTAGACTACAGTTTCCGGTGTTGTGCCGAATTTCGACTGCCTGCCAAATTATTACCCCCCTCGTTGAAATCAGTACCTGATTGCCTAATCCTAACCCCACCCCTAATCCTAACCCCTCCCCCAAAACTAATCCTAAACCTACCATACTAGGGGGGTAATAATTTGGCGGGGGTCAGAATTCGGCACCACACCGGCTGATGGATTACCCCCTTGATTTTCCCAGGCTAACAGATGACAGTTATAATACCCATTTTGTCCACTGGGAGTCACTGGAAAAAGAATGCTTTTAGTTCTAATCGTTTTCCATCAATTTGAATTCCTAGATATTTCTTGATTTCCTTTTTAAAGTCAGTCTCTTTCGAAACTATCTTGTATTTTTCTAAGCTGTTTCATCAAATCCTATCATCACAGTATCAGTGGAGATTACAGACTGTTAACTTTGCAGTATAAGAATATTTGGAAAGATGCATGGCAGTTGTCACCTATTTGCTTACATTAGTAACGTTATAGGGGATATTAGTTGTCGGGACGGATTTCGCGGGAAACGGCATACTTTCATCATTTGTCAGCGCATGTTTATGCAAAGGCTATCTGTAAATAAAGGAAAGAAGGTCGGTCCACTACTATATGCAACGAAAGTCACTTGAAGCCACAACAAAAGAGTTTGCAAGCGAAAAGGGAAAGCGACAGTACCGGTAGTAATAAAGTACGAATCAACATCGTTTGCATAGCATCACAGTGCAATGTTTATATTGGTAACAATGTCAATCTCTAAAGCGTTAGATATTAGCCTGTAAATTAAATAGCCTTGCCATGTTAACGTTTCCACTGTTATCTTAGGCTATATGAATAGCAATTGCTATCTAATGTCAGCGTTACCAAACTTTTGTAATGTTATTTTTAAAACTATTGCTTTATAAGCCACTTAGCACTTACCTTATGACATATTTTCAGAAATTCGTCTTTCATTATTGTGAGTTTTGATCACCTGAAAACATCGAGTTAGTTACATCAGTGCGTTTCAAACGGTTTCAAACCATCAGATTCATCCGCGCCGAACCACAACTCGCAACCAAAACAATATTCCTCCGCAAGTAATTGCAGTTTATGCTTCAACCGCTAGAGGGCATAAAGTGACAGTGTAGCTTTGAGGTTAAAACAAGTACAAGCATCAGGATACAGGTTTATGAACGTGATATAGTGAGTGAATTATAGCTGAATGTGAATCATCAGAGATCACGTGTCTCTCTCTCCTCAGGTCCAGAGGCAGCAGTGAGGAGACGGATCAGCAGGAATCTCTGCACAAGCTGCTGACGTCTGGAGGATCCAGCGAGGACAACTTCAGACAGCACTTCGCTCATCTCAAAGCCAACGTCATCGAAGCCATCAACGAGCTGCTGACAGAACTGGGTGACCATCCAGAACGATCAAGCTTTTTGCTTTTTTATCCAGTAGTGGATAAACTACAGTCAAACCAAAAATCATTCAGACACCAGATATCATTTTTGATATGTATTTACTTGTGGGTGCAGGACACTGTAGTTCATTTATGTAAGTGAGGATAGCAAAATAAAGTAAACTGACATATTATACACACAAATTCGTCGTACAGTGGACTACAAGTTAAATTAATACAAATTTGGGACCAAAAATTATTCAGACACTTTGATCTGAGCATGTTTTGCTTATGTGGTTTTTCTTTAACTGCTAATGTGAACTTTTTACACCACAGACTGAACAAAATTAAGCATTGCTTGATAATTGGTTGACCTAAATTGGTATTATCTATTTGTGTACTTAAAGTTAACAGCTGACAGCTATTCAACATAATTCATTTGTGAGACAGAAGGATGGCCAAAACCAGTGAAATATCCACTGATTTGATAACTCCCAGTTCTTGTCATATTTTATTACCATTTTCTAAACTATTGTGAATAAACTGATAATGTGAGAAATGTTGAACAAATTGTGGTTTGACTGTATATGTTCTTGTAATGCTAAATCTGATTGCTGAAATGTTTGTGTGTTTTCAGAGGGCACCACAGACAACATCTCCATGCAGGCGCTGGAACACATCCACTCCAACGAGGTCATCATGACCATCGGCCGCTCCAGAACAGTGGAGGCGTTCCTGAAAGATGCCGCGCGGAAACGCAAATTCCATGTTATCGTTGCAGAGTGTGCGCCTTTCTGTCAGGTGAGTACATGCTTGCACTCATTGCTCTCGCAAAAAACACATCTCAGCCCTGGCAGATTTAATAATAGCAGAACAAGCCAAGAATTGACAACTCTGTCATTATACATTATTATCATAATGTTTAATCATTATTAAATATTATTATACAATTATAATTATTAAATAATATATTATTTAATAATTTATAATATTACGAAATAATATAAATTATTATAATTATTGACATCAACATTATTATTATTATTATTATTATGTTCTTGTCATTAAAACATAAAGTATAATACATTAATCAATAATAAATTATTATTAATAATATATTTAAACATTTAATAAGTTTAATATTATTTATATATATATATATAAATTTATAACATTGTATTATTTAAATATCATATTCAATCATTTATAATATTGTTAAATAATATAAATTATTATAAATATTAAAACAATACTAATAATTATAATGTAATAATAAATAATTATATTTATATTATTATTGTCTTGTCATTAATAAATACATAATGATAAAAATAATAATATTAATAATATTTAAATGTTTAATAATCTTTTAATATTATATATTTTCATGACATGGTGTTATATTTAATACATTTTTAATAATCTTTTAATATTATATATATTTTCATGATTATACTTATATAATTATTAAACATTTGAATAATATTATTGTAATTTTTTTATCATTATTAATAAATGCATAATATTTGATAAATATAAATATTCAATTTTACCATTTAATTGAAAAAAAAAATATTACCATTTCTTTATTTTTTAAATGTTATTATATAAAAATTATTTTTAATGATATTTATTTATACTATTAGTATTATTTATAAAAAATGAAGGTTTTGATAGATTAACTTTACATTTATTTTCGTTATTTAAGCAAGTGTATTTGGTGGTGTTGTACATTTTCAGGTCCTTGAAAATAACTCACATAAACTCCTCTTTGTCCATCAGGGGCATGAAATGGCCACAATTCTTTCCAAAGAGGACATTGAGACAACGGTCATCCCAGACGCTGCCATTTTCGCTGTAATGTCAAGAGTCAATAAGGTGAAATAAAGGATTGATGCACCAACAGAATATTCAAGATATAACAATTATCCTAATTAGCTAGAAATGTCATCACATACTTCAAACAGTGTTATTATTTAGTTTCATGTTAGTCACACACAGGCATTAGTTTCTCGATGAATGATTGGAACCTGGTAAATGCTGAAAGCGCTTGTTTCCATGTGTGTTGTTCAGGTCATCATCGGCACACAGACGGTTCTGGCTAACGGCGGTCTACGGGCTCTTAATGGCACACACACACTGGCTCTGGCTGCAAAGCATCACTCGACTCCTCTCATCGTGTGCGCTCCCATGTTCAAGCTCTCACCACAGGTATCCGACGCCCCGTACAGTCACACTTACACAGTGCAGTCAGTACATAATATCCTGAACTGTGTCTTTGTTGTTGTAGTTTCCCAATGAGGAGGACACGTTTCACAAATTTGTTTCACCACACGAAGTTCTTCCCTTCACTGAAGGTAATATCACACAGCATGTTACTCCTTTTTAATGAAATGATTTGCAATTTTACACATTCAATTAAAGGGTAAAGAACCTGGTATTTTTTGTTTGTATTATTAAGAGGCCATTTGATGCTTTTTAATGTTGTCCTTAAACACCTGGTCACTTCATGCATTTTCTCTGATCGGATAGCTATCCGTTTTTTGAAAAGACCTTGTAAATGCATACAGAAGTAAACACTGAGAACATTAAAGTAAGTGATTACGTGTTTATTTATTGTGTGATTGCCGCCAAAGCCAGATAATTAATGCGCTGGCAATAAAAACAAAGATGAGGATGCGTAAAAAGCCGAGTTTTAAAACATTTATGACACGAGCCCTCATGTTTTGCTTGTGTATATAGACTCTATAGAGCTGTCATTGTAATACTTATGAGTTCTGACACATCACTGTCCTTCACTGACTACCTTACACAACTGTCTTGATAACGTCGGGTATGTAAAATCTTTGAATGAAGTGACTCCCATGTGCACAGAATTGTGACGAATGTTGCTCTAGAGCGATGTAAAAGTCGACTGTTCAGACTGAGGTCGCATTGCAAAACATCTGACCTGTATCTGATTTACTACCACATGTGGAAAGGGCACAAAATTGGAAATTAAAAAGATCAGGTTCCATGTTCCAAAAACAGTTTTCAATGCATTTACACTGCTCTGACCATCAGGGGCATTTTGAGCTAGCCTGGTCCCACCAGACTCTCGTACATTTCATTTGTACTCCATTGGCAAGCGTTAACTTCCTTGAAGGCGGGTACTCTGTTCAAGTCTAAAACTATTGGATCTGCCCAGTCACTCTGGATCTGCCTAACCAATCGCAAACGTTTGGTCGTGACGTATGACGACTCAAACTAGCGCACAACATCAACGTCATTGTTCTCAGCCACTCCCTCTGTTCGCTGATTGGACCGGTAAAAAATTGACCGGAGAAAACCAAAGAATACACCACAAGCCCAGACGCATTTCTGAAGGAAAATGAAAATTGAGCGGAAGAACGTAGGACGGCGGAGCCAGGCTAATTTTGAATGCGAAGCAACTGGTTCAATTGTTCCTCCCATCACTACATTTAAAGCATGATAACCTATACTAGTACAGCCAATAATAAAAAAAAAAAGACCTTTTAAAATGGCATCATATGGCCTCTTTAATAATGCTGTTTCTATTAAGATGGTTAATAATATATCTAATATGAAATTTGTGTTTCTAGGTGAGATCTTATCTAAGGTCAACGCTCACTGTCCGGTATTCGACTACGTCCCTCCTGAACTCATCACACTGTTCATCTCAAACATCGGTGGAAACGCTCCGTCGTACATTTACCGCTTGATGAGTGAACTTTACCACCCTGAAGATCATGAACTTTAGTCTGGAAAATAAAGAATCTCTGACTCGCATGTTTGTGTCACACTTTGGCTTTCAAAACTTCTGAGATGAGAGTGTGTAAATAATATTTAAGTTAGATCCACACTGTAAAATGTTTATAAAGTAAAGACAACATTCACATGTGTGTGTATTATTGACATTTAATACACCAAAGATATTCTGCAAACTGTTTACAGAAAGTTGCATTTTATAAAATTCATTTAAAAATTAATCCAAAAAAATGTGAAAGCACAAAACAAAGATGTTCAGGATGGTGTCAGAAGAGACGCTCCGCATGATCTGTAGAAACGCTGCAGCTCAGTCGTGAGTGTTACTCAACTGTGGGGGAAGAAACAGAAGTATTACAGAAGTCTGATTCAAACGCTTCACTGCGATCACGTGTGAGTTTGCTGTACCTGCTCTGTGTTTTGGTCCATTTCAGAGCACTTCTGGGCGGCACTGCCACAGCTGGATGGTAGAAAGTACAGTCCGCTCGCTTACACTGCGCCGCAAATCTACACGGCTGCAAAACACATATTAAGGGATATGAGCAGATTCATAAATGCATGAGTCAAAATGCATTAAAACAAGATTCAAAAATCTAAATTTGGAATAACATGCTCACGACAAGTAAACAGATTTTATGTTGACTCAAGTATCAGCTAAAGTTTGGAATAAAGATTTTTTAAATGGTTTTTTTAACATTCTTTACAAAAATGTTTAATTTGTTAACATGAACTAACAATACTTCTATAGCATTTATTAATCTTAATGTTAATTGACTAATACATTAAGATCCAAAGTTGTATCTGTTAACATTAATTAATGCACAGTGAACATTAACGGAGTCAAAATATATTGTCCATTGCTACTTTGCTAGTAAATGCATTAACTAATGTTAACAAAAGACCTTATTGTAAAGTGTTACACTAAGAAGTCTCTTCTGCTCACCAAGACTGCATTTATTTGATCAAATACAGTAAAACAGGAATATTGTGAACTATTATTACAATTTAAAATTACCGTTGTCTATTTGCATACATTTAAAAATGAATTTTCAGCATCATTACTTCAGTCTTCAGAGTCACATGATCCTTCAGAAATCATTCTAATATGTGTAAATGTCTACATCTTAGCTTTATCTGAGTTTGTTTCTCACGGACACTGTTTATGATGTGGAGTTGAACAACTTCAAGAGTCAAACACATCCCTCAAAGTGAAACGGGCTGATGTAAAACTCACTTTAGGGTGGTAGAACGGACACTCAGGCTTTTTACACTCTGGGAAGAAACGGCACACACTGCTGGCCTGAGCTGGAGCTGAAGCTACAGGGTCAAAGGTCACAAGGTCAAATGTTAGCGGCTGTATCAAAGTGTCATCTTAAACGCATTCCCATGTATTTGATTGTCTTACACACCTGCTCTTGGAGGGTTGCTGTTGACTCTTCGGCTGACGTGTGTGAACGGACAGTCTGCTTTGGAGCACTTCGCATCGAACTTACAGTTCGGATGAATAAACAGACACTTGTCTGCAAATTTACAGTTAGGAAACAGTCTGCAACAGAACCAAAAAACAACATATTTACATACGGTCACTGCATCTAAACGACCAGTTGTTCTTAATGGGTTAGTTCACCCAAAAATGGAAATTATGTCATTAATGACTAACCCTCATGTCGTCCCAAGCCCGTAAGACCTCCGTTCATCTCCGGAACACAGTTTAAGATATTTTAGATTTAGTCCGAGAGCTTTCTGTCCCTCCATTGAAAATGTATGTACGGTATACTGTCCTTGTCCAGAAAGGAAATAAAGACATCATCAAAGTAGTCCATGTGACATCAGTGGGTTAGCTAGAATGTTTTGAAGATGTTTTTTAAAATACAGTTTGGTCCAAAAATAACAAAAACTACGACTTTATTCAGCATTGTATTGTCTTCCGGTTCTGTTGTGGATCAGCGTTCAGTGCCGCTGATGACGTAAGACGCTGCTGACGTGTATCTGGTGCGCCCGTGTATTCGGGTTCAAAAAAATATGGCTGGGCAAAAAAATGCAAGTCTTCCTCTGTGTGGACATCCTTAGACATGTTTGCGAAGATTGTTTTGTTTACAGCGTGCGTCTCCCTCAGACTGTAAACGAAGCTCAGGCGCACCAGATACACGTCAGCAGCGTCACTGAACGCGGATCCACAACAGAACCGGAAGACAATACAATGCTGAATAAAGTCGTAGTTTGTGTTATTTTTGGACCAAAATGTATTTTCGATGCTTCAAAACATTCTAACTAACCCACTGATGTCACATGGACTACTTTGATGGTGTCTTTATTTCCTTTCTGGACAAGGACAGTATACCGTACATACATTTTCAATGGAGGGACAGAAAGCTTTCGGACTAAATCTAAAATATCTTAAACTGTGTTCCGAAGATGAACGGAGGTCTTACGGGCTTGGAACGACATGAGGGTGAGTCATTAATGACATAATTTTCATTTTTGGGTGAACTAACCCTTTAAGGAGGCCTGTATAATTAGTATAGTTCTGAAGGAAGGGAGTGGATTCTGGAATCCACTGCTGCTTTAATGTATATCTAATGAGTGATTATAATCAAGGCACCATGACAGCTATAGGTCACTAGGGTCATTAGACCAATAGTTTAAGTGACCATTTCTTAGTTAAAGCATTTACTTTATGGTTCTATATTAAAGTGTCCACTCACTGAGAGAAAAAACATGTTATCTGAATGTTTTGGGAAGAGTCTCCTGTTGATAGATAGAGCCCGACCAAATCCAACCTTGAAGAAGCTGTGTGTCTATGTGTGTCTGTTAGTATTCTTGGTTACAGGTTATGGAACAACTGGCATTATTGGAGATTGACTGACAAGCTGGCACCTAGACACACAGTCTTGTGACCTCGGAGGGTCACTCGTACCTAACTCAGGGTCCTGGTGGCAGACGTACAGACTATAAAGATGTGCTACTGCCTATCAGTGAAAATTTACTATGTTTATCTATTTCTTAGCCAATCAGAATCATTCACCCAGAAGCAATGAAGAAGCTTAGACCTTGGTGAAGCATATAATTGCTGAGATTGTTGTAAATGAGTCTAAAAATCTAAATTTAGTCGTCTAAGAATTTTCTTAATTCTGACTCGTCTTAAATTGACCGCACTTCTAAAGCCCCGTACACACCGGGACAAATGACGAATAACGGCGCGCGTTATTCGTCAGCGTTTTTCAAAGCGTTTTTTGTGTTCACACCCAAGCGATTTTCGCTGACGATGAGCCGAATGAACATGCAAATTCATTCCCTGACATTAGATGGCGCTTAATGTAAAACAGAAATAGTCCTACTGTGTAGTCGCTATCGCGCTTGTCATATAGTTCTTTATGTTCCGACACCAACGAGACCAGCAGCTCTATACATTCATCTTGCCTTGCATCTTCCTCGTCTTATTTCTTCCCGGCAGTGTAGACGCTACTTGGCGTATATCTTCTTCGCCGTTACGTATGTGTGTTCAGCAAGACCGTTTTGTGTTTGAGCGCCCCCAAGTTGTGTTTTACTGTAACTTCAGAAGCTCCAGACACGTGAGCAAAAGCGCCAATCTCATTGGTCGGATAGTTTTTGACGCGGCGCGTCAAACCAAAAAACTAACCCGAGGCGTTTTTTATAAAATTACGCTTTTACGCGTGGCGTTTTTCGTGTCGGTGTGCACACTCACATTGGCTCCCTTTGTTTAGTCACGAGGCGTTAAATGTCGGCGAATATCACGCGCAAAATTCGTCCCGGTGTGAACAGGCATTAACTGCTGGTCTTCATTTATCATATCTGGTCCTTGGGTCCTTAACTGTAAATTCCCTAACAGTTCAGTCACGTTTCTTGGAGGATGTTCACACGTCACAGTCTCAGCGCTAATAACATTAGATGCTGAAATGGTCTTGATAATATATTAGCTCACTGAATGTGCTGGCAGTCCAGTGGTTATTGTTCAAGCGAACCGGACTAAAGCGGTCTAGAAGACAATATTCCTCGTTTAAATAATTAAAATAATTATTGGAGTTAAATAATTATTGGCCTGGTGGAGTTGAGTTAGTGGTGTTGAAACTGGCAGTTATGGTAAGGGCCGTGACATTTCCAAACATGGTGGAAGCAGTTGACCAATCACAACACACTGGTCCAGTCGACCAATCAGAACACATTATGCTTCTCGGAAGGAGGGGCGTCATAGAGACAGGAACTGCACAGAGCTTCACTGACAGACTGGGAAGAGGGGTGCTGCAAAAATGTCAAATATTTAAACAGTTTTTGAACATTTAAGCATGTAAACCTATTCTAGTAGAGCCTAAAAACAAAATCAAGACTTTGTAAAAGGGCATAATATGGCCTCTTCTTCTATGTTCTCACTTGCACTGTGTGTTGGGGTGATGGTACAAACAATCGTCTCCGCTCTTGCACGCAGGCCAGAACTTGCAGCGTTCTGGAAGTTTCTGCCGTTTAGCTTGAACCGGCTCTATGTCCATGTCCTCCACCTCATCCCTCTCTCCATCTGCAGGAGAAAGACAGAGAATGAGGGTGAGCAGGGCACAAATTGAAGAGGAATGTTGACTACAGCTGGAATAAATGAGTCATGTGACTACATTACAAGAATGGTCTGGGTTTAGTATTAAAATTAAACGGGCATAACCACAGAAAAAACTGAGCAATTAATTAATAACCTTAACTTGTAACTGATTAACAAAAACAGACATTCCTTCATGGTTGCGCTATATAAAACATTTAAGGGGATACATTTTTTTCAGAAAAAATAATCACATTGTGATATACACGGTTATTGCTGTACAAGAAACAAGATCCCTAAAACATGAGTATCTTCATCTTACCGCCAGCGTTTAGAAAGTCAGTGCCGAGTCTGAGGTGGATGTCAGGTTTGGGTCTGTTATTTTCCGGAAGGTCAGAGGTCGTGTTGAACTCGTCCTCGGGCTCCATCTCCTGATCTGTGCGGTTGGCTAACGGACTGGGAACTCCATCCAATGTCACGATGAACTTTGGACTTGAGCCACCCGCAACCTCCGCTTTCTCTCTGTGCGGGAAGAGAACCGCATATGAGCAAGTACACTACCGTCAGAACGATTTTTTATAGGAAATTAATACTTTATTCAGTAAGGGTGCATAAAACTGATCAAATGTTACAGTAAAGATATTTCGGTTACAAAAGATTTCTATTTCAAATAAATACTAATGCAAAAAAACTATTAAGCAGCACAACTGTTTTCCACATTGATAATACTAGTAAATGATTCTTGAGCAGCAAATCATCATATTAGAATGATTTCTGAAGGATCATGTGACACTGAAGACGGGAGTAATAGCCGCTTTCCGACCGGAGGGACTTTTGCAGTTCCTAGAACCTAACGTTCCTAGGCTATAACCCTTTTTTTCGCGTGTTCCGACCGGACTAAGTTGGGGATTTTTTAGTTCCTCAGACCGTAGTTCCTATAACTCTTTCAGTACCTAGTCTAGAGCGAGGACTTTTTTGGTTCTTTTTCGACAATGCAGCACAAATCGTCAGAACACCGGCAAGGCAGAACAGGAACATTCCGATAGCCTCCTCCATGCTGGTTTGTTGTTGTTGTATGTGGCGCCGCTGCCGCCGTGCTTGCGTCACTCCCTTACCCCTCCTACCAGTTCCTATGGCCACTTGGCCAGTGCGAACGCAAACAGCAAAACTGTGTTTGGGGGAGAGTAGTTCTTAGACCTGTTTAGAAGTGGACAGTTCCTATAACTAAGTTCCTGTAACAACTTGGTCGGAAAGCACCTAATGATGCTGAAAATTCAGCTTTGATCACAGGAATAAATTACATTTTAAACATTTATTGTAAATTGTGATAATCTTTTGTAATATTATGTTTGATCTAATATATGCAGCCTTGGTGAGCAGACGAGACTTCTTTCTACATAAAAAAAATATTACCAATCTCACGTTTCTCTGACGTCATTCATCACATATCGTATCACTATCGTAAAATGGCGGAAGGAGGCGAAACACAAAAGCGAGTAATAAAAAAGGCACCCACTATTTTAAGATTTACAGTGTGTGAGTGTGTGCATGCGTGCGAGTGTGTGCGTGTGATCATTTAAGTACACTACTTGACAGTTTCATGCACTTTTAGTAGTGTTTATTAATGTTCCTGTCGTCTCCTGTTCAGACTTAAATGTTGTTTGACTACATTCAGGGAGTGTACTTTCTTGGAGCAGATAAAATAAAAAGGGAGTACATATTATATGTGACTGCTTGTATTCAATGACGAAAATGTAGCCATGTGTAGTAATATTGCAACGCATCGTGATATCGAATGGAAGACATGATAATCGTAATCAAGTTGAATTGTGAGACCAGTGACGCTTCACACCCCTACTGTATATGGATAAAAACATGGACCCGAATGTTGTTTTTGATTGAAACCGGTCTGTCATACCTGGCCTGCACCATTCGGGATGTGGTGGGCGGGTCTTCATTCTGATTGACAGGAGTAAGCCTGCTCCTGACTGGCGGAGTCTGTTCCAGCTCTGGTTTCCTCATGATGAATGAACGCGAGTCCAAGGCCTTGACTCTCGCCGCCTCTAAGACCTGCAGCTCTGAATCAAAACAACCACAAATTGTTACCCAAAAGACAGTGACCCCAAGTTTTTAAGTTTTGCAGTCATTTTAATATGCTGATTTGCTGCTTTAAAAAAAAAATTCTTATTATCAATGTTGAAAACATAAAAAATAAAAGATTCAGGATTCTTTGATGAATAGAAAGTTCACAAGAACAGCATTTATTTAAAAGATTTAGAAGTCTTTACTGTCACCTTTGACCTTTTGAATGGTAGTGTATATTCAAATAACTGAATACCAAATAAAAACCAAACTGGTTAGTTGCTTTACATGTTGCTCAGATAGTCTCTTCATGTCTACGTGGGCGGTTTTCCAATCAAGTAAGCTGCATATTACGGACCATATAGTCAAAGGTCTGGCTACATGAAACTATTGAGCATCAGAGAATGTGACTGAATGACATCCATAATACAATTAAGATGTACTTTGCCATTGAGAGGTCAAAATGAGGCCATCTCTCTCACCGTATTCACTGAGCTGCTCTCGGCTGTCCTCGTCTGGAAGCTCCAACTGCAGGCGAGATGCTAAAGGTCTGGATTGGGCTGCAAAACACACAAGAGAAAGAAATGTGTAGTCTGAGTTCTAGTTTCTTTTGACGACACAATATTTCTTTAAGCAACAGATTAAACTCACTACTGTGCAGCGTATCCTGGGGAATGAGAGCGTGCAGGTGCTCCTGGACCAATCGGATTGCAGCATTACTCATCTCGTCAGTGGCCGAACGTGTCCGTGGCGCTACAGGGACCGTCTGCCGCTGGGGAACTGGACATGAGAATATAGAGACCAAAGTTACAACTAAACAACTAACTAAAACTAACAAAAACATTTCTGCTAATTGAAATAAAGCTGAAATAAATTAAATATAAATATTAGATATAATTATTTAAATGAGGAACATTGTGACGCGTTCAGAAACAGCGGGCACCGATATCGAGAATAACTCCCTTTAGACTGACTTTGTGCTTTGGAACTTTTTTCATGATCAAACGGCAACATTACACACTAAAGAAAAATGAACATGTAAAAAGTATAACAGGACCCCATTAAATTAAAAACAAAAATGAGAAAAGTTCCCTTGGCAAATAACTGAAATAAGTTATAACACTAAAATTACAAATGGAAAGTATATACAAATTAAAACCGAAATACTAATATAAAAAAAGACAAGTTATAAATATGTAAAAAGCTTATAAGAAAAAAGATATATAAATAATAAGGCATAAAAAAAAAAAAGTTTGGTTCTGGTTTGTTGTCAGTTGAGGTCATGGGTCGGTAGGGATTTTTTTTTTTTTTTTTTTTTTTTAGTGGCAGCAGCAAGGGATAGGTAGGAAATTATTCAGGGCTCGACCTTAAGCCTTTTCATATGCTTGCCCTCCAAACAAGTAAATCTGTCATTCACTTGTCAGAGTAAAAAAGTTGCTTGTCCGGATTTTTTTAAATTTTTAAATTTATTTATTCTGAAGCAATGTTCTCATCAGTGTTCAATCAGCTTTGATATTTAAATTGGCATATTGTAATATCTGCACCTTTGAAGGGCATCCCCTCCCCCAATCTTATTAAATGCCCTATAGTGTAAATTTATTGATCAAATTTAGGAATTTAAAATGAAAGATCAAGCATACTGTTACCCTAGGTAGGGCTGATCAAATTAAATAATTTACACTGAAAAATTACAATTGCATAAAATAATGTTATGAAATTGATTTAAATGTACAAATAAGAAACATCGGAAAGAAGTTTACTAGGCTACTTATAAACATAACACTAAACTGCCAATAGGTGGCGGCAGGCGGCCGTATTAATGAGTGAGTCATTGATTAATTAATTCAAACGATTCGTTTAAACGGTTGATTCATTCAAGAATGAGACAGTTCCAAACAAAAATCACAGCCATTTCATCTATTTTCGCTGCAGAAACAGAACAAAAACAGCCAATATTTCATCTAAAATGTAAGTGACTTAATTTTAACTGTTTATTGAACTGTTGTAGGAAATCAATGTCACATTTTCAATCGTGATATGGTATTCAGGAAAAATAATTGAGGATGCTTAACATGTTAAAATATAGAAACTCCACATTTAGATTTTTTATAGGCAGTATGTTGTTAACCTGTGTGTGTGTGTGTGCGCTGCGCTCATGTGTGTAGATTTCTCCTCGAGAGGCTGCGCGTGCGTCAACAGCGCACCTCACCGTCAGCAGGCTAATACATTTATTATCCACAATCGATCGCAACTTACAATAAAGGTAATAAAATCAGAATCATTCTCTCGGTTTAGTGATTCCCTAGTTATTTTTTTGTTTGTTATTGATGTTCTAATCAGGCTACTTGTCCATTCGGGCAAGTAAAATTCTCTTTTACTTGTCCTTCAAAAATACATTTGTCGCGGACAAGTTATACGGGCTCTGGAGATACGAAGCGCGGCAGGTTAGAGTGTTTTGGATTGCATAAAATAATAAAAGAAACGAACAAATACATGGCGAAAGAAGTGGTAGACAGCAGAAGAGGGTATTGGGATTTGGGATGATTTTTAATGAAACTTGGGAGGCGGATGGAGGTTACTCTGTAACTCATGTGGTGTGTGCGTGCCTATGAATGCATGCATTTGTATATGTGCGTATATGAATAAAAGTGTCCTTAATGACAAAAAAAAAAAAATACTTGTATATGTATTATAGTTCAGTTTGACGAACGATGTGTGAACGACCATGTAGCTACCTCGTTTGTTTTGCTGGAGGACAACAGGCATCTTGCATCGCGTGCTGTACAAAAACGTAAATTATAGTTCGCCTCAGTTTTTTATTTGTGTATTTATTTAATTTTTATTATTTCTTCCCCAAGCTCATAAAATAAATTTGGGTCGCACATAAATTGACAGGGTCGGTCGGAAACCGGAACCAAACAAACATTTTTTTTAAGCCTAACTGACACAGACAGATCGACTCTCAAATATTTAAGTCATGGGTCATGTTTCAACTCAATATTTAATAAATGCACTGTTAAGTTAAAAACACTGTTAGGGCCCGAGCACCGATGGTGTGAGGATCCTATTGGAATTGCTCTGTTTATTATTAATTGTAATATTAAATGCAAATGTTGAACCTGTGTATGTAGTAGTCTTGCTGATGGATTGCTGAGCTTCTGAGATTGCTTTGAGGATAAGATTTTTGTTGGCTTGTTTGGCTGGTGGGAGAGAAGGCCTGCGAAATACACACAAAACACCAATTTTTTTTAGGACTAAATCAATCTTGGCAATAATAATCAAAAACATCCTTATTTCAAAAATGTCTTTTCCATTATTTCAAAGAGGGACGTACTTGCGCTCAGGTTTCGATGGCAGAGACACTTTGCTGGCCATACCATAGTCCTCCTCATCTTCATCCTCCTCCTCATCCAGATCGTCAGCCTCCTGCCCGCGGTGGTCATGACCTCTGTGAACCCGAACCACCGAACTGGCCATGGGCGCCTTTCGTTTCCGGTACAAATCCTGCCAGCAGAATCATTGAGGTGAAGAGCTGTAGCATCAGAGAAGGACTGAACTGATGTTTCAATGAATCGAACTTCACTCACCCTGCTGCTCTCTGCTGAGCCCCTGTAGCCCCGCTCATGGCTGGAACCTGACCTTTCCTGACCTCTCGTGACGTCTGTGGATCTGTAAGCGTCCGCCGTCCGTCTGGAAGAATCCACCGCTGGCCGAGGCCTCTCTGCTGCCGATCGGCTGTATAAAGCCTGTGTGTGACCCGAGGTCAAGCTCTGCTCCAGGGGGTCATAGCCAATGAGATCATCGTCCAGGTCAGGCTTGATGTCAATCACAGCTTCAGCCGATGCCTCCATCAGCGGTTTGACGGCGGATGTGAGTCTGGAGGGTCTTTCAGAAGAGCCTCTCCTGCTACAGTGAGTTTGTAATAAATGGTTATCATGACTAAGTCAAATGAAAATAATAATAAATTGAAAAGAAATTCTGGGAGAAAAACTGAGGCGCAGATGCAGTGATGCCGTTTTTAATACTCAACAGGTGAGAGAGGTATTTTATAAAACAGATAAATTGCCATATGTAGCTCTAGCAGAGTTGACTGTAAAGCATTATCTATTGTGAAGGATCATTTCATTATGGTTGTTGTTGCACTGTGCAGGAAGTTATTTTCAAGGAAGTACCGTGTCTATTAATGGCTAAAGCTACAGTAACATCTTAAAGGGGTCATATAATGCCATTTTTGTACAAGCTAATATGATTCTTTAGGGTCTAAATTAAAAGTTTGTAATATACTTTAATTAAAAATTCTCATTAGTATTGTAAGAAAACACTTATTTTACCTGGTAAAAAACAGCTCTGTTTTCAGCACGCCGTTTCAGTGCATATGACTTTAAATGATCATGAGCTTTGCTCACCCCGCCCCTCTGTTCTGTGCGTACCCCAGAGCCGGCTCTGGCGTACACCGTTTGTAACACAATAACCATAACACGTTGTTCAGTATAAACGTGGGATTATGCATTATATTGAGAACGTCATACATAGAAAACATGCCATAATGTACCCTAAGTGTAAACCTTAGACGCATTCATTGTGAAGCGTGCAGCTAGCGATTTACAAGGATTAATATAAATATTAATATAAAGTTTAATAAAACGTTACACTCACTTCAGTTGTTCTAGAGCAGTGGTTCTCAACCCTGTCCTGCAGGACCCCGAACACTGCACGTTTTCTTTGTCTCCCTAATCAAACACACCTGATTCAACTCATCAGCTCATTATGCTGTTTTAATCTCCATAATCAAACACACCTGATTCAACTCATCAGCTCATTATGAGCTGATGAGTTGAATCAGGTGTGTTTGATTAGGGAGACAAAGAAAACGTGCAGTGTTCGGGGTCCTGCAGGAGAGGGTTGAGAACCACTGCTCTGGAGGTTCAGCAGGAACACGAATATCTGGTACCGATCTTTTTTCAGGAGCAGCTTCCTAGCAAAACCAGCTTTATACCTCCTCGTTTATAAAGCAGTCTGATGTGTGAAATGATTCGCGCAAACATGAGAGCATTGACGTTGCTCGTGGGGAATATTCCCTTCGAAAACAAACTCAGCCACTGCGTCTTCGGTGGTTCGGATTTAGGAACATTAAAATGACTGCGGTGTTCGTTATTACACCCAAGAACAGAACACCACAATCGCTTAGACGCCATTCTGCTCATAGACAGTGCTCCAGCATATCAACAATGACCGCGCCGGTCCGCGCAGGCTATGATTAACAGCTCTCACGAGCGAGGGCGGGTCTGTGTTGAAACGCGCCTATCAATCAACAATCGTGGGAGGGGCGTGCGAGCTTGTGACGTCACAGGCTCGAATGGCTCGATTTGAGGCAGGGGAAAACATATGGAGATTAAAACAAAACCAATGGATGGATTTTTATCATTATATGATGGCTGTGTACAGGCACTGCCAACACACATTTCAGTACAATCAACTTGTAAAAGTGCATGTACCATTATATGACCCCTTTAAGCTAGAGATCCTTTCCATCTAAACTGGTTATATCTATTAAGCCTAGTAGTGAATGTTTGATGAGCAGCATGATAACCATATTCATCCGCAGTCACACAGAGCCGAAGCACAACCAAAACAATGTTCTTCCGCAAAATACATGCAGTTTTTACATGCTAGAGGGCGAAAATGTGCTACATTTAAAATAAGAAATAAATTGTAATACTATTGTATTAATAAAAATATTTTATATAACTGTTAAATTACAATACTAATATTTAAGTCTAAATTTCTTCATTTTCAAATGGTGAACCATCAAGATTTTATTTTGATGGGTTACCAACAAATACAAATATGCCCTGCCAGTTTCAGAATGATGTGTTAATTTTAGGGCTGTCAAACGATTAATCGCGATTATCGCATCCAAAATAAAAGTTTGTGTTTACATAATATATGTGTGTGTACTGTGTATAATTATTTTTAATACATAAATACCTACACATGCATGTGTATTTAAGAAATATTTGCATGTATATACTGTATATAGACTGAATGTAGCCTATATATAATGTATATTTTATATAAATATAAACATTTTTAATATAAATAACATATTTTTCTTAAATATATACATGTGTGCATTTATATACAAAATAATTATACACAGTAAACACACATATATTATGTAAACACAAACTTTTATTTTTGATGCGATTAATCGTTTGACAGCCCTAGTTAATTTCCAAGTATGCAGTTTGAAACCGGAAGTGCATATATCATGTAATTAAATCTCAGGCTGTGTAATTTGACAATCGCACCAAGCCATGTCCCGACATCAATTTTATTTTGACATATCTTGAAGCCCCAAGTCAAATTCACAGTGATTTGCCGATCCACAAATGAGAATGAAATACCTGGTGCGGTTCTCGTGTGCGGAGCTCGAGACACGCCCCTCCACCTTATCAGAGCGCGAGCTGGAAACGGCGAGAGTGCGAGGCTCCGCCCCCCTCCTTTTGCTTTCTGCTGGGATGCTCGTCTCTGAGTGCACAACGGGTGGACTGACAGATGTGGGCTCTGCAAAAGAAAAAAGCTAAAGTCAAAATATGCACTATGGGATGCAACAAGTCACATGATGTGAGTGTAAACAACATCTCCAACATGAATCATACCAACTGCAACCGATCTCAGCTTCTCCAGAACACCATGTAACCTACAACGCAAATTTTGTAATTTTTAAATCTTTGCTTTACTGGGTTTAAGCAAACTGTTTTCAACATTGATAATAATCAGAAATATTTCTTGAGCATCAAATCAGCATATTAGAATGATTTCTGAAGGATCATGTGACACTGAAGACTGGAGTAATGATGCTGATGCTTTAAAATATATTCAAATACAAAACAATTATTTTAAATTGTAATAATATTTCACAATATTACTGTTTTATTGTATTTTTGATCAGTTTTGGTGAGCAGAAGAGACAAAAATGAAAGTCTTAGAGACACCAAACATCACAATCTAGAGAGGGAGACTTTCACCTACCATACAGTGAACTTGATGGTATTATTTCCTAGAAACAAGGACAGATCATCCGCCATTTGCTGCGGGTTCTTCTTATTGGCCACCATGACCATGATGTAATCCGGAAGCTCCTCATCTGACAGAGACAAACGGTAAAGTGATTAATCCAGTGAACTATCATATTAAACAGTTTAATACAGTTATAATACAACATAATTTACACATGCATGAGGATGGAAAAATTTACTGCTAATCTAACCCTGGATGATGATGATGATCACAACTAATTTGTTTAATTTATTAGACTCATTTATTTATTTAAAGACTTTCTTAGTTTAGTCAGCACTGTTATTTTACTTAATGCTACTCATTTTGCTTGTTTAATTACTCTTTTGTAATTTGACATTGCAGATATCTCTTTGCAATACAAATATAAAGTTTCTGACATGGCAGTCAAGGTGCAGGAGTAAAAATGTAAGTGTCTGTAAGTGGCATTTCAATCTGATTCTCTAGAAAACTTACTGAACCTCCTGTTTACTGAAGATTTTCCAATTTGCTGGAGCAAACACTACAAATAATACCTAATGAAAACACAATACAGTTGATCAAAACTAGATCCTGTTGATCTGGACTTCTTACCCACATAAGCGCCGAGCTCCTGCAACTTTCCTTTGATTGCGGCCTGAAAAACATTAAGAGAAAATGATTAAATATAGAACTTTGTCTGCACTGATACATGAGTATTAAAGAGACAAACAATAACTACCAAACTAACATTGACATAGCACTGTGGTAGTGCTATTGTACAAGTGACGCCATCACATTACAATACCATAACACTTTAAAATTTATCATGGTAAAATAGGCTCATTAAAATCGTTATTACATGCTATTCCCAACGTCCTTCAAATAACACTATGGTTCTTAGTGAAGATATGTTATCAAAATACACAACCGAACAAACTCTTTACTCCATTTTAAAATACAGAAAACATTCAAAACACGCTCAATAAAAGTGAAACGGTGATAAAAGACAAAAACGAGCAATAACGTTGACACGCACTCAACAGCACATACATTGAAACAACTGTTATGAAGGTAAGCTAGCACGCTAAACAGCGCAGAATTCAACGCGTTGTAAAGTGTTTACCCTTATTTTCTTGCTAATCTCCGTTCCGATCTCCATATTTAATTGGTGTGTTGCTTTTCCTCGGATTAATATATTATTGAAACTAATAGAACATAGAGAAATAAGAAAGAGGAAGAGTTTTGCTGTTGCTAGGCCTCGCGTCCGGCTTGTCTATTCATACTGCGCATGCGCAGCCCTTTCAGCTCGACAGAATAATATTTTTTTAATTTTAGGATTTAAAAAAAAATTATAATATGAACAAATTTGTGAGTGATTTTTTTTATGTGTTTTTGGACACTTTTTTTGAATCACCCCCTTTTTATATAAATAATGCTACTGCTAAAATTATAATCATATAAAATTATAATTGTAATATTACAATAATTACAATTATTGTTATTATTATATTTAGTGTTTTTGTTTTACTTTATTACATATTTTGATTAATAGACCAAATGGTACAAACTTTTTTCAAAACAGATTAGACTAGATTTTAATTTTTGTTTTGTGTATTTTTTATTTCTTTCTGAATTTTTGTTATTTTTCACTTTATTTTCTGTTTTCTTTTTCAATATCTATGGTTTTGTATAATGTTATTGTTATATAAAGTAATATGTACAAGTTTGTAAAATGTAAAACAATTTTAGCGTCACTCCTCCTATCCGCCAGGTTGCGCTAATGCGCCCACATACTCTCTCTCTCTCTCTCTCTCTCTCTCTCTCTCTCTCTCTCTCTTTCTCTCACACACACACACACACACACGCATGTCTTCAGCTGTCAAAAGTCGTAAGTTTGATGCGGTTCAGATATTTAGGCATACATTAAATAATCGAGTGTGAGAAGATGAGCCGGAGCCGTTTTTATATCTCTAACTTAACGTTATATCCTGTATGAATAAAGTGACAGCGAGTTATATCCGCGCGAGAGAAACGCAGATGTACTGATACAGGAGGATTCAGGGGGATTTTACGGACAGGACACGATGAGCTGGTTCGGTAGGAGCACACTGATCGGTCTCGGCGTCAGTGTGACTCTCAGCACCGGCCTGATCGCATTATTGATCATTAAAGAGGCTCTCAGGCGGAGAAACAGACGCCTTTTGCTGCACAACACGAGCTCCGGGTCGCAGAATGACGCAGGTATGGACCAAAACACCATATACATAATCATCATCATCATCATCATTTATTGTGGAAATACCATATGCATTAACAAAAATGGGCTAAAGGAAAAACAAAAATGGGTTAAAGGAAAAGCCAACTTTTTGTTATTTCAGATAGATATGAAAAATTATATTTACCGGTAGGTACTACAATGGGTTGAAAAATAGTTAAGCATAGTTAAGATATAAATAGTTAAGTCTCTATGTGAAGCTTTTATGCTATTTATATGATGATCTCATACCTGTTATTTTTTCTGTTTATATTATTTTCGTTTTCTTTCTTTTTACTTGTATTAATATTTTATAAATTACACTGTTTATTTTATTTTCCTATTTGTTGTAGTCAATATTTGTTTAATATTTTTACACTATATGTTGGATTATTGTCATGTTTATTATTTGTATGTAACTGGCATTCAATAATAAAAATAAATAAATAAAAATCATCATCATCATTATGTTCTCTCTGTTTCTCTCAAAATATTGTATATCACACGATAAATATGATCTGGCAGACTGGCACACTGTACTCATGTATATGACACTGATGAGCTGCTCTCTCTCTGTGTGTGTGTGTGTGTGTTCAGTGGACTCTGCGGCTCTTTCTGCAGCAGTGAGGGGTTTGTCTCCTGAGCAGCATGTGGAACTGAGGAAGACTCTGGATGAGGTGATGAAGAGTGTGTCCAGTCTGAAGAATGAGATCGCAGAGCTGCGTGAGGGTCTGAAGGACATCACCACCACCATCGCTGAAGATGTGAAGTGCGTGATCAGTGTTTCTTCTCATCTGATCCTCTTTGTCATTATCCCACATGACATCTGTCACCTCATCTCATTTGAGTCTCCATCCTGTCTCATCTGAGTCGTCTCATTCTCTCTTTTGTCTCATCTGATTTTCACTTGTCTCATCTGAGTCTCTTTTTGTCTCATATGAGTCTCCATTTAAGCTCTTTCCTCTCTTCTCCTCTCATTCTCTCTATTGTTTCTTCTGACTTTCACTTGTCTCATCTGAGTCTCCCTCCTGTCTCACCTGACACATCTCATTTAAGTCTCCATTGTCTCATCTGACTTTCTCACCTCTTCTCTCATTCTCTCTCTTTTTTCCTCCGACTTTCACGTCTCATCTAAGTCTCCCGCTGGTCTCATCTGACTCTCATTTGAATCTCCATTGTCTCAGCTGACTCTCTGTCCTCTAGTCTCATTTTTGTTTCTTCTGACTTTCTCTTGTCTCATCTGAGTCTCCCGTTTGTCTCATCAGGCTCTTCTGACACATTTGAGTCTCCATTGTCTTAGGCGACTTTCTCTTCTCTCCTCTGATTCTTTCTATTGTTTCTTCTGACCTTCTCTCGTCTCATATGAGTCTCCCGACTGTCTCATCTGACTCTCTCTTGTCTCATTTGATTTCTACTTTTCTCAACTTATTCTCTCTATTGTTTCTTCTGACTTTGACTTGTCTCATCTGAGTATCTCTCCTGTCTCATCAGACTCTCTTGTCTCCATTCTCTCATCTTATTCTCTCTCTTCTTTCTTCTGACTCTCACTTGTCTCATTTGAGTCTCTCTCTTTTCAGGAAGACTGTGGAGGAGAGTCAGAGATCGCGGCGTCGGCGGACGCTCATGCCGAGGGAACGCTCTGAATCTGTGAGCTCCAGCTCCATTTATTTCACCGCCAGTGCCGGGGCCGCCAGTCAATATGACGACAGTGAAGTCGGGTATGTCACCGTGTCACAGAGCTGCTGTGTCACACTTGACGTTTGTACATACAGGACGCTGTGTAGCTCTCGAGGTTGTGTTCATTTCAGCAATTGAGCTCTTCGTGCTTTCATGAGACAGGAGAGAGTTCTGTTAGAACGGTGTCGTGTTAGTTAAGTTAGTAACTAATGATCTTTTCAACGGAAGTGAATCAATCAAAACTAACTTTAGCTGGACAGTAACTTTATTCTAGAGCTGCTGTAAAGCCAAAACAATCTCTGTTACTGTAATTTTACTGTAAAGCTGCTTTGAAACAATCTATATTGTTAAAAGCTCTATATAAATGAAGGTGACTTGACTTGACTCGACTCTTCCACAGATACTCCACGGCATATTCCAACGTTGAGTCCGACTACACGGACAGAGAGACGGATAAAGATGGTGAGGATGACGGCAGAGACTCGGATGAGGAGGAAGAGCAGAGCTGTGCCACGGTGCTCACGCTTCAACAGGACGATTCGCAGCTTGAGGAAGAGGATGATGAAGATGCCGGGTTAATGGTGGACACTTTAACGGACAGTCCCAGCCCTGAACTCTCCCTCCTGCTCGCCCAGTGTGATCTGCTGCACGCAGGGGACTCTGGGAAAAAAGCAGAGGGCTTCAAGCTGCTGACGGAGAACAGACCACTGGTGAGTGACTGATGTCTAGAGAGCATATGTTTCATGATAACCACATTAAAACACACAAGATGTTTCTTGAGCAGCAAATCAGCACATAAGAATGATTTCTGAAGGATCATGTGACACTGAAGACTGGAGTAATGATGCTTTGCATCACAGGATGTTGCATTACATTTTACAATACATTTAAATAGAAAACAGTTATTTTAAATAGTAATAATATTTCACAACATTACAGGTTTACTGTATTTTTGATCAAATAAATGCAGTCTTGGTGAGCAGAAGAGACTTCTTTCAAAAAGAAAAAAAATCTTATAATCTTAATCTTCAAATATTTTATAGTAAAAATTCAAAGCAAGTGGCAAGTATATATATATATATATATATATATATATATATATATATATATATAAAAAGATAGCATAATTACACTGTTCAAACTAAATATTTCACAAAAGATTGTTTGAAATAATAAAACAATCAAAATAAAGCTGAATCATATCAATTGTAATAAAAATAGTGTTTCTCTGTGCATGTGTGTCAGTATGCCGATAACATGGAGTTTATGTGGCGACTGGCTCGTGCCTACAGCGACATGTGTGAGACGACAGGCAACAGAGAAGAAAAGAGAAACTACGCAGAGCAAGGTGAGGACATATCACATGACATTTCGTTCCAGTCACACACTAGGAAGTGGACTACACTTCCGAACATCATGCTTTGTGAGAAAGTCACTGCAAATGCTTAGAAAACATCCCCTGCTGAGCATCCTAATTTAGGAAGCACTACAGACTCTCTAGGGACCCTATGAATTGGATTGCAGCTTATAATGTACTGTAAATGCACTGACCTTTGACCTTTTGACACTTAAGGTCACTATGAAGCCGAGGCAGCGCTGACGAGGAATGGACTGAGTGCAGATTGTCACAAGTGGTATGAAAACAACACACACTTTCTTCTATGGAAGCTTGTTTCTGCCACAGAATAAAGAAAAATGTAAAAATGTAGTTTATATCTCATTATATCCCGAGTTTATATCTCACAATTCAGACTTTTTTCTCTTAATTACAAGTTTATATCTCACAATTCAGACTTTTTTTTTCTCATAGTAGTGAGTTTATATATAAACTCAGAATTGTAAGAAATAAATGTAGAATTGTGAGATATAAACTCACTACTGTGAGAAAAAAAGTTAAAGTTGTAAAATATAAACTAATTGTACGAAAAATGTCAGAATTATGAGAAATAAACTTGTAATTAAGAGAAAAAAGTCAGGATTGTGAGAATGTAAACTCCTAATTGTTAGAAAAAAGTCAGAATTATGAGATATAAACTCCTAATTGTAAGAAAAAGTCAAAATTGTGAGATATAAACTCCTAATTGTAAGAAAAAGGTCAAAATTGTGAGAATGTAAACTCCTAATTGTAAGAAAAAAGTCGAAATTGTGAGAATGTAAACTCCTAATTGTAAGAAAAAAGTCAGAATTGTGAGAATGTAAACTCCTAATTGTAAGAAAAAAGTCAGAATTGTGAGAATGTAAACTCCTAATTGTAAGAAAAAAGTCAAAATTGTGAGAATGTAAACTAATTGTAAGAAAAAAGTCAAAATTGTGAGAATGTAAACTCCTAATTGTAAGAAAAAAGTCAAAATTGTGAGAATGTAAACTCCTAATTGTAAGAAAAAAGTCAAAATTGTGAGAATGTAAACTCCTAATTGTAAGTAAAAAGTAAAAATTGTGAGATTGTAAACTCCTAATTGTAAGAAAAAAGTCAAAATTGTGAGATATAAACTCCTCTAATTGTTAGAAAAAAGTCAGAATTATGAGTTATAAACTCGGAATTGCGAGAATACAGTGGAAAATTGTGATATAACCTTGCAATTGTAAGAGAAAAGTCAGGAATGCGAGATATGAACTCCTAATTGTAAGACAAAAATGTCAGAATTGTAAGATATAAAACTCCTAATTGTTAGAAAAAAGTCAGAATTATGAGATATAAACTCCTAATTGTAAGAAAAAAATCAGAATTATAAGTTATAAACTCGGAATTGCGAGAAAAAAGTCAAAATTTTTATATAACCTTGCAATTGTAATAGAAAAGTCAGAATTGCGAGATATGAACTCCTAATTGTAAGACAAAAATGTCAGAATTGTAAGATATAAAACTCGTAATTGACAGAAAAAAGTAAAAATTGTGAAAATATACTTGGAATTGTGAGATAAAAAGTTATTACCTTTTTATTAATTTTTTTATTCTGTGGTAAAAACAAACTCATACCTCTGCCGTATGAGATGGTTTATAATGCCTGTAGTTCATAATACATAATACATCGGCGCTCTCTGTCAGGTTTGCCGTCCTCGTGCGCTTGTCTTCACAGTACGAGAGCATTCACGGGAAACTGAAAAGCGGCCGCGTTCTGAAGGTGAGCCAGTGGTGCTCTCCTCCGAGTGTCTTCCTTCATTGACTTCAGGCGTGTGTTTAATGACTGTGTTTGTTCCTGGATGTTCTGACAGGAGCATTTGGATCGAGCTTTGGCTCTGCGTGACGATGATCCGACCTGTTTCTACCTGCTCGGCCGCTGGTGTTTAGAGGTCAGTTCCGACTGAGGAAACAATGCCAACAATCTCAGCAATAATTAACATGCCCCTATTGCGCTTTTTCAGATATTACCTTTCATTTAGTGTGTAACATAGCAGTTTGTGAACGTAAAAGGTCTGCAAACATTCAAAGATAAAAGTTATTGTCTCCCAAAAGAAAGAACTGATTGTAAACTGCCTGAAACGAATCGTCAGTAATTCCAGTCTTATTTCCAGCTTGAACCTATGTAGATTTGTAACAAATTTGCATAATGCCCGCCTACGGTCTTTATTGGCTGCCCACGAACAACGACGCCCTCGTTACTGTTCATATCACTGTGTTTACAAGTGTTGAGGAAATTCAGATATGGTAATGGGCATTTGGTTTCTGTCACGCACTGTAAGCGGTCGACCAATCACAACAGAGTGGGTCGTCTAACCAATCAGAGCAGAGGAGGGGTTTAGAGAGACTGAATCCTTGATTGAACCATTTTAGAAACCATTTTGACCTTGGATGCATGTAAACCCACTGTAAGAGAATGTTAACCACTTTCAGACGACTGTGCCAAACCCTCATGCGGTCTGTGTGTGTGTGTTGTAGGTGAGCTCTCTGGGTTGGCTGGAGAGGAAAGCTGCCGCCACACTTTATGAAACTCCTCCTACATCCTCACTGAATGAAGCTTTGGAGAACTTCCTCAAGGTATCGATTGGTTGCTAGTCTTTGATCAGTAGTATGAAATGATATGGATCTGAGATTTACAGCTTCATCAAACATGCTCTGGTGTTTCTGATTGTCCGATCTCTAGGCGGAAGAGTTAAATCCTGGATTCTCTAAAACAGTCCGGCTTTATATCGCCAAGGTAACTGTACTGTCTACACATTACACAACACATATTGGGTATAATATCTTCAAGACATGTCATTCTCTTATGGTGCGTTCACACCGGACGCAAATAGCGCGTCTGGCGCGAGTGATTTCAATGTTAAGTCAATGCAAAGACGCGTTACGCGCGTAAAAAATTCCTGCGGCGCGAATGAGGCGTAGAGCGCGGCGCGGTAGACGCGAATACGCCTCATTCGCGCGTCAAGTTCGCGCGAATGGCGTGAATTGAGCGTCTGGCGCGTTAAGCGCGAATGATTTAGTTAGTGCTATTTGTGCATTCACGCGTTTGACGCAAATTCGCGTCTGCCGCCCGAGTTGAAAAATCTGAACTTCTGCGTCAATTCGCGCCGCGTTAACCAATCAGGAGCCTAGCTGCTTGCTGCTGTCACGTGGTGAAGTATCTGGATGCTTCAATAAATTATTTTGTAATATATGACTGTGGTTCTAATGCACAACAAAGCAAATATTTTATCACATAAAACTTGATTTCAATATATGAGACATATTCATTTTGCATTGAATGCTATTTATTCCATATCTAGATTATATGAAATATTATTATAATGTAAAGACAACCAACATATAAGTTCGTGTCTGGACAGTGATGTGTGAGAGAGAGAGAAAAATCACAGGACAGATTAATCACTTTTGGAGGCTGGCTTCATTTATTATCAAAACAAAAATAAATGACAGATTAGGTGGATGCGGGCGAGGATGAACCTCGCGCCGGGCTGTAGAGCGCGGGCTCGACAGGCATAGCTAGACCACTCGAGGCCGAGGGCTTATACGGCCTACGCTGTCCTCGTCGGCGTCCTCACCATTAGGTCCACCAAACCTAGCTCCTGGAGCAAATTGTGAAACTCCTGAAACCCTCCGGAGGTTCTGGTGGACCCGAGTACAGCGACGATGTCCCTTACGCAGCTGTTTCTGCTCTCCAGAGCATATACGAGCGGTGACTCTCTCGAATAATGCTAATGCTAATGCTCGATAAACATCTAAAAAGATGGCCGCCAACGGGTTTCGAAACTTTCGCCTCCGGATTTCGCCTCTGACGCGCGTAAATTTCGCGTCAAACTTGTTTTTACGCGCGTCAATTTCGCCATTGACACGCGAATTAACACAAAGTGGTCAAGCGTCAAACTAGACGCGGTAGACGCGAATTTGACGCGCTATTCGCGTCCGGTGTGAACGCACAGTTAAAGGGACAGTTCATCTGAAAATGACAATTGTGTCACTGAGATACACTCATGTCATTCCAGACCTGCATGCCTTTAAATCTTTGTGAAAGAACTGGATGAACTGCTTTAAAAATGATTTCTTATTGGAATAAGATGCATTTATATCCTTTTGTTTGCAGTGTCATAAGGAGCTCGGAAACGTGTCAGAGGCCAGGAATTGGGTCCAGTTATCTCTGAGCACACCAGCAGGAGCAAATGAGGTGAAGTGCATTCGTACTCTCAGGCCGTTTACACCTGGTATTAAGATTGGATCACAAGTAGACGAGGGAGACATACCCGTTTACACCTGGTGTTTTAATCCGTCTCTTTTGTCCACTTTTAAACACTTCTGTCCTGATTTATTCGAGGGGAGGGTCTATGAGCGGGTAAATCTTTGGGTTTTTTCAGATCTTTTTCAGATCTAATCTAAAATAAGCTCACGCAATTTACATATGAACACGACTGGAGAAAACAGAAAAACACACGGAGAGCATCAGCTTTAGTTTCTGCTCTGACAGCCACAAGACCAGCCGAACGCTGTGAGCAGGGACGTACTGGGACTGAAATTCAGCCCGGGACTTTAAGATGGAGAGGCCTTTTACGCGAGTGCCCTAGGTGCACGAGCAGAAGGATTTTTTGCAGTTATTTTAATTCTAATAGTGTTTTTATGGCATAAAGAGAATCAGATTACACTGAAGACCTTCAAGAAATTTTAGGATGACACTTGCCTCTTCAGGTTGTATAAGCAAGTCACCACTGCACTGAACACAACCAGGTCAGCAAAACCTAATCTCGAACACATAAGTCACAGTATACTGCTAACAGAGGTGGAAAGAGTAATAAAATATTCTACTCAAGTAAAAGTACTACTACTTCCATTAAATTTTACTTAAGTACAAGTAAAATTACCGGTCTAAAAATCTACTCAAGTAAAAGTAAAAAGTAGCTCATTTAAAATTTACTCAGAGTAAAAGTTACTGAGTTACTTTTTTAACAGCGGGGGTGGGGGACTCTCCTGTGTAGGGTTGTAATGGTATGAGATTTTGACAGTATGATAACGTCTCAGAAAATATCACGGTTTACAGTATTAATCAATTATTAAATAAACTGTATTATTAAATTATGGTTATTATTATTATTATTATCATCATCAGTTAAAATGACAGTTAAATTAATTTAACAGGGTTTTTTTTGGTTGAACAAATTAATCATAACAAACTTTAAACCATTTGTGTTTTGTTTATTAAAATTTCAATAAAACCCTGTCTAATCAATTAAATTCGATAATTGATAATGAATTACATTAACAACTTATTTTTAACATTAATTATTTATTAAAATGTTTAAGAACAATATTGTCCTATGAAGTGTATTTTATTCAGAAAATTAATGTTTCTTTTTATGATTTAATCCAAATATATTATCAAAAACGGTGGTAATCAAATGTAAATTTAAACTTGTGTCCTTTTATTTTTTTGAGGAAGCGCTGCAAAAACAGATTTACTAAATTAAACCATGGACAAAAAATATATTCCTTTAAATGTTTAAATAAAATGTATTATTATTGTTGTTATTATTATTATTTTGAGAAGTAGGCTACGTTCTATTGTATGCCTACATATAGTTTACACTACAAAAGCAATCCGGATGCGTTTTCAAATACCTCTGGAAGTGGTCAAAAGTGGACGAGCTCAAAATGTTTTAGACCCCTTTTACACCTGTTATTTAGTGTCGTCCACTTGTGATCTGATCGACCAAAACGCATCTTAATACCAGCTGTAAACAGGGCATTAATAGTTTAATTAGGATTGGCAGCATGTGACATTTGTTGTAGTTTTAATGTTCCCAGATTGATTGTTCTGTTTCTTCAGGATTCTGACAGCGCCGCTCTACAGGAGGAGCTGAAGGCTTTGATTGACTGCACTGCTGACCTATCTAAAAGCAGTATCGATCATTAGGGTGGGGTCTAATGAAAACTGTGATCTATTTTTTTTTTTTTACATTTCACCAAATATGTGCTCTATTTTATTTATTTAAATGGATAATTTCCCTCCAGTAATCTGGAAAAAACCCCTCAATATTATATATAAAAATTATTTACTATTATTCACATATCTCCTTTCTACATAAAACACTTGCATTTCATTCCTTTTAAAAAAAGATGAAGGTAATTCATATCATTCCTCGTTTTTTTTACATTTAACCATGCTGTGAAATTAAGTATTTAACCGTCTAATCGATTACGTTTGAAATGAAGTGAATTCCTGAAATATGACAATAAAATTCCACAATTGTCTCTCAGTATTTTGCTGTCCCCCCCCCCCATCTATTTTAATGGTTCAATCCTCTTTTGGCACATACATTCAAACAAACACACTTATTAGTTTAACAGATAAAACGCTTTATGAGTAGTTTTATGTACAAGAAAAAGATTCAGTCCAGACAAAACGCACAAATAACAAAAGCTGTAAATAACAAATAAAGAGGTTGACGTCACAATAAAGAGCAAATAATTACACCAGCTCAGATCCATCAATCTGCACATATGTAAATAAACCATGAATTTCACTCTTCAAGGGTTCATTCTTTTTCCAAAGTATAATTCCAGACTAAACACATTTTAAAGGAGTCTTTTCTCCAGCTGATGGTCTCGTATGGCTCACAGCAGTGCAGGTTTCTCTGATCTAAGCAAGTTTCAGTCTTTGGCATCTCCCACTCCATCAGCATTAATGGCAAACATGGCCTCCGACTCGGGCAAACATGGGGAGTCGTAGATCTTACATATCCTCGTCTCACCTCGACCCTTCCGCAGGTATAATCTACACGAGAGACAGACATTATTAATCTATAGAGCAAGTGAGCATCAATCGACACCATCCACTGCTAAGTTTTACCGAGTAGTCGATGCGTGTGCCAGAATGTTTCCTCCAATCGGCTTCTTGGGATCTGCAGAAAACATGGCCGCTCCGTCCACCTGTGCTACCACCTGGTTAGTGATGACAACGGCCACGCCAAACTACATACGAGACACAACACACACATATCCATGAGCTCACGTCATATACAAGACACTAGTGAAGGACTAGCTGTGAAACTTAATTTTTTTTAAATTGTTAATTTATTTTTCAAAAATGCAAATTGATAAAACACTGTTCAAACTGAAAATATGTCAAACTTATTTAAACAGTTTAATGTTTAAAAGCATAGTTGAAATGTAAATAAATAAAACATGTAAAAAATAAGATATTAAATATCCAATTGAAAAGTAAAAAAATGCTATTGGACAGTTCAAATATAGGAGCAGCCAATGAATACAGGACACCACCTAAAATCAGTTTTACCGTAAAACTTAAAATAATAGCCGAGTCCCAAATAGACGCCTGTCTCTTTTACACGCCTGGTGTGGCTGCAGGTTTGGGTAAATAAAGGCCAGTCTCAAATAGAGGCCGGGTCTGTTTTTTAGACAGAAGACAACATGCTTGGCACTCTGTTTTTTAGACGGCCGCCAAAGCACATTTTTGTCCCTCCAAAGCCTTTTTTTGATCGATGAGTGATGTAGAATAGAATGACTGCTGCGCTTGACAGGGCGCGTTACGAGCAGAGAGAGAGAGAGAGCGCCCCGGCCGCGCGCGCGCGCACTCTCACGTCTTCAAACAACACGAGCGCTGTCTTGCTCTCTCTCCCTCGCGCATATTAATCAAAATCAATTGGCGCGATAGTAAAAGGTCGGAAGACCGCAGTTTCACGTGGAACATTTGGAGATTTTTAGAGATTAGAGACAGGCCTATACACTCAATGAACAACATCTCAACACTAAATTATAAAGGCCTGTCTCATATAGACGCCTGTCTCAAATACAAGCCGGTGCAGTTCGACGATTTGGGTAAATAAAAGCCCGGGCTACTATTTGAAGTTTTACGGTATATATATATATATATATATATATAAAATATATATTAATTAATTATTGTCAAGGTTATAGTTAACTAAAATTAGAAACATTAAAAACAAGTTTGTTAACAAACCGAAAATTATTTTTCATTCTTAATTTTGTATTTTTTTATCTAGTTTCCAAGGTAACATTCCTCAACATCTTTTTTTAACTTTATGTATGAAAATAAAAAAACTGAAATAAAAATGATAGACAAAAAAATGGTAACTGTACTTAAAGCCAATTTCAGATGTAACAAGGAATTTGCAAATATAATGCATTTGGTTAAAGAGAGATATGAATGAGAGATATAATGCATTATAATGTACATTATGAATACCATTATAATGAATTATACATAAATTCTTTAAGTGTTACTAAAAAAAAAAACTAATAAGGCAAAAACACAACTAAATTACTAACGTTAACTAAAATTTTAAATAAAACATTCAAAATACAAAAAAAAACCTAATAGTACTATAATAATACTAAAATAACATGCTTGGCACATCTTGTGGATTATACTGCATGTTATACAGCTTCTACAGGGTATTACTAAATTATTTATAAAAAATATTTAAAAATAAGGTTTATAAGGTAAAACATTATAAAAGATACACAAGAAATTATTATAAAAGCGATTTAAAAAAAAGAAAGAATTATGACAAAAATCCTCTTACAGATTCTGCAATTTCTGAAGAGCTGCGTTACCTCATCGGCGAGACGGAGCAGCATGCGCAGAAAGCGTCCCAGATGCCCCTGGCGGGCGGACAGCTCTCCTCGTCCAGAGTAATCTGTCCTGTAAAGTGCAGTCGCGCTGTCTACGATCAGCAGAGCGTATCTGAAGAGAGATTGAGAATATTTCAGCGCGGCGAGCGGATGGAAGCAGTCTGGAGTCAGTTTCTGGCTGGATGTGTGCGTTACCTGGACTCCGTCATCATAGCGGAGGCCTGAAACAGCAGCTGCGTCTGATGGTCTGTGTTGAAGGCCCTGGCGTACGCCACATTATCCAGCACGTCACTGCCCACCAGCCCGTACCTGACAGAACCAAACACACACTTCAATGTTTTGCACATATTAGATTCATGAGTGTTTGGAAAGCGGCTCTGACCTCTCCGCTACAGCCAGCAGTCTCTCGGGACGAAAGGTTCCTTCAGTGTCGATGTACATGGCTTTTCCTTCCCCACCGCCCTGATCTATGGGCAGCTGAGATGCAAAGTTCATGTTTTAATAAAGATAAAAGTGACTGTTTACCAGATTTACATGGTTATTGAGTTTAACAGGGGTTAAATACTGGATATAACTTTGCAGAGTTATGTGATTTTATCACATAAATCTTAGCACATAAAATTCGCTCTCGCCGCCTAGCCAACGACGCCGTGGAAAGATACGTGGACGCTCTGACGTAGATTGAATGCTTGGTCTTTTTTAAAACTGTATTTAAAGGGGCCACAAAGCAAACAAGCATGTCGATCGTTATTTTTGCAGACTGACCATAGGGTATAAGTTAACCTCATGGAATCTTTTAAATGTGAAAGTAATAAATTGATCGATGGAAAGAACTTATATTATAGTGACATGTTTGCTAACTAAATAAACCAATTAAAAGCCATTTGTGTGGTGTGGCTTTGTATTTATTGTTAAGTGCTAATCTAATTTGCATTCCCGCTGAAAAACATGCGTTCTAGCGCGAAAATCTTGCCTATAAATAGTTTTGCGCGACTTCTTTTCAAATTCAAATGATCATCCTCTCCTCTATTTTGCTTGGGAACTAAGGCCATGCTTAAAAATATTCTTGTTTGCCGTAACCCGACCGACCCTGTCAAATTAGGACCGACCCAATTATTTATTTTTTTCCCCTTTTAGTCCGACCGACTTGCCGGTTGTAAACTTGCATTAAGACCGACCGATTTTTTTTTTACTCTTCAAACAACTAATACAAATGCAATAAAATAATATACATTTATTATAGTAAGTATTGTGAATATAAATTGCGTAGGCTACGTTCTTTCTTTTAAATAAAAACCCGTGGCGTCATCTATTATGATTATGTTTACACCATTGGTTTACGCATGTCACACTATGGCCTGTGCGTTGGCTTCGTTTCATTCACTGTCAATGGTTCGCGCTCGGTGATGATGGCTGCGGCGCGGCTGCTTGTGAAATACGTCTGTATGAGCCTACATTTAGTCGCTCATTATTCGAAATTCTTAATGGTCAAATAGGGAATCGATGTTAACGGCCTTTTCTCGGAGCCCGTCCAGCTCGTCATGACATGCCCACCGCGAACGCGCGTCACACAGCAACTGCAGGCTCTGACAAACAAACACACATAAGTGTGGGAAGCCAAAAACACCGAAAGGGGGACGAAACGGCGCGGTGTGTTACAGAGTTCGCGCTGCGCTGACTTGTAATCTGCGTGGCTCAATGGACCGAGACGCGCGAGCGCGACAGACTCGACAGCGCAGGAGAAGTGTTTGCTTGCGCCAGCCAATGGTCAGAGCGGCGCGAATTAATCTCACCAGCGCCGCGCTGACCAATAAAACAGCACATCCCATACCGAAATGTACTAAATTGCACAAAAGAAAATCGACCATTCCATAATATGTCAGGACTACTTAATCGGCCTATAGTTTCCTACAATGCGCCTAGCTATTTGACCACACTGATTTCTGTTAATAATAGCAGATGTTTATGGGTCAAATCTCTCACTCTCTCCCTGCAACTTTTTGTTACCCTCCTTTCCTGCCCCTAGACCAGAAAGGGGGCTTGTAACAGTATGGGTCAAATGTAAACGAATGGTGCCAAACGCGCTGTTTTATTGGTCGGCGCGGCGCTGGTGAGATTAGTCATTTTAATTTATTTGTTTCCCTCTGAAAATCCACTTTCATTGAAATCTAGTGGCTCCTTTTTTTCTTTTGATTCTGCCTATTTTTTTTTCCAAATGAATGCAGCTGGAATTAATGCAATAAATATGTTTTTTTTTTTACAAAGATTTCAAATTGTTTGTGGTCTATAACCTGTATCAGAATGAGGTTCGCAATGGTGCGCCCAAAGGCATGGGGGTTGAAGACCCAGTCAGTGACGTCACGATATGCAAATTTGTTTAAATTCATACCGACCTAATCACCATGACCAAAATTATCCTTTTTTTTTTTTACATTGAATCTTGAAAAAAAAATATATAGACCTACCTACCGACCCTTTTTTTTTTTTTTTTGCTGTTACTGCAAACCAAAATATTTTTAAGGATGGCCTAATGTGGTTGGAACCAAAGTTTACTTGACTGCGTTCCCTGGAATCCTCTCAAACGGAGCACTTCTAAATTCCGATTGGTTGCCGCCGAACCGCGTCATAGCTCATTACCATAAAGTTGACCTGACTTCAACTTCTCCTCGCCGCCCTCGTTGAAAATAAATGGCTTGCGGCCACTTTGACGCTCTCGCCGGCAGCGGTGTGAACGCGCGGTTAAGCTAGTCTCAGACTAAAATGCATGTTTGAGCTGTTTTAACTGAAAGCAACTTGCACTGGCATATAATGTCAGTGCCATTGTTTTTTCTAAGGCATGTTTATAAAAGCTACTTAGATGCCATAATTGAACTAAGGCCTAATCATGGCTTATATAAGCCCTGTCTGTGAAACCAGGCCTATAATTTGTAATTTATTTTAAAGAATTTTTAGCATCGTTACTCTATCCTTCAGTCACATGATCCTTCAGAAATCATTCTAATATGCTGATTCGATGCTCAGGAAACATTTCTGTTTATGATCTATAAAATTTTGAAAACAGTTGTGCTGCTTTATATTTTTGTGATAACTGTGATACATTTTCAGAATTCATTGATTAATAGAAAGGTCAAAAGAACCTTTTGTAACATCACAAATGTCTTTACTGTCACTTTTGATCATCCTTGCTGAATTCAAGTATTAATTTTTATTTATTTTTTTAAAGGAGGAAAAAAAAAAGTGTGTGTTACCTGGCAGGTGACGGCCAGTGTGTGACACAGCTGCGTCTTTCCAGTGCGAAACTCACCAAACATCTCAGTGATGGATCCCGTCTCGAATCCTCCTGCACAACACAGACAGAGAAAGATTCAATCAGGTGATTCAGTATAAAGTGTATTATTATCTGACTGTGTCAGTGTCTCACCCTGCAGGAGTTTATCAAGCTCTTTAGATCCTGTGGAGATCTGGATGATTTCAGCTCTGCGCTGGTGGAACTCAGTCGCTGTGGTGAATCCCATAGGAACCATCTTAGCAGCCTCTGTCTGTTGGTGACAGAGTTTGAGGTTTGTACAAATCACTAAAATACAGAATAACAGATAGCAATGGCCGTGTTTCCACTGTCGGGCCAAAAGCGAGCATGCTAGTGTGTGTCAGGGCCAGTCGTGTTTCCACTGTCACTTCTGGGACTTGATCTGACCTTTTCGGGGCTTCCTCAGAGGGCAACGGCCAGGGGTTTTTGGCCCGCCGAATACCTTGGTCCAAATCGGACCAACTGTTTACCCGAGTCAGGAGATGGTCAACACAGTGTTATCGTACCAGGCTACCAGCTAACTTTAACATTTAAGACATTTTAAACAATTTCCAGCTCAACTCACTTTCGGACACCAGCGACTGTTTGAAATAACCTTCAGTTGCGATTCGATGGACTAAATATGTTAACCATTGTGATTATAAATACACACATTTATTTTTTTCTAGCGTTAGTCCCGCTCATTTGCAGGGTCCACTTCATCTGAATTATCTGCACACACATTGGATTTGGCACAGGTTTTACGCCAGAACTCTTTCCTGATGCAACACACACTCCTACGACCAATTTGACATGTCCAATCTACCTAACCATCACTAAACAAATAGAGCAAGATTAGACTTTGGCAATTGTGGTTTTTATGTGCGCTGAAAAAAAGAGGAAGCGAAAGAGGAGAATATGGATGCGGTTATAGCTAGGGAAATGAGGCCAACTTGGCATGCCAATTTTGCAAAAGGAGCTTGAGGTAAGAAGTTAAGTTTTAGCGCCATGTCAAGTTGATCAATACACTATTTCATGTTACATTTTTATTGGCTAGTCAGTAGACGTAGGTCATAGCAGCAAACACACTGTGAGATATTCATGCTAAATTTCAGGAAATGATCACAGGCCATCTTTAGTCACGAGAACGTGACAACGGCCGTCTTTGAACCTCTCTTTTACGACCACAGAAATCGCCACGATTGGTCTGTGACAGCTCAAAATCAGACAATATGTACCAGGCATAAGACAATGTATGATTGCATTCGTGGATTTATTTGGTTTCATCTGTCTCTTCCCTGTGCCTTTGTTGATACTGGACTAACGCATCCGCATACATTATACGATGTGTCCCAATTTACATAATCATGCACGATTCTATGACATTTTGTAGTATAAATACTGTCGCAGCTTTAATTGTGTAGCAGAGGGGCTGTCAGACTCAGACGTTGAATGGCAAAATAACCTTATAAAAATTGTATATGGTTAAGTACATAGTGTATGAGTACGTTGTGTATAAATGCATAGTGTATAGTCACATCATTTGGGACGCAACTATAAATGACATATACTCTGGTTAACTGGTATGTTTTCTGTCCGTGAGCTCCTTCAGTTGCTTTGGCTAAAAGGATAACAGTATCATGAGACGGGAGAGATCGCTTAAATCTCCTCAGATCACATAATTTCGCAGAAAATTTATAGAAATGCTCATTCTTTATAAAGAAATGTTATGTAAACATGAGATTTTATAAAAAAAATTATCTTAATGTGTAAGCCTTTGGACTTAAAAGCCTTAAATTGAGCTGTTTTGTGCATTCCTGTGACCACAAATAAATGGAAGCAGGCGCGATTGAACAAGTATGTGTTAAGTCTGTGTTAATTTAGTCTTTTTATACAGTTTTCAGTCAACTAGTCTCATGCTGCTAAAATGGTGGGGTTTTGTGACATCGTTCTACGAAGACGTGTTAAGGGTAGCGCTGTGGGGCTACTGAGCTCCTGATTTTGGCCTTGTGGCTCAAGGTATGAGGCTATTTGCCCACGCCTGGCACGTTTTAGCCCTGGCTCGCACTGTCCCGGCAGTGGAAAAACAGCTAATGGTAACCAAGGTCTCACCAGGATCTTGTCGGCTTTGGCTTCGCTGATTCCTTTGATGTGCAGCAGCTCTTTCTTGGGCGCGTAGGCAACGGCCTCCACGGTGTGAAAACCACCATCTTCCAGCTTCTTAATGTCACTGCTGCTAATGCCACACTGCTGCAGAGAGATTTACAACAACATAATCAATAAACATTTCAACTTCAAACCGTGTTTGTGTTTATATCTGCCACAGCAATCGTACCTCCAGACGGGAAACCGGTTGTGGCCCAAAACTTTCCTCTTCCTCGACCTCACCCTCCACCTCCACCCGGGATGCGTTCCTCATAGCCATATTTACTGCTCCAAAACACATTACACTTGTATATTATTATAAACCACTTGTGATGCTTATAGATTAAGACTTCCTAAATTAATAATACACATTATCATCTTAAGAAATTGAGTGAAAAGCTGTACATTTACATTTAAACCAAACACTTACATAGTTGTAAACGAATGCATTTATTAACACCAAATCAAGGTTCAAACTCAACTTGACCAATGTTTTAATTACTTTTCCAGGCGCTTGTGACAACTTGATAATGATTTACAAAATTTACTTAAGAAAACGACAATATTATACATTTTTGGACATATATGAAGCTATTATTTGAAATACCTAACGTTACATATATTAATAAGCTAACAACACATACAAATACGTACAGTGATGGTATTAGATGGTAATACCACAGTACTTTGATACATAGCATAGATTTAACATAGTATTCCAAGGTAACGTTGCGTCTGATAATACTATTAAAAGTACCATGGCAAGTTATTACAATCGGACACAGCAACGTTACTGCTATCAAATAATCAAAAGCACAACGCGCAAATTAACCAAACTAATGCAACGATAATCGATTATTTGTCCGTTAAAAATAGTAAACTATATTTCCCCACAGTGTAGGACATTCATTTAATCAGTCCGAGTCTGATGTGTTTAAAAAACCCCACAGAACACACACACAACCTATAGCGCTCTCATCGACATAAACAATCGACATAACCATGTTCTCACACAATAGTTCATATAAACGTGTCAGAGTAATCTTGTAGATGTGTGATTATTTCATTATTTAAATCTTTAATATCGTTATTGTTTTTGTCACTCACCCGTTGTTTCTGTTGCTGCTGCTCTGTGCTCAATCTGAATTTTCCCGCGTGCCGCCGTCAAGCCACGTCACCGACGTCATGACGCCATCACGTCAACGATGTTTCATAACATCACAATTTTTATTTATTTTTGCACACCGATTTGTGAGGGCATTTGAAATAGACCTCGCTATTCGAAATGTTTCCCCCCCGGTTTTGTATCCACCTTATTCCTGACAAGCTTACTGCGTTTTGAATTATGGGCGGCACTTCCGGTTTGGGGAACTTCCATTCAAAAAGACTGAAACGAATCATTTCAAATCATAAGGTTGCCCTACAAATAAACCTGATCCGTCAGTTTGACTTAATGAGCAATCAGTTTTCTTTCATGTTTTATCTAAGAATAACATGAGAATAACGTAAAACTTGGTATTTTAACGTGACATGTTATAACAAGAATATCCATAGTAAGAGCTCTGCATTCTTTTCCTCACGATTATTTTCTTTTTTCCTTTTGAATTCCGCTGTAATAGTATGACAAAGGTCAACACATACTGCACATTTGTGGTCTGTTCTCCCGATTTAATTTACTATGCATACCATTAATAATTCACTGGGATCCTCTCCAAATCCTCACGTCTCTTTCCAGGTTTGGTTTCACGGGTAAATACAATTTATTATCTGTCAAAATGACTGAAATCACTTTAAAATAGTATCACGTAATGCTGAAGTAAAACACTTTTTTATTAAGGCAACGTTACATAATACAGATCACCACAGTGATATTTAACCGACCGATTTAGCTGTGGAAAGTTGCTTTTGAGATTATTCATGGTCTGTTGAAAGTTAGCTTGTTGATGCTTTTACACTTTTAAATGTCCTTTTAATGTTCAATGGTTGAAGGGTGAGTAGAATAATGTAATGTCATCGTAAAAGGTTTAAAAATCTATTATTGCGTCCATAGAGCTTAGTCTTTCACTGATTGTTTACATCTTACCGGAAGTTACACCCATAATTCGCGCAAAGCGTCATGGGGCGCAGGAATACTGTGGATAACATCAATTAATACTAACAGTTTTGAATTTCGGGCTACCAATATCATATATTATTTTAGAATTAAACCATTGTGATTGATATAGTTTCAAAAGTCTGTGAAAATGAAATAAAAACGCAGGGTTCATAGTGTAATTATTTTTCAGGGTTTATGTTTCTGATCATCAGTAAAACATGTTAGCGCAAACACAGGCAAAGGCATAAAGTTAAACATGTAGGGCTGTTATATCAATAGCTTATGTGTGAAAGACTGAAAATATAACAGCCTATGGTCTGCATTTCTACATTTATGCATTTAGCAGACACTTTTATCCAAAGCCATTAACAAGAGTAACAAAGCAATTCATCAGGGAGCCAACAATATTCCAGGTCTGATTAAAAATCATAACAATTTCCTACTACTTTTTTAGTAGCCTACAGTAACTTGCCCCAGAAAATAAACATGCAAAAGATAATATACAGTGTAAAACAAGTACATCAGTAGCATTGCATTATAATGAAAACCTGCTACTTTTCTAGCAGTCTCTCTAAGAAAATGTTTAAGTTCAGTCATGAAAAAGAAACATACTATAGGAGATGATTATTATATTATTATTCAGCAGGGTTGTGCCCCATTCAGAACTAAATTGGATAGTCTATAAAATTCCAGTTTAGTTCCTAAAGTGGAATTGAGGTAGCAAACAGGATGCAATAAAGCGAATATCTCTTCCTGTGCGCCGTCAGCAATTCAATTCAAACTCTTAAAAATTCAGAAATCAGAAATAGCTACATATGTTGCAGAAGAACTTTGCATTGAATTCACTATAATACTGCAAATGAATGTAAGCTATCTATAGACAGATATGACATCTCAAATGCACAGATACAGAGGCGACAGTCAGATGGCCTTTTTGTCGGGTGTTGGTGTTTGGTTGTCGTATGGGTTTTCTGTGTGGGTCTCTTCAGTCATATCGCTGTCTTCTGAAGGCACCGAGTCTCCAAAGAGGCTGCTCGTTTTCATGTAATATATGAACAAGAAGAATCCTATAAAAACACAAGCATTTAATACAAGATGAATGGGATATTATTTTTGCTTTATTTATAGCTTTGGCTGTCAAGTAATTTTCTAAATTTAAACGAAAATAAAACTGAAATAATTTTATTTGGGCCAAGGGAAAACTGTGTGCTTGATGTTGACCGTGGTCCACTTGCTCCATATGAAACTCAATGCGTTAGAAATCTGGGCTTTCTATTCGAACATAACCTAAAATTTGATAAACAGATCAGTACTGTTGTAAGATCATGCTTTTTTCCATCTTCGCCAACTCTCTAAAGTGAAACCTTTTTTAACCAAGAGTAACTTCCAAACAGTGATCCATGCTTTTGTTACATCACGTTTAGACTATTGTAACTCTCTTTATATTGGTGTCTCTCAGTCTTCCCTCTCCCGTCTACAGCTAGTGCAGAACACAGCTGCTAGACTCCTCACTGGGACCCGCAAGTATGAGTCGATCACTCCTATCTTATCCACACTGCACTGGCTACCTGTCAAATTTAGAATTGATTTTAAAATTGTATTATTTGTTTATAAAGCATTCAATAAATTGGCCCCTCAGTACCTGACTGATCTACTTCGCCCGTACACTCCCTCAGAAGTCTGAGATCTAGCGATCACTGTCTACTCATCGTGCCTAGATCTAGAGTTAAAAAAACGAGGTGATCGCGCTTTTGCAACTGCGGACCCTAAACTTTGGAACAGTCTACCTCTCCACATTAGATTAGCCCCGTCTGTTTCCTCCTTCAAATCTTCTTTAAAGATATATTTATTTTCTTTGGCCTTTAACATTTTTTATTCTGTCCTGTACGGCACTTTGGTCAGCCTTGGTTGTTTTTAAATGTGCCTTATAAATAAATATTGTATTGTATGGTATATTATGCATGTTTTATAGTATAATATTAGAATAATGGGTCAGCAGACATAATTCCGGTAGACATTTTCTTGACTGAATTTTAAAGAACCCCAGTTAACGGCCACTACTGTACTGTAATATAACATAATATAATTAACAAAATAATATAATATACCGGTAAAATAATATAATATAATATAATATAATGTTTAAGAGCTCTACAGTTATATGAACGCATGTTTTAGCCCATGTCTTTCAGCTTTGAGATTGTCTATATGCTATATTTTAAAGTGCTTCTATTATTCTTTTTTGAATATTACCTTTCATGTAGAGTGTAATATAGTAGTAAAATGTAAAACGTCTGCAAAGTTTTAAAGACCAAAGTGCACGACAAATAAAGTGATTGTCTTCCAAAAAAAAGAACAGAATCTAAAGTGCTGAAACGAGTCGTTATGATTCCAGTCTCACTTACTGTTACATACCTATGTAACAATGCAACACATTTGCATAATGCCCGCATATGGTCCTCATTGGCTGACTGCGACCGACGTCTACTTTGACCCTCAAACACTGAGCTGAGACTGGAAGAGTTTGGTTTGTGTGTCGACATGTTGGGAGACTGTTTTCTGCGCTGCGAATCCATTATGCTGCACTTCAAAAGGATGAGGACTAGTGCTGGATATAATAAGGAAAAAACTACAGCCATTGTCGTATCACTGTGTACAAAGCCAGTCTACGGAAAGCCTGGCCACTCCCTCTTCAGTTCTATTGTACCGAATTTTGGTTGTAGTTCCACCAGAGTTCCACTGGGGGCGATCGTCCGAGTGCAAAATGAATGGGAGTCTACATGGAGCTAGACGGCTAAATTTGTTTCTTTCACCCGATTGCCGTTGAGAAATCTCAGATTTGAATGTAGGTTAAGCACGTTCAACATGGGTTATAGGTCGAAAAGTGAATGAACGAGTACTTTTGTCCTTTCGATTTTTTACAGGTTGAGTTGTTGTTGCTCATAACACGCTAGCATTCTGCTAATGGACGCTGATTGGTCAGTGAAGGACTGATTACGACCAGAGACACCGCTTGATGGCATCGTGGCATCCGAGGCGGGACCAGAATGTTAAAGCGGACTTAACTCTTCTAGCACGTTTATTTACCTGTGTCAGCTGTGTTGTCGATGCCTCGAGAGAAAGGAAAGTGCAGAGCGCGGAAAGCACCAAAGTGACTGCAGGATTGCCGTATAGCAGGTCTCCAGTCGTACGATGTGTTATGACGTCATTGACATTTTAAAAGACTTTTTAAAGCAAATAAGTGACTCTAAAAAATCTAACACCCAGTAATCTGTAATTTCTTTGGATCTCCTTTCGAAAACAACATTCAAATTACTAGACAAAAAATTATATCCTGAGAAAAGTGGATTATGAGGGGTATCTCCATAGACCTCCATTCATTCTGCACTCGTCCTGTGAGCGCCCACATATGGACCCAGAGTGGAACTGCAACCAGTTCAGAACGCGGAAGTTTACTGGGAGTGAAAGCTCTCCCCATATTAGACATTCTCTGCTGTGTATCAAGCGCTGAGGAAGAGCTGAAATTCAGATATGGTAATGGACGGTTGGTTTCCGACATGCGCTATTAGTGGTAGACAAATCACAACAGACTGGGCCATCTGACCAATCAGAGCAGTGTAGTCTCGCGGAGAGGAGGGGCTTAGAAAGACCGAATCCTTGAACAAATTGTTTTCAGACTCTGAGAAATGTATGCAATATATGCATTTAAATTTTCAGCAGAAAAGCTCTCACCTTGGAAGGAGTTTAGTATGGTGAATATGTAGTACGAGGGCAGAACCAGACTTCCGTAGCTGAAGAAAGTGAAACTCCAGGTGAGTCCCAGCAGACAGCAGAGGCCGAGGATGGTGGTGATGTCAAAGGAGGCGGTTCCTGAGCGCTTCACCGCTGCAGCTTTGTTAAACTTCCTCACCTTCAGCATGGAGAGCCATCGCAGCACCACGATGCTGGTGCAAGAGGTGAAGATGAAGACGAAGCAGTAAAAGCCGATGTTCACGACGTAGTGGACAGTGGTGTCTAAAATCCAGCACCTGTGGAGAAAAGAGTGCAGATGGTTAAAGTTGACTAAATGACATCTGTTTATTATTGCTCATAACTATTTACTATTTAAGTGAATCATGAAAAATATCTAAATTTGATTCCTGACCATTATTTTCCACACCCACAAAGTTTATTTGATTGACTAAATTTAAACCAAATCTGATTTTTATTTTATAACTTAATAGAAAGTAAATATTTTCCCACTTTTTTAAGCACACCTGTTTAACTGCTCATTGACACAAATATCTAATCAGCCAATCATATGGCAACTCAACGCATTTAGGCATGTAGACTTGGTCAAGACGATCTACTGAAGTTCAAGCTGAGCATCAGAATATGGAAAAAAGGTGATTTAAGTGAGTTTGAACGTGGCATGGTTGTTGGTGCCAGACGGGCTGGTCTGAGTATTTCAGAAACTGCTGATCTACTGGGATTTTCACACACAACCATCTCTAGGGTTTACAGAGAATGATCCGAAGTAAAAAAGCGAAATAATCAGGGAGCGGCAGTTCTGAGGGAGAAAATGCCTTGTTGGCATAACATATCACGTCACAAACTGTCTCAAATCTCAATCCAATAGAGCAGCTTTAAGATGTGCTGGAATGGGAGATTTGCATGGATGTGCAGATTATATTTCTGCAGCAACTGTGTGATGCTCTCAAGCCAATATGGAGCAAAATCTTTAAGGAACCTTGTTGAATCTGTGTCATGAAAAATTAAGGCAGTTCTGAAGGCAAAAGGGGGTCCAACCTAGCAAGGTGTACCTAATAAAGAGGCTGGTGAGCACACACACACACACACACACACACACATACTGTATACATTTATATATATATATATTATATTGTTTGACATTTTTCTCACACATTAAAAAGATACTCTTAAAAAATTAAGTTCCAAAAGAGGGTTTGTGCAATGATGTGAAGATCCATTTTTGGTTCCCAATAGAACCTTTCAGTGAACGTTCTCAAAATATATTTTTTTTCTTAGTGAGAAGAACATTTTAATAATCTAAAGAAAGTGTATCCACTTTTGGGTTCCAAGGATGTGTAAGAAATTGTTGTCTTTTTCAAACCAGATTCCACTCCAAAAGTATATTTTAGAATGAGCTCATCCCCAAAATGTTATATCGTTTCTCCACCGTTTGGGTTGATCACATCCTGAGCAAATGGTCATCAATTGTAGAATGTTATGGGTGTGGGACACCGAGAACCATCTCAGACAATGGGGTGTCTCTCAACTTCATTTACATCAAGAGTGGTAAACTGTAACAGGATAAAAGGTTTGGGATTTGGATGTTCTGGGTTCATTCTGAAGCCGGTGAACCCAAGGTGCTTTGTTGACTTTGCCACTGCTATGCTGTAATAAACTTTAGCTTTGAGATCGTCAACGTCCTCCTCATCATTTCTTCTAACAGATGTTAAAGGTTCTTCATGGAATCATCAATGCCAATTGTTATGTTCCACGCGTGTGTGTGTTATGTTTTTATTATTCTGTGCACGTTGGTGTATTTATCACGTGTTAGTCGTTATGCTCATTATCCTCTCTCTGTCTTTATTCACCCTATCATTTATTGTATATAGCACACATTATTATTTGACTGGATTCAGTGGCTTTGGCTTATGGAAATAAATTCCAGTTATTTTTTCTCTTCAAAATGAGTCTGACATGTGTTTTTCCACCACACGCCACTTCCAGCAGTATACTCAATATATAAATGTTGCGGTACCAGCCCTGGACCCATAACGGTTCGTAACATTAAATGGGGGCTCGTCCGGGATTATTTAATTATATTTTTCCAGAGATATTGATTACTGCTGGCGTGGTTGGTGGAAGGTCCATGTCTGGGTTTTATTTTTTGTTTGTTTGTTTTGTTTTGTTTTGTTTTGAAGAGTTAGTGTTGTATGAGGCAGAAATTAGTGTGTGGGTTTTAATATCTTAGCTACAGAAGTTAGTATGGCTGATTTTGATTTAGAGACCTTTGTGAGTGCACCTACAGTGGAGCAGTTAGATAAATGTAGGAAAGATGATTTACTGTGTTTCGCTGCTCATTTTCAGATTGCTGTTTCGAAGCAGCGGCTTAAAAAAGAGATTAGGTCTACTGTATCCCAAAAGTTGGTGGAACTAGGTCTCCAAGTACATCATTTTTTAAGAGTGTAGGTTTTCATGCATTTCATTATACAGTGTGGCTGCCATTATATTTTAAGAATAGTGTTTAATCATATTTTGGGTCTACTTACATGGTTACATTGCTTGCGTCCGTCTGTATGGTCAGTTCACCATATTTGCCAAGGAGGAAAATGATACTGACAACAAAGGCAGGAGGAACTGAAACAAATAGTTGACAATGCAATTGTGGTATAAGAATCAATAGTCTGGATAGAGGATTAGATCAGTCTTTAGATCTAGATCAGATTTAGTATTTTATCTATACATATGACATGAATTCTATGTGGATTTTATATCCCAGGATGATGATGATGATGCCAGGATGTTGCTATTATGGTTAAGGTAGTCTGAGTGGTTGCCTACTGGCCCACGTCAAAAGCCTTCAAAGTTTATGGGAATTTTGCCAGTCAAAATTGTGCATCTGATCATAGGCCACATACAGGTGAAACTCGAAAAAAATTAGAATATTGTGCAAAAGTTCATTTATTTCAGTAATTCAACTTAAAAGGTGAAATTAATATATTATATAGACTCATTACATGCAAAGTGAGATATTTCAAGCCTTTATTTGTTATAATTTTGATGATTATGGCTTACAGCTATGAAAACCTTTTCACAATATTCTAATTTTGAATTTGGGGTTTTCATAAGCTGTAAGCCATAATCCAGCGCCAAATATTGCTCACACATTTTCCGAGTTTCACCTGTAATTCAGCATGCATATGTCAAGGTTTTTGAACTCACCCCACCCAACCACAGAGAGCTTGAGGATGTAATGTTTGATGACGATTGAGTGTCTGGCCATTTGCAGGCAGAGGTGTAAAGCCTCCACCGCAAACCAGGAGAAACTGGCTAGCAAGCTGTAGTGCATGAATCCAGCCATGACCCTGCAGGCGTTGGGGCTATTCGCACGTGCAACGTATTCATTAGTCAGGAAGGCCAGGTTGAGCAGAAACAGCGCCAAAAAGAGATTCATCAGCACGTGGGCTGAATTAGTGGCCTTCGCTTTCCTGAAATGTAAAATGCATAAACGAAATTTGTATTTTGGATCCGTGCTTTGTGAATTAAAAATGTTTCAGGGTGAGTTGCACAACTAAGGATTAACTTTGATGATACATTTACTTTAAACTTTAAATCTTTGATCCTGGTTTTAATTTAACAGTTAACAAGCAGGTAGTTAGATCGTGCTGCATCCAAATGACATACTTCTGCTTTAACCCTTAATTTGTGCAATTCACCATATTCTGAGTTTAGTACAAGTCAAGCTCAAATCACAGCACTTGTGGCTTCTTGTTGATCAAAATGGATTCATTCATTTCCCACTTTTTTTTTTTAAGTTACAAATCTGGGTTACAGTGAGATACTTTCAATGGAAGTGAATCGGGCCAATCTGTAAATGTTAAAATACTCAAAGTTTACAAGATGTAAACAACATGCATGTTAACATGATGTTAGTGTAAACAAAATTGCTTATTAATCTTTTCTGTGTAAAGTTATATGCAACACCTAAAACATTCACTTTCACCCCATTCACTTCAATTGTCAGTGCTTCAGCGTAACATTTGACATGAATCCAAGGTCAAAAAAACACTTTACTTTTCTTGTAATATACATTTCAGCATCACGTTTGCTCACAGAGTCTGAAATGGATTCAGTCTCTCTAAACCCGTCCCTTCCGAGAGCCTGCTCTGCTATATTACACATTACATGAAAGGTAATACCTACAAATCATCAAGAAATTTAGAGGAAACATAATGATTTTTTGGAAGATTATTTTGTTATCAAAATGACGCCACAAATGTTGTCGATTAATGAGATCATATAGGGGATCTCACATTTGTGAACAGTGGTACAGAGACTCATGTCTCACCTTAAGAGGAAGTGAATAAATAGTCCGACTCCCAGGAAAAACATGGAGAGGCCGCAGCCGATGTACGTGATGTAGGTGAGAGCGACAAGGTCAGCTTGGGGAATGGGTAGGCCTACTGGAGGAGCCTGTATTAAAACATCGTTCAGTTACACAGGTCTGCCTGAAAGTTTGCAATCTTAAGATATCAGTAACCACAGAATGTAGTGAAATAAATAAACATAAATCTGAAGGGGGCAGTAGAGAACTTATAATGTGAGTCAAATTTCACAGATTCCACAAGGACACGGAGAACATACCATAAGGACAGCGAAGAAAGTCAAGTGGCTGCAATCACATATTATATTATTTCCATCAGGAATAGTAGTACACCCTTCAGTTGTCCAGTTTGGCTTATTTCCTGGTGAAAAGGAGGGACTGGTTAGTTTTGAGTTGATTTAGAGAGAGTTAATGAATGTTAATTGACATCATGGCTGATTTATGATTAGAAATTAACATCCATGCACCACAGCATAGCTTGAAATATTCAGACTCTTAACTAGTTCTCTATATTCCTTTAAGCCTTTATCTTGTAAGATGTACAATTTTCAATTGTATAGTAAAATTCCATCAAATTGAATTGAATAATGCTTACATATTATGAATTAAGAATTTTAAAAGAGTAAAGATGTTTAATAAAACATTTTGTGTGAATCTTAATGGAACAAGGGAATGGACCATAGTTTATGTGATTCATATTCATACATTTTAATATTTAAAAAAATTGTTTTATGAATACGAATCACATCCCTTCTTCTATTAAGATTTAAATAAAGTGTTTTATTAAGCTCTATTTTTTTTAAACTAATTTAAAATTCTTAATATATATATATATATATCCATAGAGTATATCAATAATAATATATTCTTGATATACTGTATGGATATTTATCATATCCATATTCCCTTTAATTCAAACTATTTAAATATATAAAAACACAAAAGCATTACAGACCGCGTCCATCCCATGAGTGACAGACAGGAGTTCCCTTCATGTTCTGCAGAGAAATAAATAAGACATTTAGAAAGTAAGATTTAGACTAATTTAGAATATTAGAAAATACTTTTTTCCATGCATCATACATTACCTCTTTATTGCTGAAGACCAAACTGATGTTTTCAGTCAGATTTGAAATTTGTGTCCCCATTTCGATTGCATAAACTTCATTCCCCAAAACCGTACTGTTGTTTTCATCCTTTAATAAAAATGAAATGGTTTGTTTGTTGAATTGTTTTTTTTTTTTATTGCTGAGAAACAGAATCAGGCTTCTATATAGAAACATTCATTTCTATTAATGAATAGATTAAATAAGATCAATGTCAGAAGTGAAACAGACATTTAAATGTTCAGGATACTCAGGATTTGTATGCCTACAAATTTTTTATTTTATTTTAAGCCATACATTTTATGAATACATTATTATTGATGATCTGTTTGCAAGAAATCTAGTTTCATCAAAATCACTCATTTAAAAGAATGTCTTGTGTTATGATGCACGAGTTAAAATCCTTTAAGCGCAGTGTAAAACTTGACAAAGCCTAGTTTTCAGGTGTAGCATGATAGAATCACTGAAAGTGCACTATAAACCTTTATATATCTTTTGCAATATAAACATAACTCTCTCTATATAAGCATAAACTCGCTCAGAAAACAAAACGCAAGCCAGCCTTTGTAGTTAAAGGGATAGTTCACTTTGAAATTAATTTTTGGTATGTTTTAGCTTACCTTAGCATTTATATCGTTTTTACCTCTTGTAACCACAGCCACGTCCAAGTGATCTGAGGTAAAAACGATATAAATACTGTTCGTTTTCTCACACAAACCGCTCGTTTCGTGTCTTAGGCCATCAATGTGTACTTACATTTACGAGTCATTAAATCATGTTTAATTTGGACTTCTCTGTGCATGCTCTTTGAGGAAGTGACCATAGACCTGCATTATATGACTGACAGACAAGAACGGTTTGACCTAAAAATATCAAAATTGAAACTACTGTGGAAACAAAGACACCAACATCTTGGATGCCCTTGAGGTAAGCTAAAACATACCAAAAATTAACTTCAAAGTGAACTATCCCTTTAAGCATTAATGCTTGTGTATTACCTGTGAGTACGGCATGAAATAGGCCTAAGCTTACATTTTCCCGTATACAGGAATTGAAAAATCAAAGTTTTTATACCTTTGACATGTTGGGAAATCTGAACACACCCAGAAAAGCAATTTCTGCACGTTTGTTGAACGCTTGTTTTGTGGCTTCCTCTGGAATAGTGAGAGCGTTGGAATAATCTTTCAGTATGGAAAAATCATCTATAACCTGTAAACATAAGGCGATTTCAGGTACACGTTATGTTCATGCAGAGCTAAACAAGATGTGTATGTTTGTCATCTTTACACTTACTCTGATGCCTGTTTCTGCAGAGTAGATGAAAGCGGACTTCTTGATATCAGACACATTTTGAATTCTCTTTAAAACCCCTGTAACGCTACCCATGGAAATAGATGCTATGGTCATGTTCCCCATGAGAGGCAGCAGACTGGTGAGATTTTTCATGGCCTCACTGAGCAAAATACAAAATGATTTGTGTTTTTGTGATAATATCTCTGATGTAAGAGAAAACGGTACAATTGGTACAATTTACAACCATTGAGACACTACATAGAGGGTTAGATGGGATCAATCCCTTGTGACAACTAGCCCCGGTCTCCCCTATTTAATATGGATAGAATTGCTTATCATGGAATGAAAAAAAAAAAAGATAAAAAAAACCCTCATGTATATCCCTTAATTGCAATATTAGGTACAGCAAGTTATTATGGAAACCTTCTGAATATGGGTATTTATTTTACAATTTAACCTCTGGGGTCTTTCATTTCAGAGTCACACTCAGGACCTTCGGGTCCAAATGGGCCGGAAGGGTAGGATTAATATTTATGAAAAAAAAACATATATATTTTTTTAAACTTGTTTTTTATAATATTTTTTCTTTTCTTTTTTGGTGTTTTGAGATAATTTCAAAAATAAAAATGATTTATAATTAATATTATTGAAACAATTATGACCCATTTTTTCCCCATTGAATATAATAGATTTTTTTTTTTTTTTTTTTTTTTTTTTTTTTTAAAGCTGTATTTCATTTTAGAGTCAAGCCTAGGCCTCATGAAAGCAATTTTTGAAATGAGATGGATGCCATCTGGTGGACAAACTGAGCATTTTAAAAATTCAAAACCCATATGTAATCTGAATTTATTAGTGTGTATGTGTATAAAAGTGTGTTTGTGTGTGTGTGTGTGTGTGTGGATGTGTCTGTTTTGCACTCTTGATGTTTTATAGATTCACCCCTTCACTGTTGTGTGCTTTTTTTCTGGATCGTGGCTGATTTGTAGATTGTACGCACAAAAAAACTCTGTATTTTCACATTTTTGCCAATTTCCCATTCATTTCCTATGCGGGTCCATTTGGACCCGAAGGTCCTGAGTGTGACTATTTTTTTTACAACCACTTAGACTATTCAAATCCTGTCCCCAATTTTTTTGGGTGTTCATATACCAAGTACCAACAAAGTCACCAAATTTCAGACCATTCCGATAAAGCTATGATTTAAAAAAATTTTTTATTTAAATGCTTCGGGTCCATTTGGGCCGAAGGACCCCAGAGGGTTTTAAAAGATAAACTGATAATAAACATTGAGTAGACTTAAATCACATTTGTTTCAAAAAAGTACTTACGCAGCTGCTCCAGCATCTGTCTCTCTTTTATTAGTATCATTAAATAGCTTTGACATTGCTGGGGGTATATCTTTGATTTCTTCCACCTTTTGAAAAGGACTTCCACACTTAATACAAGTTGCAGTTCCATTATCAATCTTAATGTTGTTCTTTTTACTGTCATCACCTGCATCATCATCTGTGTAAAACATAAAAATGAAAAGAAAACAAATGAAGATGGAATGATTAAAAGCAATACAGCATTGTGGGTAAATGGCACTTTTAGCGTGTTCAAGAACGTATTAAAGCAGAAATGTCTGATTTATGAAAATAGGCATATTGAAACACGCTCTTACCCCTACAGCTGGAATCATATTTTGCCCTCTCACACGCCTTTGTGGGATTCAGGCAGGTCATACTACAATCTTACATACACAACACACATAATTATAGTATATACAGCAGCTGATGACAAATACATATTTTAGATCATATTTAGACTGTTTGGATAATACTTACTTGTGACTCGAGTGTTATTTGAAAGGGTCCAATTAAAACCTTTAATAAAGAGAACAAAAATATGCTCTTAACAGAAGTTAAGAACTGCAAAAGACCAACAACACGCTTAAAGTGAATGAATGTAATTTCAGTAAGTCATTTTGAGGAAAACTTTCAAGCAACACTACAAAGATAACAAACTTCAAAACTAAACGGTTTGTAATGATCCAAGGGAAAATCAGTATGTGGCATTTTGGCCTCATTTACGTGTTGTCATCAGTGTTGGGGAAGTTACTTTTAAAAGTAATGCTTTACAATATTGAGTTAACTCTTTAAAAAAACGAATTGCGTTACTTTTTATGGTTGTACACTTGTTCACACGATGTGACTACAATTGCATTCCTGCAAACCCAAACAATTTAAATACCAAGTGTTAGCAGTAATGAGTTTTTGAGAGTAATTGTGAACGGATAAACCAAACTTTTGACTACCTTTTAATACTTTAGGTTTTTGATTTTGCAAGTTGTTCCGAGTGAAAATATTTTGTCAAGTGAAGTTAACTTCAACTGATTTATCTTCAACTTCAACCAATTCTGTGCTCAGTGAATAGATTATCATGTAAATATTTTTTTCACCTACACTCAAAATTTAAGGCTTTTTTAAAGATTTCCACATTGCAATTAATAGTAAAATTCCATCAAATTGAATTCAATAATCCTTACATATTTGAATTGAATAATTGATTAAGGCTAGTTCAGTTTCATATCATAAGGCACTTAAAATAGAACACAATCTGGATCAATTAAAACTGGATCAATTAAATGAATACATTTTAAAACCTTTTAAACCATTTTTTATCATATATTTCAAGCAATATGAAATCATTCACCATCTGTAATCCATTTGGTCCAAGTGTAATTGTTGCAGGTGCCTTCTATTAAACATTGAGGTGATTTAATTGATCTGCTTATGTTGAGTTTGTATGTTGAGTTTTCTTTAGATAAAGACAAACCAAAATCTGCAAAACAACAGGTTAGAAACCAAGGTTACTCTGGGCTCAAACATTTTTTTTTCCTAAAGAACATTTAGGTTTTCATTATGGATAGTGGCTCTAAGCAGCTCATACAAACAACCAAGACAGGAAAGGCTACTTTCAGACCCACCGCTGCTGTCTGTAGATGGTGAGGTTGTATTTTCTTCAAATGAAAAAACAGTGATGTTGAACTGTTTCCTCCAAGCTGAAAAATAAAAACAACAATGTGGCCTTAAAATCAATTCACCCCATCTGTTTGCATTTAAATGCATGATCTTGATCTTATTGTAAAAGATCATCCATGCACATGATTTTTTTTTTTTTTAACCTCGTAAATTTTAATAAAAATATCATAACTCAGTCTTTGGCGAAACGACAGACTTCTCTAAAATTCCTTTCAAGGATATATACTGTATATATATATATATATATATATAACAGTCTTTTGCTGCATCCGGAATTTGCATACTCTCTGAGTAGGTACTTTTGTTGATTAAGTACTTACCATTACAAAAGTATGTTCTATATAGTATGAATGTATGAAGCCTTTTACTTCCCATCCTACACTCTTAAAAGGAAAGTCTTCGGTCAAGCGCTTTATATTTATGGATTTAGTTTTAATGAATTAATTTAATTCTATATAGAACTCTATTTTTAGGGTGAACGTTTTTTCTTTTTCATTAATCCATTACACTCACATGTACATCACAATACGGAAGGAAAGGTTTGTCCATTTCATTCATTACATTGTTTTTAGAGATTATTACATGCAAAAAAAGAAAAAGAAAAGAAAAAAACAAACATTTTGAGGAATGTTTAAACATGTAAGTATCTCCTCACCTGGCAATCCAGAATAATTATTACACCAAGTATCAGATTGGCTCTGTGATATGGTCAAGCTATCACCTATTTAAAGAACAAATGATAAACAATGTAGCAACCAAAAGTAACTTTCAGGTTACATAATAGAAACATTTACATTTAGTATTTTACATTCCCATTTGAATCACCTTTTTTCATGTAACCCATGAAACCATCGGTACCGAGTATGAAGATGCCCTCCGCATCGTTTCTGTTGCCTGAATCGGACTGAGTTGAGGATATTATGTTTTTAATCATTTTTTTCTTAACGTTTATATACCCCTGATTGTTCGAATCCTGTTTTGCAGATATGCAGAAGAGGGCAGATATAAGCAGGAGACCACAGATGTTCCACTTCATCCCTGACAGGATTTCCAGGATCCTCAAAAACATCTGATGAGCTGCAAAAAGAAAAGTGTAAAACATCAAATGTTTTTTGTTGTTGTTGCTTATAGACAACAAGAACAAATAGAAAACAAGAGTTATCTAAAAAAAAAGGATGAAGGATTTTTCCCTGAAATCCCTGAAAGGATTATTGTTATTTATTTATTTTAACGTTTTTGCACTGCCAATGTCCAATAAGATTAAAGACCAGAATAATTTTTTTATCCTTTGAAAAAGAACTGTCCTAAACAGAGAATCCAACATCACATTCTCCGATACAGTGTTATGTAATATTAAGTGAAATGCCATAGACCTGGGATAAATCAACACATTAACTCCCAATTCCACTGCAGTGAGGGATATGTACATTTAGCAAATACTTTTATTCAAAATTATTTAAAACATTTTGAAAAAGCAAAAACGTCAAAAGTAAACCAGCGTAGAACAAAATGTAAAATCCATTACTGAATTGCATTGTGTTATTTTACTTTATTTCCCCTGCTATAATAACTGAAACAAACGTCTTACCTGGTGAAGAGACGTTGAGTCTTTCCAAATACTTGTGTCATTTCATCAGATATAGATGGAAGTTCATTTTGCATGTAGCATTTCCTCCCTCCCGCTGTGGTTTTCTGTATTTGTTAACCACATCTCTTCATGCAAACCAGCTAACGGAGAACAGCGGGATGAGACACGGTCACTCCTGAACAGCCATACTCTTTACTGTTAGATGATTATATGAGCAAAGAGTTTCGGCAGGCTTTCCGGGGTTAATGTTGTAAAGTTGATTGTAAACGTGAGGTTTATATGCAACTGGAAAATGACGCACAAGAGAACAGACATTATTATATGAACATAAGCATCAACAAACATTATAAAGAAGCAAATAAGGTGATAAAAAATCTGACAGTGAAATATAAATACAAAAATATTCAATAGACACAAGTCAATGTTGTAGTTGTATATGAATGATTATGTAAAATAACAGTGGTTTGACATCTTGGCATATTTTTTGACAATTTTGTGTTTAGTGAAAAAAAAATATTGTTTACATTTTACATTATTGTTTGTACTTGGTGCTGTTTTTTAATTGATTTATA